GAGAAGAAAATGGGGATCTCGCAAAATGTATGTCCAAACTGATTCAGTCAATTAAATGGTCACTGTGTGTGTGTTCATTTTGTTTTTCTGCCTAGATTTGAATACATTACCATTAAATGATATATACACTGAACCTCTAGAACCTGCTAAGTGAAACACCTCTTGAAGCGTAACACCTTACAAGTGGAACCGTTTTTTAAGTTCCATTTTAGTCCATTTATTTTACGCCTCTGATCCCAAGGTATGAGAACTATACACCTTGACATCCAAGATGATTGTCGAATTGTAATGTAATTGTAATAAAATATAAAATCTGAATTGTACATTATCTATTTCATTGGGGAGTTAAATCATTCTTTTGCAGCAAGGTATCAATAAGTAATGTAATGACGTAATAACCTTCAGTAGATGCCAGTAGTCAGTTCCCAGTTTCACCACGAGGTGGCTAACTTGGGTCATATATAAATGACAGGTATAAGGGAAAACTCCTCTAAGGTATTCAATATTCAGTAGATTTATTGATCAATTTTCAACTAAGGTCTATAAGTGATTAGCTTGAGAATTTTAGAATTGTATGTAATCGAATGCAAAATAAACGACCAGTGAGCGTTTTTAGAGAAACTCTACAACTCTATGTCATTAAGGTGGTAAAGAAAAGAGAAACAAACATACCTTTCCTCCGACATTTCGAATTTTCCGCATCTTGTCGAGTCTTTGATCACGCACTTTTAATAGTAGGCGATCACTGTACATACAGTGAGGTGACACACTGTTATGGGAACTGGTCATATCAGATGTTCCCACGCTTTTCGTCCAGAAGAGGTCATTTCCCAGGATTATAGATGAACCCTTGGCCAATCAATGATATAGTTTACATAAGAGAAGTATGACTGTATGAATTCTGGGATATTCCTGTTTTGTTGAGACAGGTGAGAATAAAATTAACCCTTTGCAAATTTGATCAATACTGCCTCCAATCATCCAATACTTGGCTCAGTTAAAATAGTTGATTTATATTTGAATTCGATAATAACATTTAAAAATTAAATGTGTAGTAGTAATACTTTAGTACCTCTTATTAATTAATGTATAATATTACAACATACATAATGATGTAGGCAATTTGTTAAAAATCTAAAAGTAAAATTCATAATTTAAATTTACCCTCTGGGAGCCCCAAAATTTTAGAAAACGCATTTTCTTGGTGATGTATTTTCTAAACTACCCTTTTTTGATCCCCTGTGTATTTCCAATGGGAGAAAAGACCGGCGGTCTTTTGCCGGACTTGACAGGATTTTTAGGTCGGACTTCACGGGACTTTTGCCGGTCTTGATCGGTCTTTTTTAAAAAACCCGATGGAATCCTGGGGGAATCCTGTTGAGTCCGGTGAAGGCCGATGGAGACCGCTACAAAAAGATTGCCGGTCTTTTAGTGGAATGAGCAGTTTCATTCTTTCACCGGTCTTCGTCGGTCTTTTTTTGTTAAAATCTGATCACGTGATCCTTTTTTATTTTCATTGCTTGGAATATTGGGCATAGTGTTCTCCTTGAATGAAGTCATGGTGTATTTAAAATATTGCGGAAATACTTGAGTCAAGATTATGGTTGTCCGGGTAAGAAACACTTTAGTGCACAAAATTTTACTATATGGACTCTATATGATTTCATCAGGTCGAGATGAGTCCTTATTAACCTGACATTTGGGGGGTCTGTCTATTATTACACAAGTGCGTTTTAATTATTGGGCCACAAATATGGGGTGTGACCCGGACGTTTGACCGCAAACATAATACATTGGGGCGTGTTGCATAAACTTGAATTTGTCTGTTCTTGTTCTCTCTTCGTCTCTTACGTGCGTTTAGTATGGTGTCAGAAAAGTGGAAGAGTGGGTGAGAATAAATTATATATGGCAAACGTGTGCATTTCTGTCCATACTGGTATAAAATACCTTGATAGATCATGGTGGTTAGCGACTGACATGACTTTACTTGTAATAGGGAAAACGGGCGTCTAATAATAATCACGATTTAGCATTAGTCAGATCATTGCAAGGGATGTATCTAGATATGGGTAAGATGTCCCATAGATGTCATTATCAGGTCATGAACTCATGAGCTCTGCTGATTCGACTCCTTAATTTGTTCAAGTGATCCTGAATAGATCCTGATAGTTCTGGAATGTCCTCTGAATCACACCCCGATACCCCCGACGAGCGGTCATTTCGTACAAACAGTATCCTCAAATCCGAGTTCCGAAATGCTCAGATATGATATACATGCAAATTGGCATGAAGAATATGGTATAGCCTACTTAGAAACAAATTGGTCTGGCTGGGTTAGTATATTTGTTTAGTGTTCTTCAACTGTTTACAATATCAGATGAAATACACTCGACACTCTTATCTCGGTATTTGAAATACATATATATGAATTTAACAGATTATTTTCTTATCCAAGCCCTGACCAAGATTTTATCTACTGCCAAAACTAATCGATTAAATCTCTTGAAACCCGATGAGGACATTAAAAAATAAACAAGACACAAAAACGGACCCAAGTGCTGTGGTACGAGGTAACCAGGGGAATCCCCTCTTCGGAGATCATTTCGTCATCAAATATCTTGCAAGTTTGCAGAGGTATCTGATACTTCCCATACCTACATATACGTACCCAGTTTATGAGTCATCGGCCTGTGCAAGGGATATAGATCACAAAAATAAAAACGAGTATACATTCTGGGGAATTGCACATTTGGTGGATTGTTAAATAGACGTTATGATATTAACCTAATTGAATGATATGTGATTGCACATGTTATTATCCATAGTGATACTTCCAAGAAACAATGGTAATCGTTTGTGATTAACCGCGATGGAGTAGGCCTACTTCTAAGTGGTAGCACAGCGTGGGCGTGATATGATGCAAGTCTTTCATTAACTCGACACATGACCAGACCTTGCAGTAAAGTTCATATGATTTTTTAAACCTTCACAGTTCATTCAAAAATACCTTGAGGTATTTTGTTATTGTCTATGTTTATTTCTTGAAATTGCTAATCACATTGGCTATTTCTTCGCGGAGGAACATGTCTTAAAGATAATAGAGGTATGATGGTAGTGACGTTGTAAAAGGTTTCCCTGCTGTCATGTTACCTTCCAGTGTGACCGGGAGATAGAATTAATTTTTATAACATGCTGGTAAGCATGATTGCGAAAGGTTCTTTAGTCGGAGTGGAATCTTTGAACTTCATCATATTCATTAAATCTTGTCTCCCGACCTGACACGGTGCTATCCTTTGTACTAGCTTCAACCCATTTCCGATAGCGCTCAATTTCAAATGCTCTGATGTGGTTACATTATTATGTAATACGTGATTTAAACGTTTGGACGGTAAATCTCTCACGTATGCCGCTTATCAGTGAACAATGCTGAACATGCAGGAAGTAATCTTAACAATTCTATTCACTTTTGTAAGAAGATTTTCGAATATCGCAATAAGTAAGCAGAAAGGATTAAGGAAACAGTTTTAAGTTGATTTTTATTGAGTTAAAACCACTTGTAAATATTGCTTCTAGATTAGCTTTTTTACAATAGAACTAGGTGAAGTGAGATTTTACAATATATCATAAGTGTAGTTTTTGTAGTGTAATACCATATAACAAAACCATAACAAGATATTTGTTACTTGGCAAATAATCATCAACATATACTATTAGTAGTAACTATTATCCAACATACTTAAGTCATACCTATATATATTTAGTAGTTCATTCATAAATCGAATCCTACTATCAAGGCAGCCGGGGAATTTGATTCATTAGTCCCAGCATGCAAGATAAGTCCACCAATAGAACCAACTGCTGACAGAGGCGGGGCCCGCCATTTATGCTGATAGGTCGCAATAGAACACGTGATAGCTAGTACCCCGGACAGGTTGTATGATGCAGTCGTTTTTTTACTCTATATTTACAATAGAACAACCATTCTTATTGAAATTTTTATATTTTATTCTGGAGACAATTTCCAACATGGAAAATAAATATTTTATCAAAATTTCCAATTTTATGATTTTGATGGGCTTTTTTCAAAAACACTACACTGTCAATAAAATACAGGTTTTTGCTTGAACAATTGAACTTTTAACGTCATTTCAAATATTGTCTGGCTATGGAATTTCCGGCCATCTAAAGTCTTTCCAGATATATATGTTGCCATATAAATAATCATGGCTGATTATTGTTATTCACTTGAGTCATATTCAATATTATTACAGTGCATTAGGCCAATAAAAATTTGTTGCTCTGGGTCTCATTTTGTGAAGCGTTCCCTAGATTGAGCCCAGATAGAGGAGGTCAATCTTCTTGTCCACAGACATGAGTTCAACCCGGTCACTGTTCAATGCTGTCCAAATTGAAGTAAAATATTCCGAATCTCCTATTTGAAGTATTCTTGGCATTAGATCCCTCAGAGATGTTAATACAGCTGTGTCAAATTTTATCATGACCTGACATTTTAAAAGCAATTGGTATAATTTACGTGCCACAGGCTCACATGCTGAGTGACGGTGGCGGAAAAACCCAGTGGAGAAAAGGGTGCGTTTTCAGAGACCCAGAATGACAAGTTTTTCATTGGCCTAATGCGCTGTAATAATATTAGGCCTATTGAATATGACTAAAATGAATAACAATAATCAGCCATAATTAATATGGCATCAAATACATCTGGAAAGACTTTAGGCTGTAAAAAATCCAATAGCTAGACAATCTTTGAAATGACGTCAAAATATCAATTGTTTAAGCAAAAACCTGTATTTTATTGACAGTGTAGTGTTTTTGAAAAAAGCCTGTCAAAATCATAAAATTGGAAATTTTGATAAAATATTTATTTTCCATGTTGGAAATTGTCTCCAGAATAAAATATGAAAATTTCAATAAGAATGGTTGTTCTGTTACAAATATAGAGTAAAAAAAAGACTGCATCATACAACCTGTCCGGGGTACTATAGTATACCGGCAACAGTATCTTGGCATAGCTCCAATAATTGCATCACGAACATTTAAAGTACGACAGGCGATCTTTCGGAATTAATTCAAGTAGAAACATTGCAACTTACAACACCTCGGCAACTTTGTGGCATCTTAGAGAAACTGAAGGAACCTCATAAGGACACGATAAAATAATACTAGAAAAGGTAAGTTGACGTTTTATGATACACACTTATATGTCTTAAATAAATTACATATAATATTATTAATTAAATATAAATGTATTCAATAAATCCATAATGGTCCATAAGAAGATTTAAAGTGATTAAAAAAACTTTTTTTATATTTGCAGACATAAAACACTCAAACTGACTTATTCCAAAAGTACTTAAATAAAACTAAAGAACTGGAACCAATAATTTAATTGAACAATAATAACGAGGAGGAAAACGAAAAGACGAAGATGAATTTGAAACAAACCTCGTCGACTTCGCATATTGTGGCTTGCCTTGTAACAGTTCTAACACTTACAACAGAGGTGAGTCATATATCTATAATAAAATATATTTGAAATAAATTCCGCTGAAATCATACAATTAGTTGCTCACTTAAACACTGCCTTCGTTTATAACAACCTGTACGTATTCGGTAATGCCTTATATGGGAGAAGCGCACATGTTTAATGGATTTGGTTAGTCATTGCGAAATAATATTCAAAACGTTGTAGCATCGTGATGATCCACGTGTTACGTTGAGGTAATGTTTAGGAATGTACATCATCACAATTATTTTTATAAATAACGTTTCTCAGTGTTGCCGATTCCACAATCTATAATGCTAGATCAAGCTTACGTTAGAGCGTGCATTTGTGAAAGATAAGTTGAAATATCTTGAATTTTTGACGCCTTAATTTTTTACATAAAATATTAACAATGTGGGTGATATTTCACGCCCGTTACGGTATATAAGGTTGGATTATTCGAGCTTTTTGAACTGTGCCATTACCCCAAACATATCTATCTTCATTTCTGCAATCATGATATCTCTTTGTTTCCTTTATAACAGTATGGTATTTGGGGATTTTTAGAAATTATATCAGACAAAAATAAAGTGAATATATTAACACGAGATTTTCCATCTTTGATAACACCCTTCCCTCAGTCTGATTTTTAATCGTGGTTTTAAGTTTTTCGCATAAGCGATAGGAGGTTCTGCCCCATGTCAATTTCAGTATTTACTTGTTTGGGAACATTAGTCCACATACACGTCACTCGAGGGATTTGCCTTATCTCTGGTTTAATCAATTTAATTTAATCTAAGCTAAAAGGTTAAGAATGCATATTTAGCATCTAAAAGTACGTTCTTTGTGCTGTATAAATAAAATATTATCAGTATGCTCATATTTCACCTGCACATCAATATCTCTTTCTGGTAGGCAAGACCCATTCTGAGCGGAAGTAACAAACTTCATAAGTAGCTCTCAATGATTAATACTGCCATTCTTTGGTTCAAATATGTCTGATATCAAACGGAGACTGAAACGTGTAGACACGTAATATTTAGTGCTGTCATACCTTATCTTTATGAACACTACAACCAAATATTATTTATGTTATTGACGATTTGAAAATATGTCCAGAACTGATTAGGTCAGATTAATCTAACTCCCCACTTCTAGACGTCGATATGATCACACTTGTATGATAAATGTTGACGTATAAGTATATTTTTATCTTCTTTTAGGGATAAATTAAAAATCTTAAATATGCATCTACTTGTATCATGAGATTTATAAATTTTGACTTTGTTAAGTTATGACCTCAGTTTGACCTATTAATAGCGCAATACCGTTGGTTTTATTAGGCTATCTTTGATTGTATATTTCCGTATTTAAGAAAACTTCCCAAAGGGTTTGGATACGCCCCTACCACTCCCATTTCCAACTATGTCTAAATGACATGAATGAATCCATTTAACAATTATTTCCTGACAACTAAAGTATACAAGTTCCGTCCATTAACTTCTAATTACTGACTGCACCTTGATATGATAGATGGCCCTATTAGAAAAACCTAAGGTCACAACCCAGTCACACGAAGTGTCCATAGCAGATACTTGGTTCATAGTGTATAATATACATTCGTCCCTAAGTTAAAAACACACATGTCAATATATAACATGTGATTAGATACTATACTACTATTAAAATTACAACTGATCTGATGACACTAGAGATATTATGCAAAATATAAAACAGGATAACGGTACATATGACATTATAACCTACCGTACTTATTATTGATTGGACAGTCTTATGACTTCTGGCAGAAATGTATCTTTATCACAATCCATGCAAATGTGTACTGGTGAGGTCAGGTTTAGGCCACATGTACTACAGGCCTTCATATCTACCCCGTGAGAAAGTTTCATCATTTGTATCTTCCTAGAGAACATTTATCCATTTTAGCACTTGCGATCATTTAATATTAGTGGTATCTTTATAAATTCACTAAGGACAAACATTCAACATCAGATCAACCCTTCACAATAGTTTGATTATGATTTTGAATTAATAGAGAACTTTGTCCAGGTTTACTAAGCTCTGAGAAACGGGTACGTCAAATCACGTCCTAACAGTTTGAGTCATCCTTGGTCCAAGCGTATTTCATTTCTTTCCTGAACTGAGTAATAAATGAAGTCCTTTGAATGAAGGATGGTTCATGATGGTTTGAGTAGTTCTCGAAATTTATTATAAATTTGCTATTAATGATCGGTATTAATATTTCATTATTACTTTTTATCATCTTCAAAACATGATTAATTACAACTAGAATGACATTGAATTAATATCAGCCTCATAACTCCAAGTGTGTTGATATAACAAAAGTAAACACGTACACTAAACATAACGACGAAATTTTGGCAACACCTTATCAGTTTGTGACAATGAATTTGTAAATTGTAAATATTTATTTTATTAAGTAAGATAAATGGGCTTGCGAGTCTGGTGCTCTGGAATGTCAGTGAAGGACACATTGAAACAATCCCCAATTAGCAATAATGGCTAAGGTGCACTTTTCAAGATTAGACGTGACAGAATAATGAATCTTGCAATCGGCAGATATGCGGAGAATGTCCATCTTCCAATATAGATTCCATGAAATGAGCAGATAGCCAAATAATAACAATTGCTAAGTTATTCTTAGTTATACTTCAAAATATTGAAAAAATTCTGTTAAAGTTGATAAAACTTGCTAATTCTCCCAAGGCTTCATAATTGATTTCAAGTCTGGGCCGGGTACCTCCAAGCTCCTACAGTGGTGGTCTCCGATTGACGTACGTTGACCACCACTGCCACGGGAGTTAGTTTCTCATTCACTGAGAAATCATCTGTGAACGAAACATGCTCATAGGTTCTCATTAATTTTATTTCTCAGTTTCTACTGTGTTTCTGTTCAAGTTGTCAATTGCGCTTATACGTATATTTGAATTGGTACTTTTTACAGTAAAGTAGCTGTTTGGTGTAATTAACAGCTAGTATTCCCGTCACAGAATCAATAATATTTATTGCAATTATTCTCTTTATCAATTGCACATACGTCATCTAATAGAGATGGAGTCGACCCGAAATCGTTAATTCTCCCACGATCTGCACTCAGGATTGTGATTAGGTATAGGAATGATAAATAGTCAGCCATTAGCACAGTTCTTGCATCATCATGTCCTGGAATGAGGCAACAAATAGATACAAGGCTACTACAATACTATAAAGCTACATCTCAGATTTAAATAATATAATTTTGAAAGAGTTTTAACCGTTAATGGCACTTTTGGATGTTTTATTGAACGTTATCTATATTTTACGTCGTGTGTGTGGGGTGATCTAGCTGTTAACCAATCAATCAATCGATCAATCAATTGACAATTCAGTCAATGACGATGAGTACTTAATCATACCTCTCCTCGGGTTAAGCATGATGTCATTTCCAGTCATAGATGCAATTAGTGGTTGAAGGGCCATATTTTTTATTCACTCAAGGTTTTACATACTGGCAATCCAATACTTGTTAATCAAAAAAAATGTATCACCGATTAACACCTTTTTTATGACACAAAGTCTGTAGACAGGACCGGCTGACAGGATTGTCACTTGGGCGAAAAACTCCCAATCATCGTTGAAATTACAGATCCAATTTGTAACCGTTTGAAAAATGAAGGCAACCAAAACTTATGGCCGACAATGTATCTCCCCACAAAGTTATTAGTGTACATATTAAACGTTAATATACCTAGAAGTTAGAAATTTGTAAAATATGTGGCCGTACATCACATTGCGGTAGAGCACTCTAATAAGGCATATGACAAAATAACAAATAAACGTAACCACATAACACCCATCATTCTTCCGTGATCATTTCTGAAAAATTATGAGGTATTCAGAGAAATCTGAAATTTCTAATCGTGAAAATAACACCATCATGGGGAAATAAGAGTCGAGTCAAGTTACTGTCAAGTTAAGTCAAGTTACGGCATTATATAATAACTTAGAACTGATTACTGAGTATTCTCCACAAATGGCAGAATCACACACCATCGTGGTGTTCCAGAGATGCACTATCTCTTACAAAAAAGCATTTAAATATAAATCGGGACATATCAGAATGCAGAATCAGATCTAGCTATCTTTTATAAACCTTCCAATTTTAGAACATTTGGGTCAATTGCTGCTTACCACTCCTTACATCTGCGATTCCTCCTTTACTATTGTACCATTGCATGAACATAGAAATTGCATACGATTGTCTTTCTACGTACTACTGTTGTTATTAACTGTGTACATCATTCCACTGTGTTGCAGGCGTTTAGGCTGGACAGAAACTTGCGAAAAAGGAACTTTCTATCTGGTGGTAAGGATCCTTAGTTATCTATTAATTTGATTTACTGAACTTTTATCGCTTTTCTTTGGAAAATCAGTATGTTTAATCCAACATCGTGCATTGAATAAATAAAAATCGTCTCCTCTGTAAAATCATGACATATTCACTCAAGAGTATGCGGAGATTTCACTTAAAATCACTAACTGACAATTGCAATTTTACCCATCAAGATTATAATTTCCCCCTACTTTGAAAATGCAACAATTATATAATATGAAAAATTTAACCTAATTTCAGTTGGAGAAGAGAAACCACATAAACTATTCTTCAATGAGGAAGTGCCTCCAGAGAGAAAAGAAGTAAGCCTCGGCGAAAAGGTTGTAATCGAGTGTTCTGCTGGCGGAAGTCCCTCACCAACAATACATTGGCTTTACAATGGAGAGAGGTTACAGCAGGTACGTTGGTTTATATGTGTCATACCTATAAGTCTAAGAATGATCTTAACCATTACATAGATCATTAAAAATATTGGACTAACTTATGTAATAGTAAAGTCAGAAAATATTGTTTGGTTTGGTTCAGATACCAACTCGTGCTGACACCACCGAAATGTTAAGTAAGGTAAGCACTGAAGCCTCCATGACATAAACTGCAGACGATATCCCATATTGTGGAATTGAATTTAAGGATTCATAAACCCGATTGATGACCTGACTAATTCACTTTATTGAAAGGATTAGCTTTTGTTGCTTTTATTTATCCTGTTGTATTCTTTCTAAGACTTTTATTACAACGAATAAGTAATTGATCCCGGAACTATGCAATTTGACCTAACATTAAGGCTTTGTGAAAAACAGATTTTAGATGAAACTAGAGCAACACATCTATAAATGTAAATTGCGAATCAGAAAGAGAATCAAATGCCACTTCCCTGTCAAATATTTATAATATTATACATATACGTTTATTTTCAGAGTGAAAGAAACGTTATCGAAGATGAAACAACAACATTTGAAAATACCCCAAAAAATAGAAAAATGAGTCTTTTGAAGTTGAGTTCTACCAAAGCCAAACTGACTATAGACTGTGTTACACCGGAAGACCAGGGTACATATACTTGTGTAGCAAGCACGCCTTACAATACAATTACAGCAGATACAGAAATGTATGTGGGTAAGTACACGAATTAACATCATATTTCTAATAGTTAAATACATTCTTGAATAATATTTTCGTCTATTGAATCTATATGGTAAAAGCATACCTGGCAACGTTATAGAAATAACAAGGAAATGCGTATGAATAGTAGATACACTTTAAAAGCACTTTTTGCTTTTGAAATTTAAAAAAAAATATAAGTTAATAATTTGATATTTGGTTACATTACAGGCAATGATATTGGAGGCGATGTAAGTGAGAGGTGTGTCGTCAAGAAAAGCGGAAATGGTGAGTTCCCAAAATTAGCCTCATATTTTTACTAATAAACAGAGTATTTCATTCAACTTGATATATTAGAAATAACCATGTTATGAGTAAAACTGATGAAATGTTTTTGAATTACTCAGCCTTGAATATATAAATACATACACATATACGTAATGTGACATATTTGGTGTTGTGAAAGTGAAGATGTCATTGTTTTGGTGAAGATGTCATTGTTTGTACATGTTTGTTTTCTAGCGATACCAATATTTGCTGATGACTATTTTATACCTGGTACGTTTCACTGTAGTACATGTTCTAAGTGTGGTTCACCTTTTTCTAGCATGGAATTTTATTTAATATGTGTGCTGTGACTGATTCTCATTTCTGTCAACATCATATGGTATTGCTAAATTTCAAGACTGCATTGATAGTAATATATGATGTTGATGATGTGTTACAATTGCTTTCCTTAATTAAGTTCACCTGATCTATCTCTTAAGTTCATCACACAGTAATATAATTTTCTAGTGCACCGTCTACTCAATCATCATTCCTAGATTATTCAAATAGATCAAATGAGACTCAATCAAGATGAATTTGGAATATAAACAACTTAAAACGCCCGCTATTATATTAGATAACCCACGTTCGTTTATATAGTTTAAATTATGTATAAATGTGGATTCCGTTGATTTCTAGTATTACTATTATTTCCAATCAGAAAATTCATGCAACTTACGATTAACAATCCGACGTTTCCGTAATTATTTACGTCGTGTCATTTTTACTCTGTAAAATACCATGCATTCAAGTATGTTTTACCCTTATATGAGCTGGCAATTACAATTAAGCTTGTAGAAATTTTAAGAAAAGTTTTCCCGAGTGCATATAATTCACTATGTGATTAATGTATACGGCATGGCGTTTCATATCTTCATTCAACCAAACCCTTAGGGTATGCTTAATTTTACCTAGTGTATATTTCTGTGAAAAAATCATTCTGCAACAAAGCAAACAGAAATTAAACTTCTAAAATGGGACACAATAAGTTAGGCAATCGACAATTGTATGGTTCAAACATATAACTCTTGTAACTGTGGAGGATTTTAATAGTCTAGTATAAGGTTTTACATGATTTAATATTCATATTTTTGGTGCTTATCATACCTTTATATTCTTTTTAAATTACCTTGTCATCTTTTCACAGACTCATCGGTGGCAGGCATTGCAAGTTTTTGAGTGATTGTGCCTTTCAATTTCGTAAAATGTTTCTTTAATATTTAATTCCCGTAATCTGGCAATACATGTTACACTGTTCTGATTAGGGTTTATGTTTAATAGTTTTATATTTCACGATCCCCAGCCTGGTTATGGGTTTTAACTTTCAATAACTTCATAAGTTATAATAACTTATGTATAGTATAGGACCTCAATTAAAAACATCTTAATAACAACTCGTTGAGAATGTTAACTTTATCATACATGCTATTTTATAAAATAGCTTACATGTATTTGCGAAGTTGTCTAGTTTAGTTTAGTATTTTTTATATAAAGTACTGCTCAATGCTTGTTCATATTTACTTTATCACTTATTGCTTCCAGTCGTTGCATGAGCGGTTGTATTTTGATAGATATTACAGTTCAATGTTTTGACATCAATATTAATGTTCACAATTTTCTAAATGGCAGGCGTACCAGCCCGTGTCTATATGTGGACCTCTCAGAGATTGGAGAAACAGGGGGCTGATGTTCAACTATACTGTCGAGGAGACGGGCATCCAGCCCCAACCGTCCAGTGGATAGATAACAATGGAAACCATATCAACCCAGGACGCGGAGGCAAAGAGCAAGTATGTAGATCATGAAATACAAATATTTAGTGAAAAAATATGTATAAGCTTACATGTATTTTCTTAGCACCTGTGATTCTTTTGGAAATAGTGAGATATTCTAGAGGGGAATAGTGACACTCATATGCGAAACTATCAATCGTTATTCGAATTAAACTATATTTTGGATGAATAAAGGCGATTTACCAGCAAAAATGTCATTATGTCTTAATCAAATGCACTTTCAAATTTATAGGTACTAGAAAACGGTGATCTGTTGATAAAGAACATTCAGTGGTTAGAAAACATGGGCAATTATAAATGCAAAGTGGAGAACGAGTATGGATCCGAAACTGTGGAGACATTCCTTTACCCTGTAAGTATATATTTTCATATATATTGCAAGGTAGCTTCGTATTTAAAATTAAAACATGTTAAAACATGTGTCGAAGTGAGAAATCTTAAAAATATAATTGATCTAGAGGGTCGAAGAGAATTCTCGTACCTTTCAAGCAAGACAGGCTATATCCATTACCCGACGGATCAACGACATCCAGTTTAGCAGCTAGTGATAAAATAATTAATACTTATGAATGTAACTTGATTAATTCATATTCATACACAATATATACTACAGTATGACCATTCAGAAACCTTAATGAACCTATTGTGCTGAAGTTCTTCGTCGGATCACGACAATCAGTAATTTTCTCAATAATTAAGGAAGGAGTGGTATCGATATGGAGAACTGAATTCAACAATGTTTTTCCCTTAAACCAATCATTGAAAACATTCTGTAAAAAACACGGTATTTTATGTAATGTTGACTGATTGACAACAATTTAATGCGAAAATTATTTAGAAATATTTTATATAACTGTTTTTGTTAACATTTTTTGTTTTTTTAGTGCAATTATTTTTGCTCCTTTCTAACAATTCTTGAGAATGAAATAAAATGTCTTTCCGAACCTTGTTGGAACAAAATAGCATATACAACATGTTTTGGACCTCTCAATATTATAGTTATACAAAGGAATTTTGGGTTGATTTTAAAAAAGTATTCAAAAAATTAAAACGCCCCCCCCCCCAAAAAAAAAAAATATAGAAAAAATCAAGATAAACCTTTTATTTCATTAGCAAGATACTTCAACCAGAATTTCCTTTGTACAATTACAATATTGAGAGACCTAAACATATTGTGTTTATGTCGTTTTGTTCCAATGAGGTTCGGAAAGATGTTTCATTTCACTCTGGAAACATGATACCAAGAACAAAACAAGTGTTTGATGTGTTTTCTAAAACAATATAGATGAAAGTATATATATTATATATATTTCAAATAAAAGTGTTACGATTCGAAAGATGACCATTAAATTGACGATGTGTTAAATTTTTTTTAAGACTGGTTTAAGAGAAACGTGCGTACAAAAGGTCCATATCGATACCACTCCTTTAAGTGATTTTTTGTGTAGAAAGAGTGTTCGATGGAAAAAAGATTGTTGTATTTGTATAGCATTAACAACTCTCCAGGTATGCTCTCGGTGAAATCATAAAAATACAATTTTCTGTGATTCATTTGTCTTAGCCATTATTTGAGTCATTTTTGGATTGCTTCCACATATTATCAATAATACGTCACAATATCTACCCATTTTTCTTAATTTTGTCAAATTTCATGAATTTCGCTTATTGGATAAATTATGAAAGACAAGTTTTCTAATTTACAGTTTTGAGTGATTTTGTGGGGCATGACTCCACGGAATATAAGGCATCTGTTAATTTCCAAGTTGTTAACGCTATGCAAGCATACCAATCTTTTCTCCTTTTGAACATTGTATATATAAGGGTTAAGATATAGATATAGGATTTTATTAGTAACTGGGAGGTTTTGGATACAGGGTTTATCCCAAGGGAAATATGTGTATCTCACGAGGGACCGCAGGGACCGAGGGAGGTACACATATTTCCCGCGGGATAAACCCTGTATCCAAAACCGACCGTACATAACTGGTGTATCTAATACTTGAGTGGGTTTGGGGTAGATATAACCTTTACCACCTTTTTCAAATGACAAGATAGACATATACTGTAAAAGCACAATTTATATTTAACATTTTCACAATATTCCTTCAGTTCAATACAATAGAATTGTAACATTTAAACTTTTTGAAAAATTTTAAACTTCTGAAATTTAAATTTTTAAATTTTTTAAACTTTTGAAGAAATTCCCGGGAGCGGGATGGATATATTATATCTGCCCGCATTTTGGCTAGAGCGGGACATATACAATATATCCTGCCCGCTCCTCAGATATGATATATATTCCCGGGTGATATATCTACCCCAAACCCACTCAAGTATGAGATACACAGATATACGCATAAAAATCATGAAGATTCCTTAATTATTGAGAGAGTTATTCCGAAATGAGTAGGTGGCATTTTTTGTGTCACCCTGTAGAATTACTTCCTATGGAGAACACCACCATGCTATAACTGTGTAATCTTGATGATATCCTAGATATGCTTCACACCGGAAAGATAAAAATAATCATTTTCTATATAAAATAATGGATTTCAGATTCATTTAATTTCCGTTATGAAACCAAATACTTCAGGTTTACTTCATAATCCCACATCACTACACAATCCGGCTTTCTTCTCAAATTTCTACATTCGGTAGAGCCAGGACCAAGACCATCGGAGAAGTGTTACGTCCATGATCACCGGAAATGGATTAATTCCGGATGAACCAATCAAACAAAGCATTACATTCTGACCATAAGATTTTGTTTGTCTGCGAATTATTTAAGCGACGACACTAAAATCCTGTAACCCCTTGCCTTACGCGAAATTTGCTTTATTTACGCTATTTCTGCACATCAAACTTTTTAAAATTCGAGAGAAACTTTTTAAAATATATAACACCCATGACAATACTTTCTACTCGTATTTCTATCAAATCATGTAGGAAGTCCATGATCACTCAAGGTGAAGATCACTTTAAAGGTCAATATCATTGGAGAGGTCAAATTTTCGCGTAATATTAGTATGCAATAAATGAACGTGTCTAATTGTCTATGTAAATCCTTGGATTGACTGAGTCTTGCTCCTAAGAAATTTTATGAAATGATTGTTGGCTAAATCAAAGGTTAATGAAAGGAATCAAAAGCTATTTATTTGATCAGAGATGACTTATCAATGTTCATGGTAATTACTCCCCTAATCTAAATCAATATCAAACCGTCTCTAATTGACACATGTCTCGAGAATGATCATTGAAACTAGCAATAAGTCAACATGATCCTTTTAACTCATTTAGAGAAAATTGACAAAATTATAAGTGCTAAGTGCTCATCAATTGTAAGTGAATGCAATGAGAGACCATACAATTTGTTTCCCTTTGAGACTACTTGTTTTGTATGCTAAAATGTATTCAGTCTTTTCCTTCTGGTTTTTAATTAGAAACATACTCAGGAAATGATTGAACGGTACCTGTATTTAACTAAAAAGCAAACGGCCCTTTGATGTAGCATATACATGTATATGCTCGTATTTTAGAGATGTAACATGTAAAATTCGGTCTATGAATCAAATGTTCTAATTTGGGTATTGGGGTGTATATCTAGGTCACTTACAACACTACCTTGTAAAAGGGTTTCAAAATATCTTACTTATTGCCCGGCAAACCCACCAACCAGCTTTCTCATTAGAAAATAATGTACTTTTAAAAGGGAAGATGTATGGTCAATGAAAAGTTGTAATTATGATCCCAAGTAAATCTGATTTGGAGTATTAATAAACGGATATCTAAATATAATTATTGAAAGGCTCATATGAATGGGCATTGGTGTTTTCATTTCTCCTTACTAATCATATTAGCATTGACGTCACATCTAAGTAGCAATTAACATTCAAGCAACAATATCCAATACAAAACAGCCTGTCACAAATGGAATAAAATAAATAAAGTAAAATGCCACATCTATACAAAGATGAAAATGTAATATATGTTTGGCATGCATAGTTGCTACAGCGTTCTCCGTATTTTTATTGCATTGTGATGATATGCAAGTACTCATATATTAAATATCACGAGTTAGAAATGACTGAATCAATGCTGAATTATGCATTTCGTATTTTATATTTTCAGACTGTTTAGATTGGATGAGGTTTCAATGTCTCCTAACATTCCAATCGCTGCCAGCCAAGTAACGGCACCACAAATTATCACGCACCAACTAGCCAACCGAGAGGCACCAAAATTCATCAGCTTGCCAACCACTACAAGGCACATCAAGTAGCACATGTTCATGCGGAAGCAGTTAGATCCCTCGGTGACATTGAGCATCAAACTATGATCATGACACTTGAAGTCTTACTCTTTTCAACCTATGATAGTGGGAAGACCTAAACGTGTTTTTCTAAACTATAATTAAAGTGCAATGCTATTAACATCAGGAAATGTGTTATTTAGATGATTAGATGATATGCTTATTTACGTTGCTCTTGCTAAGATTGCAGTGGATTAAAATCATGAAAATATACCTGTACAAATAAGTAGTTGGGCAACTTACATTTTGGCATATAATTGATTTATCCAAAAAGTAATTGTGATTTTCTTCTTGAACAACTTTAATATCAAAATGAAAAAATGTACAAAGCTTTTTCTCTTGAACGAAATTACAATAAATTGCAAATCCTCTTATTTAGTACCACTACAAATATTTTTCCAAAGCAAGGTGAAATTGTTTTGGTTTGAAAACTACTTATTACCTGAAGAGCATAACTTTAAAGCTAGATTATCAATACATCAAACTGTACTTTGTGTAAGTGTTTAATTGTTGGTCCATTAGTGTATGTGGTGCTTGTAGTTGTAGGAAGAAGTCGTATGACGTTAAATACCCTTTCGGGGCTGAATCTCATATTATTACTAATTTATGTAGGTAATAGACACTAGAAAATGGATTGTAAGATATATTAGTAAGGATGTAGTGCTTTAGGATGTTTGACATAGAGGAGAAAGGAAGTTGATAGCATGTATAGATAGCATGGAAAGATGAATATCTGAAGCAAATGATGGATCTTCTCATTATAAGGCCCCCGGGCTCTTACATGAAAGTAATACCCTATTGTCTCATATCATAACTTTTTACATAAAGCCCATTGAGAATTTATTAAAATAGGTACAATAAGTTGTCTCACTGAAAACTATTGTCAAAAATATATTTCCTTTGAAATTAAATACAATCCTTTTATTCAATGGCTGATATTTCATCAGACAAGGAAAGGGCCTTAAAATGAGAAGATCTGATCCATTAATTATTTATTATTTATTTAAAGAATTGTTTACTTTAAATATTAGTATTGTTACGCCATAATGTTTTATGTGACTTGCTTTGAAGCTCAAGTATGCAAGTGCTACGATAATTCAATTAGACTCCTAAATAATAATTGTCTTTTTAGAAAAAGTGATTTCTAGGGACTTGACGAGCCCTTATTAGAGGTTTCACTCTCTCTGTATGTTGGGACCACTAAACAGACATTTATTCGGATTAAGCAAGTTGTTGACTTATTAATATGTAAAATAGATAATTCTGAAGTACTACTATTTATTACTTGGTCTGCAAGTAAGGTTGTGAAGAAGTCAACAAAATAGCCATTATTTATATTATAAAAAAATGATGTATAAAAAATATTTATTGAGCTAAAGTAAAAACATTGAAAATGTGCAATATCATATTGTATCTAAACCATAAACTCCTCTAAGACTATATATACCTGATATTTTGTTAAGTCTATGTCCAATAGACAGATAGACTGAATATCTTGAGAATTCAGTCTATTGATCATCATGTCCCTCCTCTGGGAAAAAACATAACATTTTCTGCACAAAATTATTATTTAGAAAAAAGACATGACCAAAATATTCCTAAGTTATTGCTAGATCTAATTCTGCCTTTAAGGAAAGAGAGGACGTGATTAACCATGAAATCATCCATTAATTTGTTGATCGGCCCATCTATCTCTCCATTTAACACATTAAACACTGTATTTGAAAATAAAGAATTCAATTCTAAGCCAAGCCAATCTTACTCAGTGGGAACAGAAAGTACAATAGCTTGGTATTACTTGCCGATTGCTTTACCACCGAGTGATTGGACTGACTGACTTCATATCAATATTATATGGCCCTGCTACAATAGCTTGGTATCTTGACGATCGCTTTACCACCAAGCGATTGGACTGAATGACTTAATATCAATATTATATGGCCCTGCTACAATAGCTTGGTATCTTGCCGATCGCTATACCACCAAGCGATTGGACTGACTGACTTCGTATCAATATTATATGGCCCTGCTACAACAGCTTGGTATCTTGCCGATCGCTTTACCACCAAGCGATTGGACTGACTGACTTCATATCAATATTATATGGCCCTGCTACAATAGCTTGGTATCTTGCAGATTGCTTTACCACCGAGCGATTGGACTGAATGACTTCATATCAATATTATATGGCCCTGCTACAATAGCTTGGTATCTTGCCGATCGCTTTACCACCGAGCGATTGGACTGAATGACTTCATATCAATATTATATGGCCCTGCTACAATAGCTTGGTATCTTGCCGATCGCTTTACCACCGAGCAATTGGACTGAATGACTTCATATCAATATTATATGGCCCTGCTACAATAGCTTGGTATCTTGCCGATTGCTTTACCACCAAGCGATTGGACTGAATGACTTCATATCAATATTATATGGCCCTGCTACAATAGCTTGGTATCTTGCTGATCGCTATACCACCAAGCGATTGGACTGAATGACTTCATATCAATATTATATGGCCCTGCTACAATAGCTTGGTATCTTGCCGATCGCTTTACCACCGAGCGATTGGACTGAATGACTTCATATCAATACTATATGGCCCTGCTACAATAGCTTGGTATCTTGCTGATCGCTATACCACCAAGCGATTGGACTGAATGACTTCATATCAATATTATATGGCCCTGCTACAATTGCTTGGTATCTTGCCTATTGCTTTACCACCGAGCGATTGGACTGACTGACTTCATATCAATATTATATGGCCCTGCTACAATAGCTTGGTATCTTGCCGATCGCTTTACCACCAAGCGATTGGACTGACTGACTTCATATCAATATTATATGGCCCTGCTACAATAGCTTGGTATCTTGCCGATTGCTATACCACCGAGCGATTGGACTGAATGACTTCATATCAATATTATATGGCCCTGCTACAATAGCTTGGTATCTTGCCGATCGCTTTACCACCGAGCGATTGGACTGACTGACTTCATATCAATATTATATGGCACTGCTACAATAGCTTGGTATCTTGCCGATCGCTTTACCACCGAGTGATTGGACTGAATGACTTCATATCAATATTATATGGCACTGCTACAATTACTTGGTATCTTGCCTATTGCTTTACCACCGAGCGATTGGACTTCATATCAATATTATATGGCTCTGCTACAATAGCTTGGTATCTTGCCGATTGCTTTACCACTGAGCGATTGGACTGACTGACTGACTTCATATCAATATTATATGGCCCTGCTACAATTACTTGGTATCTTGCCTATTGCTTTACCACCGAGCGATTGGACTGACTGACTTCATATCAATATTATATGGCTCTGCTACAATAGCTTGGTATCTTGCCGATTGCTTTACCACCGAGCGATTGGACTGACTGACTTCATATCAATATTATATGGCTCTGCTATATGGCATTATAACCATGTCTTCATACTTTGACAGGTGTCAATCCCAAAAGGAGAATTTATAGATTTCATAATACATTCATATACCTGCTACTTTCAATATGCCCTTAGGTCGTCATTGTGTCAAATATGCACCTCTCCCAAGGTCAGGTAGAGGAGGGCAGGTTTGGCAGGTGGCACAAAGAGTGTTTGGCATGCCTATGTTTATTTAGAGCTTACTTGATACAATTACAATTTAAGTGAATGTTATTTTTAAAGACAAAATGTGCTTGGAGCTATATGTATATTTGAATGAATTTATACCTTTAAATGAAATAATCAGTCAAATGAGCGGATGCAAGCTTGTTGAATGCTTCTATACTGTAGCTTGCTGACTTGTAAGAACATTTCATCTATAAGACTAAATAAGGTATTTTGTGCAAACCATTTAAAGTAAAAAGTAAAATTGAACTTTTGGTCAAAGCAAGATTCATGTTCCAGACATTTTCCCAATTCTATTGGTGCATCCAGATCTGGGGGATATAATATCCTTAATAGTCTTCTTTGTTACCACCACAAGTGCTGACAAATTGTTACAGTTTTTTTTGTTGGAGTTTGGTGCTCGGTGTCTTTAACAAATGGCAGGTAGTCACACTTTGCAAGTTAATGCCTTGCTCTCTTAAGTGAGAAATCTATACTCCTCTGGTATTTCCCCATGTAACAAATCTCTACTACCCAGTAAGCCAAAACTACAAGATTAGAGAAATACATCTTTCTGAAAAATATGACATTTTTGCCCCATTCCAGCACACATATGTGCTGTACATGTAGTATGCTTTGCATGTTTAACACTGGAATATCGACAAAAGCTGTTTTAAAAAAAATATTGATAAATGTCAAGAATTCCATTGTATGACTGAACCTGGAGGACCTTTATTACAAGAAAATACATCTGCTTGAAAGCCAACTGTCTAATTCATTACATGAGGAGATATGCCGAGTACTAAAATAGTACTCATGGCATTTTAACGCTAACCGAGTACTCATTTCAGTAAATATTTGTACTAAATGAGCACTTATTACACGAGTACTGATTTATTGCATATTTTGATACTCATACTAAATTAGTACTCATGATGAGTGATAAAATAGCAGAAATTTCATTGATTGTTTAGCGCTAAATGAGTACTCATATCATGAGTGATAAAATAGTACTAATAAAATTTATTTTTCAGCATTAAATGAGTACTCATATCATTAATTAGTACTAAATTAGCACTCGTGGCATGAGTGCTCATGAGTGCACTTTTGCCAGAGTGCTAATTTAGTACTAATTTTGTACGAATTGAGTAATCTGCATATCTCCCTGTGTAATTCACAACTTTTAAGCTGTCATTATTAAGAAATTTCGAACAAATATGACAAAGAATGAACAGGACGTAATAGCCACATCAAGTTTCAATTGCTACAATTGTTATAAATGCAAAACACTGATATTGACTCCCAAAAGTCGTCACAAAAATGGTTGCTAGCATGATGGCAGAACTTCATCTTGGTGACATGATATGATTATCCATATTAGAACAAGGTTTAATTATTCATTTAAGAGTCCAGGGGCAATCTATAACACTTACAAAAATAAGTAGTACAGTATGGAGATAATAAAACCCCTCGTGCAATTACGCAACTGCCATATATTCTACTTTGTGATGTCCCTTGATTAATCAACCAATTGCCACTGGTTTTACAACAAAATAATTAACTCTACAAACCTTAATAAATTGTATCATGATGTAATTGTATTTCAAAGAAAGCATCAAATTGCATTATAAAAATTATATTTTGTTGGGAAGCATTTCATTTTAGGTGTAGCGTCAATATTGCACTAAGTATAATAAACTTTCCTACTTCCAAAGACTCTGAACAACACTAATTACTTAATGGCTCACATAAATAATGTAGAGTTCATTATCACAAGTAATCGAATGTGATATTCGCCAGTTCTTGTAAGGTACCCTAACAGAAGATTATCATTCCGCCACGGTATATGTTTCATTCTTACACAAATATGCCAATTTTTGGAATTAATTACACCAAGATAAATATCATGTTCTTTGGTGGGATATATAACATACACACTACTCATACCAAGTTTTGTTGGTGAAAAAAATCTATTTTGGGTAAACTGCCAATAAAGCTGACCTCGAAAAATGTTCCACCTGTAAGCTGTCAAGTTGGAAAGAGAATAATATATTGTTGTCGACAAGTTTCATTGAATTAGGAAGCAAAATATCTAAAGATGGTATATTACATATTGATTATGTCACTATTTAAGGAATAAAGACCGAGATTTAATGATTTATGGCGTAATAAATGACTGAAAATTTTATTCTGTTCATTGTTAGAATACCGAAATCTTTGGCAATGGCCAGAATAAAATTTGTCATATATTTGACATTAGTCATAAAATAAAGGTCTTTGTTACGATTCTAATATGATAATAAACAGACAAGAAACACAACTATTTGTATTTATGAATTTTAGCGGTCATACATACCTCCAATTAGACCAGTAAATCAATTGTTATGGTGCTATGGTGGCATTACGAATCATATTAGAATCTGAGATATATACTGCACATTCATGTATGATGTTTGTTACACTGACGGATCCAGAAGCTAACAAGAGCTAAAAATATTTTGGACCACTAAATACCTAAAATTGGGCCCAAATTTTGAAATTTTGAGGTCCATTTTTTGATAATTTGGGCCTAAAAATTTTTGGGGCCCTAAAAATGGATCCGGATCCGCCAGTGTGTTATCATGTTTATAGTGACACAATCTTCAAATATGCCTTCCTAAAGGATTTCTGCAATTCTGAGTTACATGAGTTGTCCCCAATTGACAAATTATATAATTGCCCTCAATCATCAGTGTTAAAAATGAATAATATTACTTGGACATATCATCAAGAAATTGCAGAACATGAGATACAATTTTCGATGATAGAACGAAAATACTTGAATCTCATAGTCCACACATTTTGTTGAATGCTGTATGCTTCAAATGATCTTTGAAATGATTATGATAACCTATCTGTTAAACAAAAGGTTTTATGTGTAGTGTCTGTCAGGATGATGCCCCTGTGTCTGGATATTGCAGTGGTAAGGAGTATTCGCCATGTTGTCCCCAGTAATCTACAGCTCTAACCCGATAAAAGCCACGAACCAGCGTGTCATCTATATGAAAAAGCATAAAATAATAGTAAAATATACAATTCAACTTCACATAATGATTTCAAATATAAACAGCAACTCCATGGAGAAGCAAATCCCAATGAACACTATAGCATATACAGATCTGTATTTGTCAGAATGTAATATTTTCCATCTACTCTTCCCTTGAAAATACTTGTGTTAGAGATATATCAGAATTTCCACTGAATTAAGTATTTTGGTGACCATTTAAGAGTTTCAAAGGCACAAATAATTAAGACAATAATCAGTTCTAATAAAGTATCATGTCACCATACTTTAAAGAAATCTCTAAGTAACAGTGAGTTCCTGCTAGGCTGCCATTTTGAATTTTCTGAGGCAAAAATCAGAAAAACAATACCATAATTCTGATCTACACCATATTTCCTTCAATTTGAGTATAATATAGCCATGCTTTGAAGAGATCAAAAAATTATTGCGAAATGCCACATTTGGTGGCAATTTCAAATTTTACGAGGCCCAAATCAGAAAAATGATACTATATTTGCATCCTATTCTAAATTACCTTTCATGTGAGTATAATAAAGCTATACTTCAGAAATATCTCAAAATTGACGCAAATTCCTGTTAGCAGCCATTTTGAATTTTCTGAGGCACAAATCAGAAAAACAATACCATATTTGTGATCTACCCTAAAGGATTGGTATCGATATGGAGAACTGAATTCAACAATGTTTTTCTCTTAAACCAATCATTGAAAACATTCTGTAAATAAAAAAAAGGTATTTTATGTAATGTTGACTGATTGACAACAATTTAATGCGAAAACTATTTAGAAATATTTTATATAACTGTTTTTGTTAACATTTTTTGTTTTTCTAGTGCAATTGGTTTTGCTGCTATCTACCAATTCTTGAGAATGAAATAAAATGTCTTTCCGAACCTTGTTTGAACAAAATAGCATATACAACAACAACATGTTTTTAGACCTCTCAATATTATAGTTATACAAAGGAATTTTGGGTTGATTTTAAAAAAGTATTCAAAAAATTAAAACAAAATCCCCCCAAAATAGATAAAAATCAAGATAAAACTTTTATTTCATTAACAAGATACTTTTTTAAAATCAACCAAAATTTCCTTTGTACAATTACAATATTGAGAGACCTAAACATGTTGTGTTTAAATTGACGATGTGTCAAATTTTTAGATTTTTTTTGTGACTGGTTTGAGAGAAACGTCTGTTCCAAAAGTACTCCATATCGATACCACTCCTTTCCTTCAATTTGAGTATAACATACTTGAGCCATACTTTGAACTCTAAATTGGCTTTCATTTGAGTATAATAAAGCTATACTTTAGATTAATACTTTAGATTAAATTAATGCAAATTCCTGTTTTCCCGACCCCCATACACAGCCCTTGGGGGTCAGACTGAAAAACTTGGGAACATATGTGACAAAGATAGATGTTGTGAATATACTACTAAAATTTCAAAAAATAATATTCATTTCTTTGGTTTAAATGAAAACTAAATTTTTCAAAAATATTCCTGGCATTTCTAAAGTGGTGGCCATCTTGAAAATGTTTTTTGTGTATAAACTATTCACCAATATGCTTATTTCCACCAATTTTGAAGCAAATCCATCCACTATCTAGTATTTGAGTTATCTTCTGGACGGACTGATGGACGGACAATAATTTCTTCAATCTTTGCTTATTTCACCTGTTTCTTGATATTTGTGAAGCAAGATGGGCTCTTATCAGGGAGTGGGCTCTTATCAAGGAGAGGGTGGGCTCTTTGTGGATGGGGCCTTATTAGGGAGTGGGTGTTCATCATTATTGAGTTGCAACTATGAAGTCAATTGTTACTGACGCAATACATTCATTCAATGAAAATTACAAATAGCAGTAAAATTGCTTCATCAATTTTGATCAGCATTTTATAGCTAATGTGGGACTGGGGACATACATATTAAGTTCAGATACAGCAGTGAAAATGCATATGATGGAACACCAACTGCCAAACATTGAACACAGTTCACAAAAAAGTTGGAGACTATAACAATATTTCACCATTTGTGATGAGGTTGATTTTATCAGCATTTCGAAGTCATGAAAAACTCTGAGGAACACAATTTCTTTTTGATACCATTTGTCTGCAAATGTTGTAGAGATAGTAGTCCATACAGTTAGCCAAGCAAATGTGACTGATGCATAAATTGATGCCACAAAAATTTACCTTTCTTTGTGGATACGGGAGCAAATACAATTGAAGTAAATATAGTGTCTATTAGATTGATGTTTGTGTAAGGTCCCTCTAATGTGCTGCTTCGCTCTACTTCATAAGTCTTAATGCAACTGAAACACAATACAAAAATCATAAATAAAGGTGAAATAAGTTTGATCCTTTTAGGATAGAATGATTAGTCTGTCTAAGTAGTTGAGACAGTTCACATTATAAAAAAATTTCTGATATTTCTTTTGGAGTAATTTCTTAATAAAATCATGCTTCATTTGTATATGGCTTAAGGGATATTCCTGGTCACGGCATATCAGGAGAAAAACGGTCTGGCAAGGAATATCTCTTTAAAGGAAATAGAAGAAATAGAGATTGCAAAATGTTGTAAGCAATCTTTTTAAAGCGCATGTCAATGTTGTTGTTTTTTCGGAGATATCTGAACAAATATAGAAGTTATTGAAGATTTAAGCAAGTCTCAGGTTTAAGTGAATCACATCAACTTGTAGTAAAGTTAAGTTTTGAGTGCACAATTTCACACTTACATTTTCATATCAAATTCTTGAAAACTACAAGCGAGTATTGACAAAAACTGTATTAACATTATGGACTCATATAATTCCTTGTCATGTCTATTTTCTAAAAATTGTTTTAACATTTTGGGCTCATATAATTCCTTGTCATGTCTATTTTCTAAAAAATAGTTTTAACATTTTGGGCTCATATAATTCCTTGTCATGTCTATTTTCTAAAAAATTGTTTCAACATTTTGGGCTCATAAAATTCCTTGTCATGTCTATTTTCTAAAAAAAGGTTTTAACATTTTGGGCTCATAAAATTCCTTGTCATGTCTATTTTCTAAATATACCAAAAGTGTATACTGTATTTGAGGAAATCTAAAGATTTTTACAATTATGCATTCATTTTCGATATAAATATGAAAACCAATTTTATTATTTGGGGGAATTTAAACATTTTCCACATTTTGACACCGAATCTTATAATTTCACCAATTTATTACATATCATGGATCTTTTGAGAGATATTATATTTGAGATTGTAAGGAATATATCTGTAGGTCAACTGCACATGTTGTTTGCGTCACTCTGTATAGATCTGATTCTGCCTTTAATATCATCTACTAATAACAATGATAATCTGGTGAGATGTGAGTAAAACAATAAAAATATAATGAAAAATAAATGATCCTCTGATCCTGCGTGCATATATTGTGTTAAGGAATGCATCAATATACTGATTTACAAAGAGCACTATATAATTACCCAAGGGAAAGGATGAGGGGTCACTTTCATGTGCATGCAATTTATAAAATCAATTGGATGTTAAAACAATTCAATGGTATGCCAAACCTAATACTTAATTTATTTATGAGTGTGAACTGATTCATGTCTGCATTAATGACAAAATACCCAGAAGAGAACTTATTCCAAGGTAAATCTATAAAAGAAAATCCACCGCGTTCATTGACATTTTTTCATTTTGCCCTAAGCAACAACCTCCCCACGCTTAACATGCACCACATTCAGACAACCTCATATCAAGTATATAAATCATTCTATAATATTCAACACAAAGCATTTAATTGATGCTTGTGTTTTGAGGGAGAGGGGGTGGGTTAACCTAAACATTTGGCTTTATACTAAAACACTTTATTATATCATTGGAATTTTTCTTTATTTCTCAATGGATAATAACTGATCACATGATTAAAAAAATGATTGTATATTCTTCTGTCACCTGCAGTCTCCATCTGCCTCCATTTTAACTATGTTGCGGGGAAAGATGAATGTGTACTCCCCAATAGAATGGAATATTTGGTATACAGGGTGTACTAAAAATTTGTACCCAAATGAGACATGTCAAAAATTCATGAGAAGTTTGACATTTCAAACGAAATGCTCTAAATGACTTCCATCATAATTGATGCAGAACTAAGTGCAATTCCAAACATGGAAAATGGGTGATGGTACAAAAATAGGTTTTTCTCTTAAACTAAATAGAGTTACCTGATGAAACTCAGATATTTATGATAATTGACATGGGCGTAGGGCTAAATTTTGAGTCGGTACGCCAACTTGGGGATGTCTGATCTTGGGGGGTCCAGGGGTATGCTCCCCCGTGAAACTTTTTCCGAAGACATTATGTGATGCAATTTGAGCATTTTTATCAACTTTAAATAGTTCTATTCTGATAATACTTAATGGTTAAATATACAAATATAGAATCATCAATAAATGTGTTAACAAAATAATGCATTTTTAACACATTTTTATTTTTTTCAAATTATAGGCCCATGATTGATGTGTCTGTCAGATGACCAAATTTCAAGAATATTTCTTCATCACTCATAGAATTATCCTATATTTGTCTCAGTAAAGATTGGAATATGGGTGGTGGTACTAAGTATTTCTCTAAAAATAAACAAATTTACCAGATGAAACTTTCAGATGTACACTGTATATGATAATTAAATTGTTTGTCAGATGACCTAATTTCAAAATATTTCAGAGTTCTTCGGTGGTACTATTTTTTGGGACACCCTGTATATTGTTACGTTCCTTTAAACTACTAGCATTGTAGCATCGTGACGTCTATGAAAAGGTGCAAATGCAATTAGGGAATAATTACTGTGTCACTTTTGAACTAAGTATTTTATTGCTTGTGAATAATAGAAAACTTCCTAATATGTGTTTATTGCATCATTATGCCATTTGGGTGATATTATTCCACAGGGCAAAGAGGCTATGCGATTACAAAGCATTAGATTCTCTTCACCTACTATCTTTATTACATATGGGATTGAACTAATTTCCCTTTCAGATATCAATATACAAAGCTAAATGATATATAACATTAGAAAATAGGCCTGGAGGCCAGTCAACTCATTTGGACAAAGAGCAGTTGATTTTAGTTAGAAACAAAATGATTGAAAAAACAATACTAAAAACACTAAAATAACATGCAATAGATTGACAAAATGTCACGACAAATCTCAATTTACAATAGAAAATCATTTACAAGTTACTCCACAGGGGCACATTCAATTGGTAATAGCTCGTCAAGATCATAACCTCATAGAAAGCTCGCAGTATATAATTCATCTGTGAATACAACTAGATGTTGCAACGGGTATAAACAAATTGGCTCAAATTATAATTGTTTCTGGAAGAAATACTTCACAAGAGATTGTGTTGGTAAGGTGATTGAGTGTCTACTCAAAGGAACTGAGGATGACATGGAATTGTTGAATTCTTGTTCTCTATGGGGGATCTGATTTCCATGATTGAAACGGATCCCTCATTGCAGACAATCCCTCAAGGCGGAAAAAATTTAATAACATTATTATGATCAACACATATCTTAAAATATATAACCCAATAACCATATTATACTCTAAAAAGTTCAAAAAGGAAACCTTTAATTTTAGAGTATGATACGCCAACACCATTTTTTACAGCTTTCACACGGATAATTGGATCCAAGCAGAGGGTTACATGTAAATACTATACTATACCCATTGCATGAGAATTTTCTTTGCTAGTATAACAAAACATTTGGTATATATTGTGAGGTTTTCTTATTATTTTTATGAAAAACAACTTGAAAATAGACAAACCTTCCAATTCCCTTGGTACACTGTGTAGGCATAAATTCCTAATTGAACTTTTGAAAACAGAAACGCCAAATAGAAGCAAATCTCACGAAACATATCATATTTCCATAGATTCCACAATTCCATAACAGCAACTCCAAATAATAATCTCATGGCACATTTCATATTTCATCAAATTACTCCCACAATTTGGTCAACTGCACTGCAGGATAACAATAACCAAGCAAACTTAATGTCTCCATTTGGCAAAATCTTCAGCAATAGGGTATGTAATATGTAAGTTAGCCTAAAATGTGAAGTTTTTAATTTAAACAGCCATACTGAATAAATACCAGATTTTTATGAAAATTTTTTCGGTTAGAACTCTTATTTTGTACACATTAAGTGAACACCATTTTCTGATTAAGTAGATGTTCACTTTATACAGGTTTTACTGCATTACTTACTGTACATGTATAGACGGGTTTTACTGCATTACTTTCTGAAGAGATTTACAAAGGGGGATTGGCTTACATATTGTCAGGATTCAGTCATGTTTCTACCCTTTAATTAGTAATGACTATACTGTATCTATCTTTAAACATACTTCTGAATATATCCAGTAAGGGGAGGCATCAAAAGTTCAATGTCCGATTTGAAACTAAATAAATCTAGTTTTGACTCTGACCCCCCCTCCTCCAAAAAACTAATTACCATGAAAGTTGATCGCTGACTTCCGGTTTGTGAATTTGAAAAATTATTGCTAAACACATTCTAGTTTTTGTTAATTCCTATCGTAATTTGCGGCTTTTGACAACTATTGATAGAATGGAATCCTTTGGAATGATCTTGATGAAGAAAGCATTAGGTAAAATCTTTATTTTTAAACCATTCCAAGGCATTCTGAGTCAAAATTGCCAAAAATGTGAAATGTTGAAATTTGTCGGATAGCAAACTGAAATGGGTTTGAACCCCCTCCCCCCTAACTAGATTTATTTAATTTTCTATCCGACATCGAACTTTTGATGCCTCCCCTAAGGTAGTAATGCCCACCACAGAAGCCTAAAAATTAATTTTCAAGAAAGTGTATATGAGTATTTAAGTTTTTTATAATTACTCCATATTATTTTGTAATATTAATGTAAATCAAAAAAAAACTTATTTTTCAAAAGTGTGATACCAGGAATTTATATGGCCAGAGCTAAACATTCGTTAATTCATTGCTCCTTTCACACCTCTATCTGACATATTATGCTATACTTGGCATATGTCCATTTCCTGGAGACACTCTCAGATTGTCAAACTTCTATGCTATAACATGGAGTCACATTTGTAACTGGATCTCTTAACTTACTTCACACATTAAACTGGTTTGCTCTTAATATGTCATTTGAGCCTAAATAATGATAATTAGTATAATCTCAGGAAAGAAATCATGTTACCAGAATGACATCCTATAGTATTAATTAACTCCCTTGCAATTGACGGTATATTAACTTTCAGTTACATAATTTGGTCAATAAGTATCTATTCACTGTTAAAGAGACACATGTAATTATCATGAGAGAATTGGAATCCAATGGTTCCAGCTAAATACCAGAATCTCACGTAGGTAGACAGGTAGATGTCAAGTATTAGGTTTTCTACTGACAAATGACACTAAGATAACCTCAATCCAAAAATAATTAGGTTAAATAAAACATGGAGAAAAATTTTGGTCAATTTAAAGCAAGTTCTAAAAATAGCTTTGAGACCTGTTTTGACCTTGAGAAGGTGATTAAAGGTCAGTAATTGGAAGTTGTGCAAGATTTTGTTACAAAAAGAATGAGGTTATTGTAGATGATTTTGAAAAAAACTTCAATTCGAGGTATGTTCGAAAAATACATTTTTGACCTTGAGAAGGTTATTGAAGGTTATCTAAAGTCAGTTTTGAACTTTCGCGAATGCATAGATGATTTTGAAAAAAACTGAAGCCAGGGTAAACAGTACTTGTCAAGTTATTGCAAGTTGTAAGATTTTGTTACAAGAAACTTGTTACAGACGTGTCCACAGAAAAGTTGGAGACCATAACAATATGTCACCTTTGGGTGACATAATGATTATGATTACCCTACTATCACACCAAACTAGTTCTCACTGCGTTCTCGAAAACGGGCTTCAACTTTATACGAACGGACTGGACCTACTAAGAACCATTTGGGATTTATTTACAAACTTCATCGAACGTACTCGAACGGGTAGGTCCTCTAGAACTTAGACAATGCTCAAAATGTTCTCGTGGTCGTCACGTTCTACAATTAGACCGAGTGACAACGTACTAACGACGAGCTGGACGTACTACGAACGGAACCGTCGTACTTCAATCCTACTAGGGACGTTTTAACAACGAGTTGAACTGTCTGCGGACGTGTTGAGAACGAGGTAGAACTAATTGCAAACGGGTTTAAACTGATTAAGAACGTATTTAACACTGCTTTTGAACGAGTTAGCAAAAATATAGCTATCACACCAAACAAGTTGCCACTGCGTTCTTCAAAACTGGTTTTAAACTGTGTGCGAACGGAATGAACGTAGCTGCAACTTTCTAAGGTCTATTTACGAACTTTATGAACGTTCTCAGACGGGAAGGTGATTTTAGAATTTTGAATCGATTCAAAATTCGATGACGACCATACCGTTCTGTAATCAGGTCATGTTGACCTTCTAGACTAAGGGACGCGTTCTACGACGTTGCACTCCGACGTGGTGCGACCTGAACGAACTGCGAACGAGATGGACGTATTGAAGACTGTTTAAGAACGAAGAAGCTAATTATTTCAGACATATTTCCCGACCACAGCCAGATTGAGCCCGTTTGACGACGTTTTCGTAGGACTGGCAAGAACGGGTAAGAACTAGTTTGGTGTGATAGGGGGGTTAATTCAAAGAAAAAGTCAAAGGTCAACCTTTTTTGGTATTGCTCTTAGAACATTGAAGCACAAAACTTTTTGAATGTCCTCAAAGCATTGCTGCTAAGCTGTAGCATGGTGTATTTATCTAATACCAAAATGAGGTCATTAGTAATCAACTCCACATCTGACATTGCACCAATACTGAAAATAAAGTAATGGCTGACAAGCTCTACCAAGCCAGACAAACACTTGTTACAACCCAGGGGCCCCTCGGGAATGCTAAATGATGAGTATAGTTTAACAAGCCAGATACAGGCATATACATTTGGCCATTCTCTGGAGGTACCCTCGGGAATGCTAAATGCTGGGTATAGTTTAATAAGCCAGATACAGGCATATACATTTGGCCATTCCCTGGAGGTACCCTCAAGTTGAGTTGGTTCACATTCATTTAGATTCAGTAACAGCCTATAGAGCAATCAGTATTTATTGGCTCACAAGGGGTACAAGGGAAAAGTCTCTTACTTACCGAGTGTTTATGCATTTGTCACTCCATGAAATAAGCACTTGATCCACAGTTATGTTTTGTATGGCCAATCCATTTGTCTACAAATACAAAATCTGGAATTGAAGTTCTTATCTCACCCTATGTCTACACAAATAACAGCTTACAAAATTTATGGTACTGAATTTATTTATTTTTGGTAGGATTGTCTTTTCCCAACTTGATTCAGCTAGATTTTGGCCTATCACTTCGCATAGGGTGTATATCACTGAGGATGGACTACATCCATCATTCCCATCAATAATGGACACTTGCAATAATTCAATTCCCATCAATAATGGACACTTGAAATAATACAATTCCCATCAATAATGAACACTTGCAATAATGCAATTCCCATCAATAATGGACACTTGAAATAATGCAATTCCCATCAATAATGGACACTTGCAATAATGCAATTCCAATCAATAATGGACACTTGAAATAATGCAATTCCCATCAGTAATGGACACTTGCAATAATGCAATTCCCATCAATAAAGGACACTTGCAATAATGCAATTCCCATCAATAATGGACACTTGCAATAATGCAATTCCCATCAATAATGGACACTTGCAATAATGCAATTCCCATCAATAAAGGACACTTGCAATAATGCAATTCCCATCAATAATGGACACTTGCAATAATGCAATTCCCATCAATAAAGGACACTTGCAATAATGCAATTCCCATCAATAATGGACACTTGCAATAATGCAATTCCCATCAATAATGGACACTTGCAATAATGCAATTCCCATCAATAATGGACACTTGCAATAATGCAATTCCCATCAATAATGGACACTTGCAATAATGCAATTCCCATCAATAATGGACACTTGCAATAATGCAATTCCCATCAATAATGGACACTTGCAATAATGCAATTCCCATCAATAATGGACACTTGCAATAATACAATTCCCATCAATAATGGACACTTGAAATAATGCAATTCCCATCAATAATGAACACTTGCAATAATGCAATTCCCATCAATAATGGACACTTGCAATAATGCAATTCCCATCAATAATGGACACTTGCAATAATGCAATTCCCATCAATAATGGACACTTGCAATAATACAATTCCCATCAATAATGGACACTTGCAATAATGAAATTCCCATCAATAATGGACACTTGCAATAATGCAATTCCCATCAATAATGGACACTTGCAATAATACAATTCCCATCAATAATGGACACTTGCAATAATGAAATTCCCATCAATAATGGACACTTGCAATAATGCAATTTCCATCAATAATGGACACTTGCAATAATGCAATTCCCATCAATAATGGACACTTGCAATAATGCAATTCCCATCAATAATGGACACTTGCAATAATGCAATTCCCATCAATAATGGACACTTGCAATAATGCAATTTCCATCAATAATGGACACGTTTCAACTACAAGTCTATAACAAGGCATTAACATACAAAATGTTACCAGCTGCTGTTTGATACAGACACCAAACACCATACACCAAGTGCCAAACACCACCCAAAAGATTTATCTCCTCCTCCAATACTTAAGTCTAGTTTGTAATAGGTTAATACATTTAGCTTAAAACCTCTGCCTCTTTGGTCATTTAAGCATATGTCTCTGATTTAAGTTGGTCCTAATATGATAGTTTGCTTGTTACATCTAAAATGCTCATATTCTTTCGGAAGCCATATTTATATCTTGTACAAGGTTCTGGACTATTGTACAATCGTAAAAAAGGTGGCATATTGTTGCTACACGTAAGCGACAAAAAGTGCACATATCGGAGTCTGCTAATGTAGACCACACATCTCTAAGTATTTGTTGGTCGTAACAAATCTATGTACATGTATTACTTAATAGTTAAATGATGCAAGTTTAGGTTCGAAATTGCTAAATTTTGTTCATTTTATTTATCATTTCCCAGTCTTCTGTAGCAATTGGTGTATTCAAATCAATGCTCCACTATTTGCAGAATAGGCGCCGTTTATTCGTATACTTTGGATAAATTCCCAGTAGAAACTTATTGAAGTCTTTTTTAATCGTATGGGTTTCATTTATGTTATGTTTACAAGTTAAAATAGTCTTAATGCAGTCAGTTGGTATCAAGTTTTTAAAGATAAAAAGTCCAGGAAGTTTAACCTTACCTTAATTTGGGGGTTTTTGCCCAAAGAAAATACAGACCCCACAACTATTACTTCTGCACAAAATGATATAAACCTCACCGCCCCAATCCTGTTCAAAGATTTAGCAGATTCATTTGTTCAGTTTTCAAAAATTTCCAGGGGGGGGTTCACATTTGACAATTATGGCCCAAATATGCCCAAAATCACTTGAGAAGTGCTCAAAATGGTGAAAAACTGCATGATTTTGAAAGAATTTTTGCGAACCCCCCACCCCGCCTACGGGCCTGGTATATAATCCAATAGTGTATTCTATAAATGCATATAATTTAGTAAAATATCCATTTGGCTGAGCCACAATATAGCAACTTTCTCGGATAGAAGTTTTCATTCACCACCCTCCATATTGATCATGTGTTTCCTATCCTGCAGGACTCCTTTGTCCCCAAGCTTCAGTATATAAAATTTGAACCTAATCTGTCAACCGGTATTTGAGTTATCGAAAATGAAATTTTTACGATGAACTGAGTGGCCATATTGAATATTCCCTTTCCAAGCAGAGGTTCTATGCCTATAAGGCATAAACCTACAAAATTTCAATCAAATCTGTCAATTGGTATTTGAGTTATCATCCAGACAAATGAACAGACAAACAAACAAATGGATGGACAGCTTCTAATTAAAGAAAACACAGAATGAAATTCAGCGCTGGAAAACACAGAATGAATTGGTTATTGATAATTACTATGGCCAAATACACTCATTTACAAATATATTTTATTTTCATTATTTATAATGTATGTGGGTGTAAAAGAGTAATTAGGAGAGTAATAGACTAACTGCCATTCAGTGAAATCCATAGAGGTACAAACTGTTGTAAAAGTAGGAAATAGCCATATAAAACAATAAACTAATAAATATAAGGTATTTATTCATGAGGTTGTCCACGTCATAATAATTGACATCCAATATTGGTTAATTTCCAAGCTTAATAATTTTAAGGGACATGTTAAGCTCTTCCTGCCCTTTCTATTAGTTTGGCTTCGGTACTTCCTCTACATGTTTAGGATTAAGCTCTTCTTACTCTACGTATTTAAGATTATGCTCTGTGACTCAGAATAAGCCCTTAATCCCAAATGACTTTCTCATATAATTACCAAGAAAATAGTGCAATAACAAACAATAGGTGAAGCAAATTGCTGACTACCCTGCGCCTAGTATAGACTATATTATAGTTTAGCAGCCCCGCACCAAAGATTGGTGCATGTGACAGCCCGGGTAATAAATCATTTTAAATCTACCATGCTGACCCTTTCTCAACCAATCAGCGAAGTTGAAGGAACACATGCTAAATATGTGCTCATTAACTATGCCATGATGTCAGAAGAAATGACCAGATAGAAAGTCGTCCATATTTCGATGACAAACTCTGATCGGCTCGGTGAGATCAGAGATTTATTGTAAACTGAAAGAGTGAAGACGAAGTTCTCTTTTAAGAAGTGAAGTTAAACGATTGCAAAGGGTAATTGCTGACCATATGATGTGAAAAAGTGATTTCAAGTAGATGCTGACACCAATTAAACTTACCAACATAAAAGGATATGAGCAATTGTTCAGACAATTTTAATTTGTACAAAATTGTTGAAAGATTGAGGGACAGGAAGCCAGAAAGACCAGTGGGTAATTGCAAACGCCAAGATTCCAAGTATTAAATGAATCTAAAAATAAAATCAACCAAATTATATTTGGAATTTCTGCTGTTGGAATGCTCTGTTCACAGTATAACATAAGCTCATCTTCTAAGATACGATAGCTATTAGAAAGTAGATTTTATCTCAAGATTGAACAAAGAATCTCTGACACAATACGTCAATTAAGTTAATGGAATCCTGAGAAGCCCATAGACAGTACTCGAGTTAAAAGACAATGATCATTGCAATGTGTCCTTCAGATTGTCCTTTAATTCTTAAATATATTATTTGCATTGTGTGATGTTTGTTGCTTAAAGATGTTTTACAATGTTTGCATTGTCCCAATGATTGTCCAGTGGTGATTGTAATGCAACAATTTACTAAACAATTAATGTCAACGGACATGTTTGCTCCTAATGTACTGTTATTTTAGTGCTTGGGCACTACTTATAAAAGAGTTTCATTTCATGATCAAATATCTTACATTGTTTGTCTGGGCACTTCTGATGCGCAAAAGCTGGCTGTGAACTTGCAACTGATGGAGAAATATTGATCAAAAAGAGCCAAGGTGGTGCATGTTGCACTTGGGTTAAATAGAGTGTATTGCCCCGCTGTAAAAGAGCCAAGGCAGATGCTGAAAAGTTTGATGAATCAAAATAAACACTGAAAGATCATCGTTGTAAAAACTTCAGATATCGACACATTGAGCCTCCTAGATGATTTTGAAAAAAAGGATTAAAAAACTTGAAAATGAAACTTCTGACCTTTAATTTGAACTCATATACCTATACTTGTACCTGAAAATCCTTAATATGAAAAAAATCCATGTACCAAAGGTTGAGACAATCTCTACACCATATTCCAGGTGAGACGTCTAGTGTAGGCTAGGCTATGAGAAACTTTGACTTGATCTTGTAAAAGAAAATGGGTTTACAATATGGGCAAAAATGGGACAGCATATTTTTGGGCATTTCTCGGTAACAAAATCAACACATTCCTTCAAAGAAATCAAAGTTGATGTAGAATGTTTGAATTGCTTTTACATATTGGTCTAAACTATAAAATTAACTTACATTTGACATTATGATCAATAGGGGGCTAGAGAAAATGGACAATTTTAAATTTTCTTTAATATGAATGGATCCTCACGTTCTCACATTATTGCTTCTGTAATAATCTAATTTCAGAATAATGAAGAGCAAATTGTCATTTCCAGTCATATAAGTTAACAATTATAATTGTAGACCTCTTGGGATATGTATACAGTTATTAATATTCTGTGCAGTGTTTTTTTCAAATAACAATCTAGCTATCTCAAATAAGGCTATGCAGTCTGGCAGCCGCATGGGCTAGCCTTATTTTGTGTGATTACGTTCTTTTCTCTGCAGATTATGCATCATTATTTCAAATACATTTTACATATTAAATGACTCATGTGTCCATTTAGAAAGATAATTTAATAACAATTTCGATCTTATTAATAAAGTACATACTACAGTAACAGTACTAAGTCATCTCAGAATCACAAATTATCACTTTCTGGATCCTAAATAACACATCCTGAATAAGCCCCTTTGAGATTTGACTTGGATTTTGAATGTCTATCAACTTCAATTAAGTTCCCTTTGATAGAAGTCAAACAAAAATCAACATTTTTTACAATGTGCTGCTATCTATTTAAACACTTGAAAACTTATTCCAATCAATTACAATAAGTTGCTGCAGTATCCATGTAGTTCAGTTCATAAATCAGTGTTTGTGTGTCAATATTTGTGTGTCAGTGTTTGTGTGTCAGTGTTTATTTGTCAGTGTCTATATGTCAGTGTTTATGTGTTTCTGGTGGGTTTGTGTAAAAAACCGGGTGACCGGGTAACCGGGTAACCGGATGACCGGGTGCTTAACGTTCCTAGCAGGGTTAGGAATTTTTTTATTTATAACGTTGGATCTGGACGATACATGTACGTTATTTTCGACGTCACGTTTTGAGGTTATTTCACATCGTAAGAACGTTTTGACAACGTTAACTTTTAACATTAAAATAACGTCGGTAATGAACCGATTTAGTGAGAACATATTGACGTCTTTGTAACGTTTCCTTAACTAACAAATAATTTGAAGCCATTTCCACAATGTTGAAATTCAACCATCCATCGAAGCTTTGCTGAATATTTTAATAACGTCAGATCAATACGGTCCATAAACGTCATTATTGACGTCACGTTTTGAGTTTATTTCAAATCGAAAAAACGTTTCGACAACGTTAAATTTTAACGTTAACAATACGTCGGAAATGAACCGACTTAGTGAGAACACAAAGTTTTTGTCATGTTTTAACGTTTGAGTTACGTCACATATGGACCAATGTAGTAAAAAATCAAACGTTCCTGTTTGTTATGTTTTCCACACTAACGAACTTTACGGATACGTTACAACAACGTTCTTTTTGTACGATCAATAGATGTCTCATGTTTATGTTGCATCGATGTGTAAAGAACGAAAATGCGCAACGTCTTCTAGGAACTTATATGCTACTTATGAGCAACGTGACATGGACGTCACTGTTTGCTGGATCGATTATTTTAAAAAGTGCCCTGTCTCGTATTGGGTGAAAATAACGAACAGCAGTGCACTCGGTAGGCTAAGTCTGTCAAGTCAATTCGCTACTATATATCGGGGGAAATGTGGAACTTTGAAAGTTGGTAACCCTGCTAGGAACATTAGGTACCCGGTCGACCGGGTACCCGGTCACCCGTTTTTTTACACAAACCCGTTTCTGGTACTTGAGTGGTTAATTGTTTATGTACATGTAGTCAGTTGTATTTTGTTGTGTAATAATTGTCTGTGCTCTCCTAATGCGTCGGACCATGGGACAAATCTACCTAGATAAACTACGAAGTTGTAGTGTAGCGGTTTCTAGATTTAAACTTGCGAACAAATTGATGGATGTCACCTTATATTGTCTATTTACCACATACAAGGATTTAGAATGAGGCTTAGAATGAGGTAGATTTTAATTTTTTGGTGATTTTTTCCTGGACTGGCAAGAACCAGTCTCGACTGGCTACTAATTAGAAGTAGTCAGTCCAGGGACTGGCTACTTTTGGTCTGGACAGGAGAACTCTACTAACTTGTCAGTCCGTTGGTCCTGTGTGTAATTTTGCCCCCTCTCCCTACAGCCCTGGGTAATTCACGGGTGGTAATTGTGTTCTTTTGTTGATAAACTACCTACTGACAACCATTGTAGTAGTTGTCCTTAACATTCAATGGTGTAAAAGATTTGTTTATGAAGGAAGATAAGGAAATGTCGAATTAGCTCATTGTTCACACCATTAGCGTTAGTATTACTATTAAAAAGCTTCCTGTGTGACTTCTCTGTATGTGGCATATTATTCATTCCCTAATATGTCAATTAATTTTTAACACGATACCATGCAATAATCACTAAATATGAGATTTTCATCAAGTAGAATTTAAGGAAAACATAAGTTTAAAAATTCCATATTTATAATGGAGCTCATTAGGAAAAAAGACTTAACCTGAAATATTTTCAAGCTGCAATTTTCTTATTATTGACAGGAATAATGAGTAATGGTTAAAAGAATCGTTTGAAGTGAAAAAACTACACTGTCCATTTTATGCAACATATGAAAATAAAATGTTCTTAAAAATCTGTTATTTATCATCACAAACTTGTTTTCATCGAATCAAATCGATCTATTTTTTAGTTAGTTTAGCTATTCATATAATTCATTCCACGACCATTGTGATCCTGATCATGTCAATAATTGAAACAATTAAAATTGTAAAAATCAAAAGTCAATCATGCTTTGGTCAAGCCATCTTGCATCTACTTCCTGTTCAGTATATTTAGACCTAATAGACATATAGGAAGTGAAAAGCTGTAATCCCCGACTATCAGTTATTTATCATTGTTATTATAATTCTGAATTGTGTGGAAGAGAATGGGAATTACGCAAGGTTTGCGGTCTTTCTAACTGATTCTCTCTTTGGACTTATTTCCGTTAATGATGAATCATACTGATTGACTTTTTAGGTGAGCATCTCTATGAGGACACATGAACACACATTAACAGGATTAAAAAAGTAATATGACTCGTAACTTAACAATAATTATCACATTTTCTATTAAGATGACTTAAGGACACATTACTAATAAGCAGAATGAATTAATAACTCAAGGTAAAAATAATTATCATATTTTTTAACAAAGATGCTTTAAGGACACATTTATCACGATAGACCATGACGTCTCAAAAAAGAAAGGTGTGATGGCAATCAGAATGGGATAGATTACTCTTCAACTAAAATTAGACTCCACTTTTTCTTTGAATCACATAATCCAACTCGAAATGAATGAATCCCAAGCAATAAGTCGGATATATGACTTTTTGTGATCAAATATGAAACACATGGCCCCATCTAGTTATGTACAAAAAGTACCTATAAATAAAAGAGTCCCAATATCTACATCATTCAAATATAAAGACAATAGGTTACATTTCAAGATCTCCACATCCATTTATTGTACCTTGAGTTTGCTATCATAACCCATCAGGGCACATCTTTAAAAAAACACAGGTATCAATTTATTATGGTATGTAAAATACACATTTTTCTTGAGAATTAAACACCATATTGAATTCAGAGGATATCTTTGATATTGCTTCTCAAGCAGAGGTCCTATGTCCTTAAGGCATGAGTATAAAAATGTTATTTGAGTATCAACATCCTCCTAAGCAGGTATCCAGAATCCGTACCTCCTTCTTCCCCCTGCTATAACCAATTTGAAAGAGCCCGATTAAATTGAATCACGTGATGTGCAATGACTTATACATGATTTCTATTGCAGTGTTGCGACAGCCAATCAGATTGCGAGATCTTAATCGGGGAAATGCTAAGTGCTTATCGCAGGGGGTAAAAAGAAATAATATATTCTGGATTTTGAAGCCCTGTGAGCGGAGGATGGGGTATCAAATATTAAATGAAAAATGATGACCACTTTAAATTGAGCAACAATTTTTTAAATTTCAACAACAAACAACAACTAATGAATATATTAAAGCTTAGGAAGGTCCATAAAGTTAACCGATTTTTTTGTGATTTTGAATCATATTCTTTTAATGTATACCACTTACCTTTTATTGTTTCTCCAAATACATTCTTAGAAAATTAAATTTGAAGGATGTAAATTGGGGCAATTTCGAGACATTTCAATCAAAAATTTTGTTGCTACCTAGAAATGAGCAATTGTGATTAAAATGGGAGTGGTGCCAGGTTGAAATAGATGTGATTTGTGATTGAAGAACTGTTGATAAAAACATAAACATATGGCCACAGAAAAGGAAAATTGATGCAAAGCTTATGTTCCAAAGCTACCTCAAAACTAGTTTCAAAACAAAAGAACTATATTGAAATTTATTTGATTCTATGGAGGTAGCATCCCTGTGGATTTTATAATCACCTGGCAGCCATTTTGGAAATTTCAAAAGATTTCCCACTTAGAAAAGCTAAGAGCGGAGGGAGCGGCCGCATGAAGCATGTTCACGTTTATAGGATATTTGGTAATTTAAGACCCATCTCAAGTTTTGCGTATATTTCTTTCATTGACTCCTATATCAAGTTTCTTATATCACCTATTCTTTATACCCTGACACACTGAATGAAACAACTTATACGTACAATTATTGGTTCAAAATAAATGAGCTGATGCCTTAGCAACCTACCTGGTCTGGTGGAGAGTCAGGTTTGTCACAGATATGTATGAGTACCACAACACCAGGACATGTTAACTCCAAGGTTGTATCCCAACCTATCTCTGGTAAGAAGACCTTTGGAGCTTGTAACACAATGGGGCCCTAAATGTTAAGCGAGCATGGGTGAGTATCACATCTTAGTGTTTACCATATAGATGGTTAGTAGCAAAGGTACATACATACATGTATATAACAAAGTATAACTAGATAACGGCAACTCCGCGGAGTAGCAAATCCCAACGAACAAAATATCAATTACCGAATTCCAATCAATTATACTCATTACTTTGGTTGAAAATGAAAAAATTAGATTTTAGAATTGAGAATTCCTGCAAAGCAGCCATTTTGAATTTTCTGAGGTACAAATCTGAAAAATAATACCATAATTGTGATCTACTCCAAAATTCCTTCAATTTGAGTATAATATAGCCATACTTTGAAGGGATCGAAAAATTATTGCGAAATCGTACATTAGACGGCCATTTTGAATTTTACGAGGCTCGAATCAGAAAAAAGATACAATATTTGCAATCTACTCTTAATTGCCTTTCATTTGAGTATAATAAAGCTATACTTCAGAAAGATCTAAAAATTAGCGAAAATTTCTGTTTTCCTGTCCCCCCATACATGGCCCCTGGGGGTCAGGATGAAAAACACAGAATATATGTGAAATAGATAAATGTTGTGAATACACTACCAAAATTTCAAACAATAATATTAATTATTTTGGTTTAGAATGAAAAATTTATGATTTTTGTGAAAAAGTCCCGTCATTTTTAAAGCGGCGGCCATCTTGAAATTTTTTTTTTTGCGTAAAACTATTTACCAATATACATCTTTCCACTAAATATGAAGAAAATCTGTCAACTAGTATTTGAGTTATCTTCCGGACAGACGGACGGACTGACGGACAGACGGACGGACGGACGGAGGGCTTCACTATATCCCTAACGAACTTCCTTCGTTGGGATAATTATACAAGTTGTCCCTTTCATTTGATTGGCTGATTGGCAAAATTGACCACTTATCATTCAATGTCATGGCAACAGTTTAGTTTTTTATTTTTAAGGTTATGAGGCACAAAACTGAAGAACTGGATACTTTTGCATGTAGGAACATTTCAAATCAGTTAATATTGAATACATTATCTGCCACGAGTCGCGTTGCAGCATTATACATTGGCAAAGTAGAAGTGACATACACCAACCTCTTGTAATCTCATTTCTGTGAGCTGGGAAATTGAGGGGAAAACTGGTCTCCCTTGATGCAACCAGACATTGTATGGGTTGCTACGACGACCATCTAGGTAGTATACAACAAGCCTCATGTCCTTACCTAAATATAAAATATATTTCATTTTTTACAAATTATATTTCCAATAATTAAATAAATGAAGTGAAATTAAACATTCCTATATTATAATAGTTTATTAGAATCACTTTTCAGTGAAGATACATATCATAATGCTTATATATATAAAGTAATGAACAAAGCTGTAGAAATTGAAAAAATTGAAAAAAGATTTAAAAGGGAAACTTAAAAAACTTCATGTCCTTAGTAAATGAACAACAGACATAACATCCGAATACTAATGATACCGGTAAATTAATTATGAATATTTCCTAATTCATTAGTAAATTCTGAAGGTGATAATATCAAAAAGTACAAATGTATAAATGTTTCAGGAATGTTGCCAACACAATAGGCACCAAGCGCAACAGGCAAGTACCAATTCATATGTAAAAACTGAACATGATCTCAACGTCTAAAAGATAAAAGGCATTTAGTCCATCATCTTTAAAGAATTTAAAAATAATTTTAATTTTGAGCTTGTTTTTGAATTTTCTAATGAGAGCTTTACCAAAAGACATACAGTACAATACAATGTAAGTAAAACTAAATGTAATCATATTTATTGAGCTAGTGATATCTTAGGGTATGCTTTTAATTGTAAGTTGTACCAGTGGCACTTTTAATTTCCACTTGTGGCCCAAAAGAAAATAAGTATCATAATATTTTGATTTTTTCATACACATACATGTATTTAAGAATCAACAGCGATACTGTAAAACAACTTTACTTTTTTGTTCAAAATTATTTAAAACCAGATATTGTTGGTTTGAAGACATAGTAGACATTTTAAATGTGACAGATTCTGTTATGTTGTTCAACTCAGAAACAGATATTATAATAGCGAGACCCCCCTAGGGGCCAAATTCAATGGGAAAAATTTATCACTCTTTGTGCCAAGCAAAGCATATGTTAAATACATTTTTAAATTAGAACATATCCATAAATTGATATAATTTGTAGAAGTAAGGTTTTTATATTTACTCATGCAAATGTATCATAAAATATAATGTGGTGTTGTTATTTATTTTTTGTTACATTTTATGTACATTATATTGTTTTATATTTATATGTCATGTAGAATGTTTAACTCTCCATAGTTTGGAGGAAATAAAGATTAAACAAACAAACAAACAAACAAACAAACAAACAAACAAACAAGTATATGTACATGTACTGTCTAATATACTGTCTAACAATCCTATCTTGGTTACTTGAAACACCAGAAATTGAGAATAAAGACAATGTCAGAACAAGCTCAATATCATTTATGACAATTTGCCTGAATATTGAAGAAACTGCAAGAAATGTTTTTTTATTAACCTTTGTGTGTTGGTTGTAACCCAGTGAGGTTGACATTCAGGCTGACTGTATCATTTGCCCCGCATGGGTTGGTATCTCTGCTGAAGTATATCATAACACTGGCCTGCCAGCTAAAGAAGTAAAAAACTGAAAATTATCTCCTTGTGTTTATCAATAAATTTCACCAAAATTTACTCACTTTTTATGCAACTCTACATTCTTGAATGATGAATGAAATTGATTTTTTAACTTATGTGCTTATTTTAAATGTACTGATATGCTTTGTAAACCCTTTTCTGGGATCTAAGCACCATTAGGGCATCTAATCTAAGCACTATACGGGAATTTAAGCACTATAACTGTATAAGGAGATCTAAAAACTATACAGGGATCTGAGCACTCTACAGTACAAGGATCTAAACACTATTGAAGGATCTAAGCACTATTAGGGGATCTAAACATTATAAGGGGATCTAAGCACTATAGAGGGATCTTAGCACTATTGAAGGATCTAAGCACTATTAGGGCATCTAAGCACTATTAGGGAATCTAAGCACTTTTAGGAGATCTAATCACTATTAGGGGATCCATACACTATTAGGGGATCTAAATACTACTATGGTATCTAAGCATTATTAGTGGATCTAAGCACTATTAGGGAGTCTAAGCACTATTAGGGAGTCTAAGCACTAACCTGTCTGATGTACCATTCAATGCCTGGGGGTGATGGGTGGTTGCTAGGACACCAACATCAGAATCATCTTCAATCACCTTGCCATCAACTATAACAATAGATACAACATAGTGTTGGGATACAACAGGGTGTTAAGATACATGTACAAGTTTTCTATTTAGAGACCAAATTCAATGCTTTAACAAACATGTTTATCATGTCATCTTGGATATCTTTAATCTTGGATATCTTTAATACAGCAATCATGTAATGAACATTTACAACCATTTAAAACTTAACTCAAGATATACCAGATCCTAAAATAAGGGTCCATTGCCATACTAAATGTCAAAAAGGTACCCCATGTGCACCGAGGATCCCCGTCAAGGTTTTTATACAGTGAACCCCCTAGGTCAAATATCACCGAGAATCCCGTGAAGGTTTTTATACAGTGAACCCCCTAGGTCAAATAAATCCTAAACTAAATTGAGGTTGACTTATTTTCAAGATCACAAATTTATGCTTATTCTCAAGTGTAGATTCCCCAATTATCATTTATGGGGTTTAAGAGGGTCACAAATTGAACTTTGTCCGTTTCATGTGTTGATGATAAAGTTGAGCCGAGAAGATAACAAACATGTTTTTCATGATTTATTCTTTTGATTATTGCATTGAGTCAGAAGAGGATCATTTTCATTTTTGACATTTGAGAATATAATTTCTTCTGATTTTTCAGCTTTAGGCTAATGTCCGCAATTTTTTTCCATTTTTCAAGTCTATAAAGATCAGATTGTAGAATTTATAAGGCATGGAATTTTTTTAAAAATCCCATTTTGAGACAAAACTGAAACATGCAGATACAGTAATTCATTGTCTTCAATGTTGTGTATAAATAAAAATTAGTACCGTGGGTACTGGGCTCACATGGTAACAGAAAAAAAACGGATATAATTTTTTGCTGATTTTTTGTTACAAAATTATTTCAAGCCATCTGTCTCTCAGTCAATTAAAATGGCTGAAAAAAAAACGGATATAATTTTTTGCCAATAATTTGTAACAAAATTATTTCATACAACTACTCTTATTACAGGCTTTTTGCAATGCAAGACACCTTAAATTATTTGTAAAGCTAGGAAATGGGCCAAAATTGAATTTCGCGAGACAAAAATGGCGACCATTTTGAAATCAGGCAAGCTTTTGAACCAGGAGTCATAGGGGAGTTTTTTGAATTGATGTTGAACAAAAATAACTTGAAACTGGAATCCTTTCGACAGAGGTTTTAAGCAAATGGTCCAAAAGAGGATTTCGCGAGACAGATGGACAAATCAATGTTAACTAAAATGGCTGAAAATAAAAAAAATGGATATAATATTTTGCCGATTTTTTGTAACAAAATTATTTCATACAACTACCTTTTACAGGGTGTCCAATAAATAAGGTGAAAGATATTGTAACTTTCTTAATATTGCACCAATCTTGATGAAATTTCCAGAGTTTGTAGCCCAAACCTTTTTACCTTTATTCTGTGAATTTAAAGCGTCTTCTATTTGATTGGCCAGAGTTGTGGTTGCTATAGCAACCGAAACAACAAAAAGGCGGGGCAAGTTTGTTTACGTCAGAACTTTCCAAAATATATTTATTATTTCTGATAGCTTTATTCATACTCCCAGATCTATTACTACCACAAATACAAAATAAAAATAAAAACAAACCTAAAGTCTCAATGTTATGAAAACCAGAACAACGGCAACGCCAAAGCGTAGCGAATCCCATCGAACAGAAATGGCTGGCATTTTTACAAACGAATAGCAAATATCATAAAACAACACACCAGAAAGGCCACCATTTTCAAAATGGTTGCTCACTAGCCAAGTTGTCATCAGAAGAAATAATATGCTTTTAAGTAGCCACCTCTAAAATTTTTGAAAAATCGCACACATATTTGTAAAATAACACACATAAAAATGGTGGCCATTTTTCAAAATTGCCGACTACTCCCAAAAGTTTTATTAGACAATGTGCCATGCTTAAAGTATTCACATATCAAATATGAACAAAATCTCTCCACTACTTTTCGGGTTATAGTAAAATATGTTAAAATGGCGGCCATTTTTCAAAATGGCCACCTTCTACCAAAAGTGTCATTAGAAATAGACAGTGTGCCATGCTTATAGTATTCACATACCAAATATGAACAAAATCGCTCCACTACTTTTCGAGTTATAGTACAATACATTTTTCAAATTTTTTTTCAAAATGGCCGCCTTCTACCAAAAGTATCAAAGGACAGTGTGCCATGCTTATAGTATTCACATACCAAATATGAACAAAATCGCTCCACTACTTTTCGAGTTATAGTAAAATACTTTAAAATGGCGGCCATTTTTCAAAATGGCCGCCTTCTACCAAAAGTGTCTTTAGACAGTGTGCAATGCTTATAGTATTCACATACCAAATATGAACAAAATCGCTCCACTATTTTTTGAGTTACAGCAAAAATCGTAAAATGACGATTAAAGGCCGCCATTTTTCAAGATGGCTGCCATGTGCTTCTTTAATATCTACATTTGTAGCATTATTAATGTCCTTTATAATTTTTTTACATTTAAAACATATTGCTATTACAGTTTTACATATTGCACCTAAATTACTGTAAAATCGGCACTAAAATGGCCGCCATTTTGAAATGAGCGGCCATTTTGAAAATCAGCTTTTGAGCAGAACTTCTAACCCCATAGGGTATATGTGTACAAAATATGAACAAAATCGGGCCAACGGTATTTGAGTTATTGCCCGGACGGACGGACGGACAGACGGACGGACGGACGGACGGACGGACGGACGGACAGACGTACGTACGGACGTACGTACGGACGGACGGACGGAGGCGTTCCCTATATCCCTCCGAACTTCGTTCGATGGGATAATAAGCTATTCAACATAATGTTCATCTCTAGCTATACACTTCTTATGCCTATTCACCCACTCTCCTAACACACTTTCAAACCCCTTCCGTTAAAAAACGTCCAGGAGAGAAGTTTCTGCTGTACTGTGACAATGCCCCCTCACACACAGCTATGCTCACTAGTGAAACCCCTACTTGCACACCCTCCATATTCCCCAGACCTTGCACCCGATGACTTTTACTTACATGCAGAACTCAAGCGTGACTTGAGAGGAAATAAATTTGGAAGCACTGATGAACTCAGATCACATGTCTTAGCAAGACTTCAGAAAATGGGCAAGAATTACCCTGCGTGCAGAGTCTAGTTAAACTAACGAAGCCTTCTTTTAAGAAGTGAAGTCAAACGAATGCAAAGGGTAGGCAAGAATGGGTTTGAAAGAGCTTATTTTCATAACAATGGGACTTTAAGACTGTTTTTATATTGTATTTATGGTAGTAATAGACCTGGGAGTATGAATAAAGATATCAGAAAGAATAAATATGTTTTGGAAAGTTGTGACGTAAACAAACTTGCCCCGCCTTTTTGTTGTTTCGGTTGCTATAGCAACCACAACTCTGGCCAATCAAATAGAAGTCGCTTTAAATTCACAGAATAAAGGTAAAAAGGTTTGGGCTACAAACTCTGGAAATTTCATCAAGATTGGTGCAATATTAAGAAAGTTACAATATCTTTCACCTTATTTATTGGACACCCTGTACAGTGACATGGCTTTTTACAATGCAGGACAGCTGAAATTATTTGTAAAGCTAGGAAATGGGCAAAAAGTGAATTTCGCAAGAATGGCAACCATTTTGAAAATAGGCGAGCTTTTGAACCAAGAGCCATAGGAGAGTTTTTTGTATTGATGTTGAACAAAATTAACTTAAAATGGGAATCCTATCGACAGAGGGTTTAAGGTAAATGGTCCAAAAGTGGATTTTGCGAGACAGATGGACAAATCAATGTTAACTAAAATGGCTGAAAATAAATAAATGGATATAATTTTTAGCTGATTTTTTGTAACAAAATTATTTCATACATCTACTCTTTACATTGACATGGATTTTTACAATGTAGGACACTTGAAATTATTTGTAAAGCTAGGAAATGGGTCAAAAGTGAATTTCGCGAGACAAAAATGGCGGTCATTTTGAAAATAGGCGAGCTTTTGAACCAGGAGTCATAGGGGAGTTTTCTGAATTAATGTTGAACAGAAATAACTTAAAACAGGAATCCTATCGACAGAGGTTTTAAAACGTGCCACTGTTATTGACAGAAAGTGGATTTTGCGAGTCAGATAGACAAATCAATGTTAACTGAAATGGCTGAAAATAAAAAAAATGGATACAATTTTTGCTGATTTTTTGTAACAAAATTATTTCATATATCTAATCTTTACATTGACATGGATTTTTACAATGTAGGACACCTGAAATTATTTGTAAAGCTAGGAAATGGGCCAAAAGTGAATTTCGCGAGACAAAAGTGACGGCCATTTTGAAAATAGGCGAGCTTTTGAACCAGGAGTCATAGGGGGGTTTTCTGTATTGATGTTGAACAGAAATAACTTAAAACAGGAATCCTACTGACGGAGGTTAGCTAGGAAATGGGCTAAAAGTGAATTTCGCGAGACAAAAGTGACGGCCATTTTGAAAATAGGCGAGCTTTTGAACCAGGAGTCATAGGGGGGTTTTCTGTATTGATGTTGAACAGAAATAACTTAAAACAGGAATCCTATCGACAGAGGTTTTAAAACGTGCCACTATTGTTGACGGACAGACAGACAGACAGACAGACAGACAGACAGACAGACAGACAGACAGACAGACAGACAGACAGACAGACAGACAGACAGACAGACAGACAGACAGACAGACAGACAGACAGACAGACAGACAGACAGACAGACAGACAGACAGACAGACAGACAGACGGACGAACAGACAGACTGACAAGTGAGTGATTGCAAAAGCTCACTATGTGAGCTAAAAAAACACAAGCATTTAGATACGGTGACAAAAAAACAGTGGCATTTTAAAAGTACAATGTAATATTTCACAAGCATTTAGATACGGTGACAAAAAAACAGTGGCATTTTAAAAGTACAATGTAATATTTTTGGTTTCATGAAATGATAACAAATATCATTTTTTAATAAACATGCAACAATAGTACAGAAAAGCTTGCCAATTACCATAAGAGCATTTCAGGCTACGTTAAAAAGTTACATAACAGGATTCGGCGGCAGCATGTTTTGCAACATTCTGTCTTGGTAATTACACGTATATGGAATATGAAAAGTCTGGCTTAATGCTGTAACTAAATGGGTTTTATTTGTGTCTGCATTCTCATTAAAAGAGGTAAATAAAAAAATTGGGACCTTAAAATTGTCTATGGAGGACCTCTTAAAGGGTGACGCATATCGTTTAGCAAATCGAACGCTCGTTTCTGGTGTTGCTCACCGTTTAGTATAAAAGGCCCGATCCCGGAATAATACTCAAGGGTTCACAGGTTCGAGCTCGTTGTGTCAACACCTCTAACTGTTATATAGCATAAGTATATTATAGATCGTCACATATTTATAAAACGGTGATTTTTATTTTGACAAATCAATTCCACATTTATGGGTGAAGTTTCAGGATCTTCTATTTGTGTATAATAAGGAAAAATTGACATCTAAATTTCCCCATAAAGTAATAGCACAAAGCTTGGTATATGAAATATCCTACAAATGAAACAAAGCAGTTCTAATACAAGGATTTATATTGGCTGTTGTACATATTCTTTGAACGCAATCACTCTATGGATAATGTTTTCAAAATCATTATAAACGGATTACTTTATCCCAAAGACAATTTCAATAAACTGGATTTTACAGAACTCCCCTTATTTTTTAAAAATGGACTGATCCAGTCAATTTGCTGGAGCCGCCATATTGTTTTTATACGGGATGCTTATCGGAACCCTTTAATATCGAGGCGAGCTGATATGGATCATTTCCCAAGATATGTTGTTACATTCAGAGCATTTTTAAGAAATTTAGTAAATACCAAGTTTTAAATATATTTGTACTGCTTTTTTCATACAATAAGACAAAAATGAATCAATTGTGTGACTTTAATAAAAAATGGGGGGGGGGTGTTTCACTGGAATAATGAGCAAAGCGAAATGTCAAACTGGACCTTGTTATGAAATCCATATTCATTGACTCAATTAGTACATAGAGTATCTGTAAATGAATAAAATAAAAAGTACTTTTGACGCCATTACCTGTAACTATGTTTGCTTCTATTTGTGTTTCACCAAGTAACCCCAACAGTCCCATAACACTAAGCACTGGTTTGCGAACAAAAGTAGTGTATGGTACTTCTGTGTTGTTTATTTGAAATCTGGCCAATAGGGTGCGCTGCTCAAAGAATGCTGGGAAATAGCTGAGGAAGCCATTGTCGTTGCTTAGTAATGAGTAGTTAATTTTGTTTCCAGGTTTCGCTAGAATCATCTTTTGGTGCTGGGCCACAATCTTGTCATAAATAAATATGTTTGTTGTTGAAAACCACATACAACATATAATTCAACAAGACATATAATTCAACAGGGGGAGGTCATTAGATCTGAACATCACTGACAATATTCTATGGTATGGAAAATATTTTTTATTGTTTGTACATGTATATTTTGTTATCTCATCTTCCATAGTTCTTCTTCCAAATAAAAATCAAAATTTTTCCTGACATGATTCAAGCATAGGATTCTCTGACTAATTGAATTGTTTTTGATCAATACTAAACGAAGCAAAAGAGAAATATTTTCTTGTCCACTGACTGCATGTGTAAATTTCAGTTTGTGATCCAATTTTCAATTGCTGAAATTAAACTCCATATTATTACTTGACCTTTCTAAGAATTCTATAATAACCTCTGGCCATCTTAGCCATTTTTAAAGAATTTCGGAAATTCCTTGACTACACTTGGTCAGTTAAGACAGTGCAACCATATATATTATTATAAAATATGCCCATAATTGGCATAAAAATAGCAATCCACAATGTACGATACATGAAAATATTACTATAAAGAAGACATTATTGCAAACTGACTAAAAGCCAGAATCAATAATTTAGTGACATCTATATAACCATAATTTGTTAAAACACACAAGGTTGAACAAAATTGGATACAAGAAAAGATACAAGAAAACCAAGATGGCTTGTATTAGTTTCATCAACTCAGAGCTTCCAGAACCCTAAGTAACTATGATGTATATCTCACACACTAACTTTACCAATCTGACTCACATACCTTAGCAACCATGCTGGCATATGTAACATCATCTCTCCCATACCTTAGCAACCATGCTTGCATATGTAATATGAGCTCTCACATACCTTAGCAAGCATTCTGGCATATGTAACATCAGTTTTCACACACCTTAGCAACCATGCTTGCATATGTAATATGAGCTCTCACATACCTTAGCAACCATGCTGGCATATGTAACATCATCTCTCCCATACCTTAGCAACCATGCTGGCATATGTAACATCAGCTCTCACACACCTTAGCAACCATGCAGGAATATGTAACATCAGTTCTCACACACCTTAGCAACCATGCAGGAATATGCAACTTCAGCTCTCACATACCTTAGCAACCATGCTAGCACATGTAACATCAGCTCTCACATACCTTAGCAACCATGCTGGCATATGTAACATCAGTTCTCACATACCTTAGCAACCATGCTGGCATATGTAACATCAGCTCTCACACACCTTAGCAACAGTGCAGGAATATGTAACATCAGCTCTCACATACCTTAGCAACCATGCTGGCATATGTAACATCAGTTTTCACAAACCTTAGCAACCATGCTCGCATATGTAACATCAGTTCTCACATACCTTAGCAACCATGCTGGCATATGTAACATCAGCTCTCACATACCTTAGCAACCATGCTCGCATATGTAACATCAGTTCTCACACACCTTAGCAACCATGCTGGCATATGTAACATCAGCTCTCACATACCTTAGCAACCATGCTAGCATATGTAACATCAGTTCTCACATACCTTAGCAACCATGCTGGCATATGTAACATCAGCTCTCACATACCTTAGCAACCATGCTCGCATATGTAACATCAGTTCTCACATACCTTAGCAACCATGCTGGCATATGTAACATCAGCTCTCACATACCTTAGCAACCATGCTCGCATATGTAACATCAGTTCTCACATACCTTAGCAACCATGCTGGCATATATAACATCAGTTCTCACACACCTTAGCAACAGTGCAGGAATATGTAACATCAGCTCTCACATACCTTAGCAACCATGCTCGCATATGTAACATCAGTTCTCACATACCTTAGCAACCATGCTGGCATATGTAACATCAGCTCTCACATACCTTAGCAACCATGCTAGCATATGTAACATCAGTTCTCACATACCTTAGCAACCATGCTGGCATATGTAACATCAGATCTCACATACCTTAGCAACCATGCTGGCATATGTAACATCAGTTCTCACACACCTTAGCAACAGTGCAGGAATATGTAACATCAGCTCTCACATACCTTAGCAACCATGCTCGCATATGTAACATCAGTTCTCACATACCTTAGCAACCATGCAGGAATATGTAACATCAGTTCTCACACACCTTAGCAACAGTGCAGGAATATGTAACATCAGCTCTCACATACCTTAGCAACCATGCTCGCATATGTAACATCAGTTCTCACATACCTTAGCAACCATGCTGGCATATGTAACATCAGCTCTCACATACCTTAGCAACCATTCTGGCATATGTAACATCAGTTCTCACATACCTTAGCAACCATGCTCGCATATGTAACATCAGTTTTCACATACCTTAGCAACCATGCTGGCATATTTAACATCAGTTCTCACATACCTTAGCAACCATGCTGGCATATGTAACATCAGCTCTCACATACCTTAGCAACCATTCTGGCATATGTAACATCAGCTCTCACATACCTTAGCAACCATTCTGGCATATGTAACATCAGTTCTCACATACCTTAGCAACCATGCTCGCATATGTAACATCAGTTCTCACATACCTTAGCAACCATGCTGGCATATGTAACATCAGCTCTCACATACCTTAGCAACCATTCTGGCATATGTAACATCAGTTCTCACATACCTTAGCAACCATGCTGGCATATGTAACATCAGCTCTCACATACCTTAGCAACCATGCTCGCATATGTAACATCAGTTCTCCCATACCTTAGCAACCATGCTGGCATATGTAACATCAGCTCTCACATACCTTAGCAACCATGCTCGCATATGTAACATCAGTTCTCCCATACCTTAGCAACCATGCTGGCATATGTAACATCAGTTCTCACATACCTTAGCAACCATGCTGGCATATGTAACATCATCTCTCCCATACCTTAGCAACCATGCTAGCATATGTATCATCAGCTCTCACATACCTTAGCAACCATGCTGGCATATGTAACATCATCTTTCACATACTTTAGCAACCATTCTGGCATATGTAACATCATCTTTCACATACCTAAGCAACCATTCTGGCATATGTAACAAAAGTTCTCACACACCTTAGCAACCATGCTAGCACATGTAACATCAGCTCTCACATACCTTAGCAACCATTCTGGCATATGTAATATCATCTTTCACATACCTTAGCAACCATGCTAGCATATGTATCATCAGCTCTCACATACCTTAGCAACCATGCTAACATATGTATCATCAGCTCTCACATACCTTAGCAACCATGCTGGCATATATAACATCAGTTCTCACATACCTTAGCAACCATGCTAGCATATGTAACATCAGCTCTCCACTTGTACAACCTGCTCCACCCTACCAGGGGGTCACCCTCACTAGAAAAAAAAACATGTGTAATAATGGCCGTTTAGAGGAAATATTTATTTTGTTAAATTTTCAATCAAACAATAGTCCTGAACAATAAAATATGTGAAGTATTGTAGTAAAATTATAAAAACGTTAGCTGTACTTACTCATTGACAATTGGGACATGTTTCAAACCCGGATACTTGCTCCATATAGCATCTACAGTCCCTAGTTCAGACTGAATGATGTATGCAGAGTTGTTTGGCAGATTTCCCTATGAAAAGAAAATTCCGTCATTTCATAATTTACTCATGTTTCAGTGACCATGCTTTTCCACAATTCAGTCATCTTCAGCATGAAATAAATAAATGGTCAGTTAATCTAATTATCACACATTTCACTCAAATATGGGCTCACAAGTTACGATTTTGGGTTGAGGAATTTCATTACTTACTTTTCAGAACTAAAATCTACAAAAATCTGAAGATTGAAGAGTAAAAAAAATCTACAAAAATAAAAGTTTATGAACTCTGACTACACAATGTGAGTAAAAGCAGAGGTATCAATCACCATTCTGATGAATGAATTGCAGCCTCATTTACCTTTTTATGGAAAGATATAAAATCAATACGATTCCCTTTCTGTCCAGTAAAGAAATTCAGCCCATTTTCAACATGGTCCAGTAATGCCCAGCATATCTTCGAAAAACTTGTACTCCTGCATGATCCCCCAGGGCCCCCAAATATGAGAGGGATACCTCCACTCCCACGTCTTAGGCCCTCAGAGCAGGCATCGTAGTAGTTCAGAAACCCTTAAGTGAGATGAGCAGTTCTTGAAATGATAGATTTTATCCATATATGCTAATGCTATCATAAATAGGTTTCATCCAGTAATTTTGATCTCAATAATGTTGAGCTTGTAATGTCTCCAAACTTAGTGACTTTGTTCTGATTGACTAAAAAACCAACCGTCATAAGTATACAACATTTAGGAGAAACAGCAATTTTTCTACGTTTAAGCCAAGATCTTCTTCAACTCAAACAAATTGGTGAAATGATATTCTATGTAAAGAGACATTGAGAAATTAACACTAATGAAGATTACCTTGAACTGTTATATTGAGGCCAGGATCAAAATCATGGTGATCTGGCTCATTCCAAGTTTCAAACCTCCATCTGCTAAGATAGCCACCTCCGTACTGGGCTTGAGTAAAAGAATGAAAATAGTATAAAACTCAAGACAAAACAATAGTAAATGGCTATTATTCTTTCTCACTTTGCATGATACAACAATGAAGGTCACTCATTTTGATATTTACAAAGTATATACAGGTACATTCAACTTTAAGTGAAATCAAAATGGGTAGTGTCTGCTATTCTTATCTTAAAATAACTCCATTATGTTTGAAAACTTTCACCATGAACAAATATAGCTTTTTGAAAATATCAGAGTTTTAAAAAAATTTTCAAATCATTAAAAGTTCCATAATTGAATTTGCACTTTTTTCAATATGTAAGGGCAAATCATTTCCATCTCTTTGAGCAATTTTTTAAAGGCATAAAGTATTAAAACGAACCTATATAATTCTCAGCTAACTGCTGCATGAGATCCCGCCACCAATACACCTGTGTTTTATTCTCAAAGTTTGTGAAAATATTAGATGGATTTCCCATCAGTTCAAAGCCTGGCTGTAACCCATTATCATATAGCAGCTGTATCAAATCATCGAGCTTGCTGAAGTCATAGTTAGGCCTGCCTTCCTGAAACCTGAAGTGTTAACAGGATTGTAAAACATGTCATTTGATGTTTATGCAATAGTTTTGGATATTGATAATTGAATGACATAATATACATATTTTTATGTCCAGTCAGAGACATAGGGAGATATTCAAACCTTGGCCAATGGTCATGTAATGGTCTTAAATGTAGGTACATGTAATTCAAGAATTGGGGCTTAATACATATTATAACATAACACACAATTTACAAAATAATCATGTACTTTATAATTGACTTCATAATACTTAACTTACCCTTTAACTGTGACTAGATCAAGTAACCAATGTATACGGACTTGCTGTATTCCACCCTGTGGGACACTGCCTATATATGCAAGGTTTTGTCGCATGTCAGGGCTTAAGAAATATTTATAAGCTTCCTGGTGGGGTGCTGGAGGGCTGAAAATTACATTTAATTCCATACTATCTCAGATCAGATGGCGCACATGATACATCATACACAGAATGTCATTGGTTCATATCTCAGAATTTGAAATAATTTTCACAAATCTTTTTTTCTATCAAATTATCGCAATTACATTGTGTACAACAACTATCACACAAAACAGTTTATCATGACCCTCGATAACAAGTTGCTGCTATAGCCTAGCTGTAGTGGCTAGTCCCGGCCCATTGCCTCGAGGGTCAGACTCTTGAGCAGAAGATCCTGGATTCGCGACCCATACAGAGCATAGAATTTAACACACTCCATTTCATGTCTAGCATCTGGCTCGTTACATTACAGCTCCCCGGACAAGCATGACCAAAGTTGTTACAATGACAAATACTTACTCACGTCGAGAGCTACCATGTTAGATTTTGAAAGTATAGCTCTCCATCGTGAGGATCTCCCAGCTGAAGAATTGTGACATCTAAATTTGATCAGCGCCAGTCAACGGCTTGCTGTTTGTCTCAAACTGTAGCCTACATATGGACTCATATGTTTCTACTTTCCCCGTGCATGTAGGATCGCGGATGTGCTTCTATGGCGATCAGGAGTTCTAATCGTTTTTTGTTCGATACCCATTTCCAATATGGCGGTTAAACGGAAATACTATCGACGCATGCGCAACTTGGGAAACGTCAAGCCGCCATATTGAATATACCTGGCCAAAACTTTTGACACGACCAATAAAATGAAGTCCTGATCGATACATAGGGCAGTGAGACGTTCTATAGTTGAGCTGAATGAAAGATGCGATGTAGGATACATTTTCAGGTATATAATGTGCAACATGAGTCAGCTGAATTCCCTGAAATTTTCTTTGAAGTCAGGATTCTTAAGCTGTTGATTCTAGCGATAGAGAGCTATACTTTCAAAATCTAAGTAGCTCTCGACGGGAGTAAACAAATACCACTTCTGACAACCCTGGGGGAATTATAAAAGAACATACCATAATCCTGTGCTCTTCCAAAAGTGGTCTAGGATCGACACATTTCTAATTTCACTGATATCCAATGTGAATGCATGTGTGCTTTTTTCGTACTTTAGCCTAGTGTCGGTCTTAATTTTATTTGGGTTTTCTGGAACATATCTTCCAAACTCTGAATCAAAAAGTTTTGAATATGAAAATGGGGCAGAGAATTTGGCATTGAAAAGCAGCACAAACACAATGCTCAAAAACCATAAATAACCGTCATACATGGCGGCACTATTTAAACATCGCTACTAGACGATTTTCTTTTATTCTGTACCCATGGAATTTAAACTTATGATGATTAGACTGATATGAAATTTTCAAGGTGCCCGCCTTCCGGAAACTACGTCTCACCTTTGGCTGATGCGACATTACTTCTCTCTAAAAACAACTAAAATAAATATGAGATCATCTTTCAAAGATACATTATCTAAGCAAATAATGAAAACTGAAATGTGGATCGCAAATGGATGGCTGATGGCATCTGTTGATCACAGATTGAAGTCGCAAAACTACCGGCATGTGGCTAGTGAGCCTTACTTCCGGTTTAAAAATCGAAACGGATTTTACAAAATTCACACATATAATCGGCTATCTGGCCATATATACGAAACAAACAGCAAAGTCCTGCTTGCATATTTTGCACAAAGTGATAAGCATATTATATTATCAAGGATCGTGTAAAATGACGAGGAAAAATGACACAACACGTCTACGTAAAAAACCTGTGAAATTGGAAGAAGAAAATGACCGGGTTGGAAAGAAAAAAGCTAAAGAATCTCCCATGAGTATCTATACTTTGGGAGTGATTTTGTCCCTCATTGGAGCTGGAATATTTTTGTTTCTGAGAATGAGAGCACAAGAAAGTGTGAAGACGCCACTCAATGCCCCGAGAGTGATAAAGGAGAGATCAAGTTCTATGCCTTTAGCCCCACATGATGCAGAACGATTCTGGGGTACATACAGAAGTCAACTTTACTTTGGTATGAGGACAAAGTACCCCACATCACCACTCTTTGGTTTGATGTGGTTTGATCAGTTCGTTGGTCAAGGAATGCCCGCTGTTCGTCATTGGTGTAATCAAGGTGACAGACTTCCAAGATACGGATGGCTGGCACATGATGGTGTAAACTTTGGATCTCAAGAAATTGTGGATCATCGTTATATCATGATGACTGATTTTGTGAAGCGACAAGGTGGCTCACATGGAGGGGATTGGACTGCCAGATTTAGTCTGCGACCAGTGGTGAGCTTTTATATTATGAAGATTATAAAAGCACAGATTTTTATGAAAACATCAAGGGCATAATTACAATACCTAATAATTAACTTCGTTGATTTCATTCATTTATTTATAGTGCCTTCAGTTCCTTAGTTTAATGCCAGCAATAAAATAAGTCATAAGGGTTAAGGTATTAGAATTTGGTACTCTTTTCTATCTAAGTCAATAATGCTATATTGAATGAACTGTTGCTATCTTGATATCCAAATGAATGATCAAATAAATTTTTAAAAAAATATGAAAAACTAGATTGTGTTAGAGGGTCAAAGCATGGGCTTTCAACTAGATGAAAGCCCATGGTCAAAGTCACTGATGAAAGATTAGTCAGTTGATAAAGTGCGGTTTAACCTCCCCCCTCTTACTTCCCCATCCTACCTCCCCATGACAGTGTCCACTTCTGAACATGAGGTACCTGGCGAGAATTAAAGGAGGGACGAGGGGCTGGGTTGTGTGCCTTTTCAAATGGAATATGATACAATAAGGGCCCCAGTAATGGTATATAATATCCTTTGCATACGTTCGACTTCACTTCTTAAAAGAGAGCTTCGTCTTCACTCTTTCAGTTTACATTAAATCCCTGATCTCACTGAGCCAATCAGATTTTGTCGTCGAAATACGGACGACTTTCTATGGTCATTTCCTCTGACATCACCGCATAGTTAATGAGCACGTATTTAGCATGTGTTCCTTCCACTTTGCTGATTAGTTGAGAAAGGCTCAGCGTGGTTGATTTGGAATAATTTATTACCCGGGCTGTCACAGGCACCAATCTTTGGGACGGGGCTATTAAACTGTAATATAGTCTATAGTAGGCAGAGTGTAGTTTGCAACTAGACTGCACGCAGTAGGTATTTGATTGACTGGCATTTGCAAAATGTAATGAAAGAAAAAACAATATGGATCACTGAACAGTATATTTTTGAGAACATGGATTGTGTAATCCCAAAATTGCACTATCAAATAAATTTGGATCTGTCATAGATAATCCTTGTTCATCAATTATTTTCATCAGAATCATTTTTATGAGACTAAATAGTGGCAGTTTTGCATTTTACCAACCATGCTGCAAAGGCTCTAGATCATTTGAGAAAATGACATTAAAGTATCTCTCCCCATACTCTCTAGTTTCATGAGAAATGCAAATGTCCCTGTAGCTGTAACACTAAATGAAACACAAACTACTTGGTGAACTTCCTGGGTATTGAATTTCCACTCAGTCACATAAGAAAAATGCAAAACTACAAAAAGTGACTATGAAAAGTGAAAAAATGTAAAGCCAATGTAAAACATTGCCAATAGTTCTAACAAAAGGATATATGAAATCAATCCAATATATAAGTAACTGGTTTGTATAATGTAAGAACGCTTTACATAGTAGTTGAGTGATAACATTTTCTATATATTTCAGCCAGGTCAAGAGAAGACTGTAATGTCACTGCTATTCTACAGTGTTCTACAAGGCCAAGGCAAGTTAACACCTGAGATAGTGAAGAACAGATTGGTTGCTATACATGGTTCCACTGAAGACCTTGGAAGTTTCACATTAAGGTTCCCAAAGTCAGCTTCAAATGTCAAGAAGACCAATTTTCTGACAACATATTCCCCCGTTGTAGATCAATTGAAAGAGGTAGGCTTGATATTAAATCCATCAGCTTTTATGTTTTTGTAAAGTGCATGCATACTATTTAATATTTATGATTTATATTGATAATTTTTACTTCAAATGGTGCCAATATCTCAGTGTATAATTTGAACAGCTGACCTGACCTCTAAAGCAGTCTACAATTCTAACTTTCACCCACATACCCAGGGCATCAATGCGAGAATCCCAGAATCAACCACAATAATATTTCTATGATATTTATCAGTCTAGTTCATACTGAATTTGTTTTCAGGTTATGATGAGCCGCATGTTGTTAGAAAACTATGAGAAGGGGAGCAAACAATCCTATATAGCCCTTGGAGGACATCGCATGCCTCCAGACTTTGATGGTGAACCTAACTTTGTTGTACACCAAGTAACTGTCTCACTTCCATTTGAAATGGAAGTCGTGTTTGAATCTGGAAGTTTTAAGGATCGCCCTAATAGTCTCTCTGGTGACACTTTAACATCTGAATTATCTAAATACCATAGTCACTTTGATGGAAAGTTTGAAAATGTATTTCAACTTGGGAAAAAGAACTTTGGAGGACATGAAGTGCTCCTTGCTAAGGCCGCCCTCAGTAACATGGTAGGAGGTATAGGATATTGGTATGGACAATCTCTTGTTCAGTCAAAATACAATGAAAAACCAGTAGAGTACTGGCCAGCTCCTCTCTACTCAGCTGTGCCCTCGAGGTCATTCTTTCCCAGGGGTTTCCTATGGGATGAGGGATTCCATAATTTATTGATTAGCAAGTGGGACCCTGAGATATCTAAAGAGATCATTGGTCATTGGCTGGACTTAATGAACCAAGAGGGCTGGATACCAAGGGAGCAAATCCTTGGAGATGAGGCCAGGGCTAAAGTACCTGCAGAGTTTGTAGTACAGAAAAATGAAAATGCTAATCCTCCTACATTATTCTTACCATTAAAATTGCTCATAGCTGACCTTATTAAAAGCGAGAAGGCCAAAGATCACGACTACCTCCAAGCTGTCTTTCCACGGCTGAAGACCTGGTTTAATTGGTTCAATGTCACCCAGACGGGTCCCATTCCTTTTACATATAGGTGGCGGGGACGAGATTCAGAAACAAAGAGAGAACTTAATCCAAAGACTCTCACGTCAGGGTTAGATGACTACCCCAGGGCCTCTCATCCTACTGATGATGAATACCATGTTGATTTACGATGCTGGATGGCATTTGCTGCTGGGATTCTGGCTGATATTGCGAAATCCCTAGGGGAGCCCCATGAAGAATATAAGGCCACATATGACATCCTTACCAACAATGACCTACTAGATAAGCTTCATTGGGATCCTGTCACTGAGCGCTATGCTGATTATGGCCTCCATTCAAACAAGGTTAAACTTGAAAAACCAAAGCCACCAAAAAATATCAAACAAGGACAAACTCCGCCATCACCTCAACATTTGGAAAAAGTAAGAGTAACCAAGGTTGAGCCTAAGAATCAGTTTGTAGATTCATTTGGTTATGTTAGTCTATTTCCATTTCTGCTACAAATAATTGAGCCCACATCACCAAAACTTGGCAAAATATTAACAGATTTGAGAAATGAAAAAATGCTGTGGACAAACCATGGACTAAGATCTTTAGCCAAGATTGCGCCACTTTATAATAAATATAATACAGAGCATGATGGGCCTTACTGGAGAGGACCTATATGGATCAACATTAATTTCCTAGCTGTCAGAGCTCTCAATTACTATTCTACAAATGAAGGTCCATACAAGGATCAAGCCCGTAGTATATATGTTGATCTCAGAAAAAACCTTATTGATAATGTATTGAAAGAGTATAAGAGGACAGGGTTCATCTGGGAACAGTATGATGATGCTACGGGCCATGGTAAAGGCAGTCATCCATTCACTGGGTGGTCGGCTCTTGTGGTGGCCATTATGGCAGAAGAGTATTAAACCAATGATGTGCAATTGTACACTTGGGTGTTACATATTTTCCTAATTTGGTTTTCATTTTAGTGAAAGCGTACTCTTGAACTAAAACGTTTGCATGTTAATACCAATTGTTTCCAAGTAATATGATAAAGATTTTTATTTGCATGTAAACTAAAACTATGTACTAGAGCCAGTATTTATATTAATATTACACTGGGATTTTAATTATTTTTATTGCATGTTAGTTTATATTATACTTATTGTAGCTCTACCATTCTACCCTGTGAGATTACCAAATCATGGAGTGTCTCATGTGTCAGGACATGGGTTAAGAAAATGACATGCGGTAGAAAAAGATTTAGCGATTCAGTTCATAGGCCCAGGAACATGTATGAGGCAAGTGGAAAGTCCAAATTTATTCGTTTAGAGACTGACTGACTGTCGATTTAGAAAAACTCTGCCTTTCTGGGTCTATGATTTATTTATGTAGTTATTGGTCTGCAATTGCTCAGTTTTACAGCATACTGTATGATTATCATTTGTTTGCTAAAATCATTATATTATGCTTAATATCAATCATGGCGATGGACTTTGATTTTCTATATTAGATAACATAGAGATATCAAAGAGAAGGTGCCATAACATTATGTGGGAGACAAACATGACACAAATGAAACCATAAAACACTCTGTCCAAAGAGAGGGGGATGGACCCTTTGATCTTGGGATATTGCCTCACCCTATAAAAAATATTTTTCAAAAATAGATAGAGAAGAGGGAATGTATTTTTATAATCAAAGCACAAACTTTAAACCAATTATTGTACACTCTACTTTTCCATGCCTAATGCAAAATTCATTAGAAGGCTCAGATAGTTTTGCTATTTTGAAAATGTGAGGTCCATTCAAAGATAATGTAATGGTTGGCCCCTAAGATGTGTTAAGACATATTTATGGTTTCACTAATCAGAGACATAATTTCTTTTGATACATTTGTGTGAGATAATCAAGAAATTACTAGTGTTGTGATTTTTATAACATTAAAGTGTCTATATGCATATTTTTAAGTGTTTTGTTTTTCAACTTGAAAATGCCATAATAATCAACATTACTATGTGATTCCAACTAATGTACATTCTTACTTGTATATTCCTTTTAAACATTTTGTGTTGATTATGAGCAATTATATTTGTATTAAAATGTCAAAAATGGATCTCATGTATCACATTGGTTGAACTAAAATATAACTGAAGAAATCTGACCTCTGATTTTGTACCTTTGTGAGTAAATTTGAAAGTACTGATTTATACTTTATAGTACTTAGTGGTGCAAATAGTGGAGAAAACTGCAGGAAAGGGTGAGCCAGAAGTTACGCAAAAGACACATCCTATATAATATAATAATTGGGGTCCTTAGATATGAATGATTTTCAAAAAATCCAAAATTGTAGTATATTAATGCTTTAATCAACACAAACATCTATGTCAGATCATAAAATCACTTTATTTTTCAAATAAGTCCATTTCTCCTTTTTCTTGAGTTGACAAGATTATTCAAGACACTCATTGCATGAATAGCAATGACTCCAGGACTACTGCAGCACTAAGGATTTATGTAATATTGAACATCTTGTGATCTTTTTAGTGTCTATCTCAATGGAAGGAAATATTTAATTTACAACAAATATGGAATAATAAAAAGGGATCAGTGAAGTCCCTTTCAACCAATTTAATTTCCTGCATGCCACTGGCACAGGATGATCACAATGTATTAGTCCTAAATGCAATACAAGAACACAAACATGTACAACATGTCCTAACCAATATAGCAATAACCTCATTGCAGCAGCCAACTATCGTGAAATCTTATAACAAACAAGAACTTAACAAAAATCATACTCACTGAATGGCTGCCATGATTAAGCCAAATCTAAGGAGATATAGAATTTTGTGAGTTTTAAGGTGTTAACATTTTGAAACTAACTGTGAAGCCATTTTTCCCAGTTTGCAGACAAGGATTTTAGCATTTAATTTTAACTTCAAAATGACTGACAGTAAGTAGATAGATATCTCTAGCGTTTTGAGGAAACTTCGGACAGACGTAAGGACAGAGTGACATTCTGAAAGACAGATGCGACCAGGCCGACAATATGGCCCCACACTATGTGGTGGGGACATAAAAAGAGAAATACATATATACATGAAACATTACTGATTTATTTAATAAATAGCTGATTTAATTTTCCCTACAAAATTACAATATACATCCATAGAGTCAATCCAAACACTTCTGATTGTCATCTCTAAGTTGTATTTGTATTTTACAAGGTGGGAGCTTAATGCAGGAAAATGGCAGATAAGATTACTGTACATCATTGATTTCTTAATTTAACTGTGCAATCAAGCAGATCATGTGCTTTTTGCTTTTAAATTAAGTGGCTAAATCGAATACAAAGAAGTCAGTTTATGCAAACTGATTTCATTTGGGGAGGGGTTATAAAACTATTACCACAATATTTCTGCCCAGGTAATAGAGTTTGCATTTTAATAGTCCAATGTTTCCCTTTGTTTTTACATCGCACATTAAGGTCCATGAGTCAAAGTTGATTGTATTCCAACTAAATTCAAATTGTCCTGCAACTGAATTATCCCTTCATTGATCAGGCTTAAGCATCTCATATACAGGTATAGCAGATACATGTTCTCCTAGTCTGTTCATCCAGGTACAACATTGTACACCAATAACAATGGAAATGCCTGCAAAGGATAAGTACATGCATTTAGTTATTTGAATAAAAACATAGAATAAAATACAGTGAAACCTAAAAAGTGGAACACTTCAGAGTCCCAACTGACTCAATGTTAAATGAACCTCTATAAGTCGTTTAATGTGGAACACCTCCCAAGTGGTACACCTTTTAGAGGTACCAAAGGTATTCCACTTAGGTTTTACTGTACTGTGATAAGGACAAACAAATCTAAGCAAGTATTGAACACCTGTATTTGATTGGCAACAAAAATAGTTTTTCGGTTTGTCAATCATTCTATTCATCAATGTCAAGTTGTCTTTCCAATAAGTTGTCTTTCCAAAAGTTGTCTTTCCAGTTGGTAATTCACTGGTGGAGATATCATTGACTAAACAGAATTTAATGGCTGGTGTGAAAATATCAGAAACTGAGTTGTATAGTTGTTGGTGAGGCTTTGATACATGTTTTTAAATACAAGTTCTGTTGTGTATTATTAACTTGTACATTACAAGTTGGGCAGTATTCAGTTATTGTGATGTAGAAAGATGACTAAGTCTACCTTTTCATGCCACTCCATCAACCAGAGCTGCTTCAGTGTAATGTCTTTCTCCAGGTTCTCATCATTGCACATTATATTTAGCTAAAACAAAAATATGTGACTATTTTAGAATCCCTTGGACAAATTGATATGTCTTGTATCATGCACATTAGAATATCTTGAAATTGCCTTGGATTTGATGAGTTTGATGAGGTTTCAGATAAAGTTTTTATTTAGTTATTTTTCAGTTTTAATGTTTTCCATGTTTGTTAGTGCTTGTCAAGAAATGAAAAGATCACAGCTAAACATGTAAACAACCACAATTTTTTTAATCCATTTCCAATTTTCAAGGAAAAATAAAATATGAATCAATTCTATGATGGTAATATTTCCAAGTGTTTCCGCGAGATCGCCGGTGTTAAATGCAGGTAGAATAAATACATTTTAACTTACCTGTAACCCAGGAGGCACACCCAACTTTCTGTTGAGTAATTTTCGAAGATGAGAGACACGTGCGCGGGATGGACACCGTAGAAACTTCTTTGGAAGTGTCTCTATTTTGTAGGTGTCTGGGACTTCCTCCACAACAGGCCTGAAAAATATCAAATAATGTAAAAGTGATATGTATATAATTCACATATTTTTTTTAATTCACATTTGAAAATATTTTTAATGCTTTGGAAAATATATTAATGTTTTCAAGACAATTTTAACTGTTTGTCTATGGGGAGACATTTATAGAAGCAGGCCTCTAGCGAAGGAGCTGTTCCTTGGCAATCACTTTGTTACTGATCTGGCTAATGACTGGCTGATTCTTATCATGGATTTATAATACTACTGCTCTATAAATTCATTATAGTATTACATTCAGACTTAAGAGTACAAATGCCTAAATGAGATGGGAACGCACGAGTGTTTCAATTGTTTGCACTCATAATGTCTTACATATTTGCGTTTGGTTAAACCACTAGATATAGGAATATAACATTAATTGTTATTGGTTATATTCAAGAGAGATCATGTGACTCACCTGAGCCTTTCGAGACAAAGGGAGATTTGTTCATCATTAGTATATAGATGGCCCTGATAGTCATCATACACACTGCGAAGTAGGGCTTCTCCACGCTCACATTCTAAAATTAAAATAAATTCATACAAATAGCTAATTACATAATTCAATTCAATTTGTTTCAACATGACTTGGTTATTCAAAAAAAAATTCTATCAGATTGGTTTATTGGTGTTTATTTTATTTATCAATTAAAAAAATTCGTTATAGAACTCTTGTGATTAATTGAAACAAATTTTGAGTTACAGGCATTTTAAATTTGACTAACCTAAAGAATTCCATATACCGGTATATGTATTTTTAATATCATTTATGGTCATTTATGATTACACTCTATATCAATATTTGGATGGGAATGGGTTAACAGACATGATTTATAGGGTTTAATATGGTATGCTTACCTTTAGGTTCTTGTTTAATAAGACCCCTAGCTTTTGCAAACTCTTCTCTTCTATGAGATTCAGCTGAAACAAAAGTACCCAAAATATGAATAAAATAGATTTCTGTGAGCCGTAAAACAATACATTTGCATATTTTTGAAGTTGTTAAAGTTTATTTTCAAAACTAACCTTAAAAATTAGAAAGCCCAAATTACAGAATTAAATGTACCTTTTTTAATGACCTAATTTTTTGACCTCAATTTGTTTTTTAATAACATCCTTATAATTCAAAATATTTCATATTTGTAGACTTACATTCAAAGAGCTGTGGTACAAGTTTGTAGACAATATCTTGCATTACATTATCAGGCTTGAGATTGGATAGAGGATGCGTTTCATGGATCTTCACATTGCATTGTGGACAAAACTTACTACTTTGTAAGTACTTCACAATGCAACTTTTGCAAACTGAAACACAAGGATTGGAACGATCAGTAGAGCATGAATTAAGACTCTCAATAGGGTGCAGGGATCTCCTTAGTATTAAAGCAACCAGGTGCTGCACTTTGTTAAAAATATGAAAATAATATGCCACCCTATTGAGAGTCTGTTTCAAAAGGATCAAATATTGAGTCGTTTTAGTCAAAACAGGTAAAATACGAGGGGTGATCAATAAGTAATGGACGCTTTTTTATACAGATGAAGTTTATAGACAAATCCCTTTGATTTTCCTACCAGTGATACATCATTCAATTATCTATCAATTCTGAAGATTTGAAGACAAGATATATAATACATATTGATATATCCTTATTTCCGTGAAGGAGGTACAGGTACCCCGGGACCGACATTTACGTCACATATTCAGATTTTAGCCAGTTTGGTAAGTTTCAGTTAGATTTGAATGTTTTATATGCAACAAGTGTTGCGTTGTTTAAATTTTTTTGCTGACTGGTAACACAAACAGAAAGTATTGTAATGTCAGAGTGTTGTATGGAAGGGGTTTGCAGGTCAATTTGAGAAAGCATTCAGTGGAAGAAAGGGGTGGTGAGAGAAGGGAACACCCTACTCCATATGGACAATGCACCTGCCCACAGATCTCAAAATGTTCAGAAAACAATATCCCTGGACCTCAAAATTGAGCCCTTGGCCAATGCACCATATTGTCCAGATCTGCTCATATGTGACTTGCTTATTTCTATACTACTTATTTCTATAGAGAAAGAACGCAGGTTTATTGACATTGATGAAATAAAACAACCCGTGCAACTGCATCTTGCTACCATGTCAGAGAATGGATTCAGCCTTGTCTCACAATCTTGAGTTAAGAGGATGAGGAATTGTGTACATGTAGCACTTGATGGAAACTATTTAGAGGGCCCTGTGGGATGAATGTGGCATGAATACCACATAGTGATGATAAAATATTCAAAATTATTATATTATTACTATGGCATAACAAAATGGGGTAATTCATGACCATAATGGTTTGTTTTGTTCAGCCTGCATTCAACTGCATTGCATGTTAAACAATCTAAAATAGCTTCAGAATATGTGACGTAAATATCGGTCCCGGGGTACCTGTACCTCCTTCACGGAAATAAAGATATATCAACATGTAATATATATATTGTCTTCAAATCTTCAGAGTTGATGGATAATTGAATGATGTATCACTGGTAAGAAAATCGAAGGGATTGGTCTATAAAAAGTATCTGTGTAAAAAAGCATCCATTACTTATTGATCACCCTCGTATGATGAGATAAATCAAACTGGCATTGAGATAGATGACCTTGATCAGACACTACATGTAGTTAATTTAAAATATTTTATGAATGGTTTAGTTTTCAAAGGCAAAGATACATACATGTATGAAGGCACTCTGTAATTGTTGTTGCATCCACGAAATAACCACTACATAGTGAGCAGACAATATGGGGGTTTATGTCTTTTATACGTAGCTTGACACTCTGAAACGGAAAAATCATCAAAATATTGACAAGGAATTAATATGCAAAATGTCACCACGTCACCACATACCATACAGACACCAACCACTGAATGCAAAACACCAATCACCAACTGCCAAACCCAGGCCAAAAAAAGTTGGAGACTATAACAACATGTCACTATAAAAAGTTTTTTCCATACGCTGCAGACCACAAGACCAGCATGACATACTCAAAAGTAATATGTTAGTTAGATTTTAATCCTCATACAGACAACCCTTTTAAAAATCGAAATATGTGGCAAGGGGATCAAATGGAGCATATTAATTTTTGTCAGGCAGATGGTAAAAGGTAACATAGAGAATGCCAATGTATTCAGAAGCAAAACACCAGACTCTCAAGTAAGAATACATGTATATTGGCCTTCACGTACAGTAAGTTGGGAATTCAATGCAGAACGTGGTCTTATATGTTATAGTTTAGTATTTATCTTAGTTATATCTAAATAATTTCTAGCATTTTCTCTACATCTTGCATTAGGACTGAATTTGATTTCAACTCTCAAATCTAATAATATTGATAAAGTCAAGTTTAAGAGGAGGGAAAACCCCAAAGCATTTCTTATCTTGATTACACTATACCACCTTCGTTTTCGGCAGCTAGGTTCTAAATACAACACATTGTTCTGATATTTTAATTGGTTTTTGCAGATTCATCACATATATTCCCCCTCCGGATTCTATAGGGCTACAGGAAGCCATTAAACTTTTGATTTTGGTCTCACGCTTCATAATATTTATTACATCAAATTCAAAATCAAAATGTCATATAATCAAGTCCAAATAAAAAATTAACACTATTCCTTGCTATGCTAGCTCACAGTGAACAGAATTTCCTTCATATTATTAGTTAAAACTACATGTGCAGAATCTTTTTCATTAAAAAATGATGTTTTCAAATGGATTATACACATCGTTATCATGATTTTTGAGATTTGACAGTCATACAGGCCCAAGATAATACTCTAAAAGATCTAGAAAAACAGATTTCATATCTTGCTACTAAGGCAAGAAAATACTGCGAATGTAAGCACTGGAAAATTAATAAAATTCATAAAATGATCCGCGCTCCGCCTTATGACCAATCTCGTTGCGAGACGCATGCACAGTATCCATGTAGAAATGAAATTCTACATGGATCTTTCCTAAACTGATATTTATTACTTATTGTATTGAACTTTCAATTACCGTGTGCTAGCCTCCGTTTACTTTATTATTCTTAGCGAAAATGACAATAACATGTCAACAACAAATTGTAAATAAAATGATGGGCGATAATATGTGAAAATAAATATAATCTGGTTATTAAACATGAATTAGATTACTACTTACAAATTCCATTGTGAAGATTGTAGAACACAGTATAATGTTAATGTGAAGCTCGATTTAGAGTAGACACAGAGAGATCTCATCTAAGAAAATCATGTTTATGGAAAGAAATCTAAAGAAAACTTTCAACCGGAAGTTAGAACCTTTGGGGACCTGATCAATCTGTAACCCAAATGCATATGTTTATATTTGTCTATTTTGATCCTATTTAGTTACAACATGCTACCTATGATCACAAAAGCTCGGTTATAAAATTATTGAAATGAGAATCATGGTATAGTATTATAATTTAAGTCATAATTCTTATAAATCATAGTTTTTAAGTATCTGAACAGAATGACAGGTAGGCTAAGTTTGTCATATGATTTTAAAAGTTCTTGAATTTCTCCACAACTTCCTCTAAAACTGCTTCAAATGTCTTGCGTTGCATAAATTATGGTATCTGAGGGATTGACAAGATGATCCAATGCACATAGAAGCTTACATCTAATCAAGATATCGTCAATCAGTAGAGATAAAGAGGTTTGTATTTGAGATATACAGATACTTTAGTTTCAAATTGCATCCACTTTCACTTTCAATTTACTTCATTTATTATATCTGGTTAACTCTGTTTATTTAGCGGTTCATCGCATGAGGTAGCATTTTAGCGGTGTTGTGGTAGCCTATACTGTATGTCCATATAGCAGGCCTGTCAACTGTCCCGCAATTTGCGTATTTGTCACGCATTTGCTGAAGAATTTGAAGTCACGCCAGTTTTTTTTGCGTGACAGAAAATGTCACGCAAAATACGCATTTTACCTGGCAATTGTCAAGCAAAAATATTTCTGTAGAAATTTTTTCGAAATACGTTTACGATACGGTAAAAATCCGAACGTCGGAAAAAACCGAACGCAATTTGTTCGGATTTGTCACGCGAATCCCGTATGTGTCACGCATGTTCATTGGAAATTTTGCGTACCTACCCCCCCCCCCCCCCCCCCCGTTGACGACATTTCGAGCGTAGCGAGCGCGAAAAATTTGAGGTGTTCAAAGTTTGGCAAAGGTGCTCAAACTTTGGCCAAAGGTGTTTAAAAGTTGGCCAAAGGTGTTCAAAATTTGGACAAAAGTGTTCAGATTTTGACTTAGGTGTCCAACATTTTGAAGTCACTCATATCAGGTGGTCCCAAGTTGACAGCCCTGATATAGCCTGCGACTACAGTAGCATGGGTGTAGCGCCCGGTGCGCTGGGTACGCACAGGCGTACCAGATGGTTGCAAATTCACTCCAAATACAACCAAATTTCAAATTTTTCCAGGGGGAGAACCCCCAGACCTGAATGCTCGATTTTTGATTCACTCAACTCTTGTTCCCATGGCGGTGGCGTACTTCTTAGAAAAATAGCACTACGCCCATGAGTAGGCACCGGCGGATCCAGGATTTTGTGTTAAGGGGGGCGTGTGATAATAACTGTGAGCGAAGAGCCAAATTTTGTAAAAAGCGATGAGGCAAAACACAAATTTTCCGACTTTTTAGGGGGGCATGCGCCCCCCACGCGCCCGTCTAGATCCGCTGGTGATAACTTCTGTGCATATTCCGTCACCTACACTATGTGGAAAATTTTTGTCAAGTATCAGTCACACATTATTGAGGAAAACTGATTTCAACCGATGTGTAATTTACCTCTCCTACCTTCATGTAGGTAGATTTCCACCTACCCACCAACCATGTAGGATCTGGTTTTATTCTTTAATTATCGCAAGAAACCCAGGAATTCAACCCAGGAATTCAACCCAGGAAATATAAATTGGGCACTGGGGCATTTGGTCTTATTCTGGTGATCATGCAAGGGAAATTGACAGAATCAACCCTACATGGTGTGGTGGGTAGACGGATATCCACCTTGGTAGGGGAAGAAAATCCTCAAATACAATGTACCCTTACATTTAAAAAATGCAAGTATAATATACATGTACTGTACATTGCAGAATTTCCAATATATGATCAGAGTGAAGATAAATTTGACTAATGATGCTGAAATCTTGAGGAGGCCAACATGAAAGGTGTCATAGTGTTCAGTCAGGAAAATGTTGATGTGCTGTTTCTCTGGACAGATGATCCATTTAGACTACACATCAACAAGCAAGCAGCTAGCAAGGGTATGATAGAGGTAGGTTCTACTATCATACTTTGTTCGTCCAAGAATCTTGCGGTTCACACATTTGGATGGTACCTAATGTTCAAGGTTCCAAAGGTCAAGGTCAAATTCTTTAAAGCCCCCTTTAAATTAAAGGTCAATTTATTTGGAACACTTAAATTTAAAACAATGGACCAAAATAAGGATCAGAATTAACTGGTACAATCAATTATGCATGTACTTATATTTCTCACACATTAAACTAAGTTCTGTATAAAGTTGAGTTACTGAAACAAATAAATTCTAAAAAATGCATGTACCCCTTGCTGTATGTATGATTTGCTTATTTCATGTCACTTCTTAGTGAGCAATTTTTTTAGCATTGAAAAATATGTTTGGCATCAAAGTCTTTTATTGTTTTAGCCCTTTTCAAGATGTGCTTTGTTTCACTTTCACATCTGATATTTTTCCTTTCAGACATCACAAATAGAGGGAGCCATTGATCCTAACATCCTTGTGCAACTCATGCTCCCCCTGGTGGCATCTCAAATCTCCATGATTAACCACCTTAAGAACCCGTATTCTTCTATAAGACTTGAGAATGGCATTACATTCATACTGAAACAGTTTGAAGACCAGATTTACATAGGAGTGAATGGAGATGACGATGAAGATGAGACAATGATGCATCGGAAACTGTTGGTATTTCATCGACTTGTGACATTCCTCTATGGACCTGATACAGCAGCGTGAGTAAATTTAGAAATACTTTCTAAATGGCGAGTAGCACAATCTCATTTTTGTCATTGGGACATTTTCAGACAAACTGACAGATTGATTTGAATGTTTTCTTGTTATGAAAATATGGAACCGAATACTGTAGTTATACATGTACTATCAGTTATCACACGTTTCAGCATGTGATACAGGAAATATTCCACGAAAGGTAATACTGTATCATCCACGAAAGCGAAGCTTGAGTGGTGATACATTGTTACCCGAGTGGAATATTTCCTGTATCACATAAGCTGAAACGTGTGATGACGATTTTATCACATGTCTAGGAATTTTGAAGCATTTTGATTTGGTCAGTTATGATTGTGTTCAGTACCCCGTGTACTTCTGGTAACTATTATAATTTTTGATTTCGCTTTGAAACAATATGACGTCATATCGTTGTATTCGTACTTGTTTGTGAAATAGTATGACGTCATATTGTTTTCCTTAGTTAGAAGTGATATAATCAGTGACGTCATATCATTGCTATTGATCATCACTGGTTGCCTCTAGTAACGTGTGAGACGGGAAAACTCACACAGTAATCAACCAATCAGATTACTGGAATTTTACAGAGCATGTGATAAATGTAGGTATGCTGGGTAAATCTATTATCACACATTTTTCACATTCTTTGATTTTAATTGTTGTATGTACAATACACCTTGTTGTTTTTTAATACAGTTCAGTTTATATATCCAAATAATATAGCATACCTGATACTTGAGAATATAGAATATTTAATAAAATGTGTAGTCCATGATTATTGGTCATATGTGGCTATCTATGGCCCTTTATTTTGTGTATTCATTTTCAGAATTCACCCTGACCACAGCAATGAGAGGTTGTGCAGATGGAACTTTCTCTCAGACCTCCTGGAGACCTGGATACGACTGGCTGAGGAGGAACAATGCTTCCTTGTAGAGGTAAATAAATATCTCAATTTATATTTATCTCAAGTTTGATGATTTACACTGCCCATACATGTAATAGTCAATTGATAATGATGCCAACTTTTGTGTGTATATCAAACACCACTGTAATGGAAATGCCTCCCAAACATTTTGTTTCAATGTTTCATCAGAGTGTGGTATTCATATTACAGGCCATAGAGCGTCTTCATGTAAATGCCAGTTTGAATGCGAAGTGCATAGAACTTCTAGAGACTGTGGTTACTCAGGCAAAGACGATGGACAGACAAGTTCAACATGCTTTATTGCTGGTCAACTGTAAACTATTGGCACTTTACTCAATGTAAGTTAACTATAATATAAAATGCATGATATACTGCAGAAGTGAAGATTTAAAAAAAATTCAAATTACACTGTACTCTCAAACAGTCAATGAAAATACTTTATACTTATATTTTATAATTGAGTCCTTTTCTCAATACAAAATTCTACGAAGCTCTTGGACTGCCCCACCTTTCTCCTCTTCCATTTAAACAAATCAGGGGAAATTAATTGGGTAGGAGGGTGAATGACAAGACATGTTTGAACTATAATCTCATTAAAATGTACATGTAAAGTATTTTGTTTATTTAGTGTTCATGTTTATTTAGTCGTAACTCCAGTGAGCTCCAGGCTGCAGATATCTTACTCAAAATCTTACTAGTACAGCAGATGTTCCCTAGACGACGTACTTTGGAGGACCTATTTTCTGTGTCATTTCGCAGTCCCCGCCCCCTATCCAACCAAGCAGAGCACACAGCCCCTGTTGACATAAAGAAGGTGTATACATATGAGAGTGCCCTTTCAAACATGGAGAATTCCAGCACAGATAGTGAGCAAGAGCAGGTGAAGGAGATTGTATTTTAATCGCAACAAAAATGTTATATTGCGGTTGTATTGTTTTCTTTCATTTGTGGATATTATTAAGTGGTAATGGGCACTTGCAAAATCTCTGTTATCATTATTGAATACATATAGAATTTTGTGCAAAACTTTTGAGATTGTGGTCTCATTCGTTTGGACTTTCATGTGTCGATTGGAACAAATTTAATCACACGATATGAACAAATACTCTGCAAATCATTAACATTTCCTTTCACTACAAGAGGCCACCAAAGTTTGCAATTTAGATTTTTTATTTGCAATTTCAATTAAAAATTGATGACATGTACATCTGCTGTCCATAGTCCAAATGATTTGCAGGGCTTGTTTGTCAACTACTTCATTTTATGGTCAGCACTCATTAATGTTGAAATATGACCATAAATGGTGATGACCATTATAATATTATTAATATTGATTGAATAAGCATGTAAATGTATTTTGTAGTATTTCAGCTCAAGGTCTACTCCAATGAGCCCAGCCAAGAGAGAAGGTCCCAGTGATGTGCCGTGGGAGACTGATGAAGCAAACCCTGATCAAGCACATGTCAAGAAGTTAACAACTGATGTGGCAAAAGAAGACTTCAACGCACTTAAGGCATCAACACCAACCTCAAAAGGAACCACTCAGGTATCATCCATAATATCATGTATCCAGTTTAGGGGTAACACTGGGTGAGAACATCTAATTTTGGGACGGAAATGGAGAATGACATTTTGCTAAGAAATATCAAGAGTTTAGCGCAATGAATATTATAACTTAAAAGCTGCTTAATCTTTGAGACAAATAAACTACTCCGTGCAAAATGGTTGTTAACTTAAATACGTTTACAAAAGTTGGCTTTTTACCAGCCAAATGGAATAACATGTGCATATATGTGACACCTTGGCATTTGTCCTGGCCTCAAAAGCAACTAAATTATGGTTCATAGAACATAAGATATGAGATGTGCATTTGGTGTTATATATTTGTATTTAGGATCCAATGAACACAGATGTATTGTCTCCCATCCATCTGGACACTGATTCTCTTCAAATGGCTGACAGCTCAATAGATGACGCCACTGCCCTGTCTCCTAGTTACCAGGATGATGGAGACTACAAGACCAAGGTTGTGTTTATCAGGAGCCAGAACTGTCAATATTCTCCCCACCAGCTACATTGTCTCCATATTACCCCTGGCATAGTGTTGGTGCTTGTTAGTGAGGTAGGTTGCTGTCATATCACTGCTCCCCATCTAGTTACTTTGACGTACCACCTCCAAAGGAAGAACATGGATGACTTTACAGGTTTTTAGTTTTCTTGATCAACTGTCTTAAAACACTCTAGCTTGTTATTGCTGGGGTCCATTTAAGATTGTAAGATCACATAAATTATAATTTGTTGGTTTTAGATGCCCCACTGTAAGAAGGCAACTTTGATCTGTCAGATGCTGGCAGTGCTGAAGGCCATACTCCAGGGCAACAGACATGATATTGGAAGTGGTAAACCCGCCTATGATATGATTGATAGTAATATAAGAAAGCTAAGTGAAGCATTGAAGAAGGCGAAGGTGAGTTGGAATGGTTGGAACAGGTATTACATGCTGAAATCACCTTACATATTTGTAGTTGGGTCAGAGCGAACCCTGCTTGTACCTAAAATCATTTATAACAAAATTTACATAAGTACAGCAAAACCTGTGTGTAGTGATATACTCGTATATGATTTTGTGTTCACTGTTCTCAGTAGGTAGTGTTCACTATATGATTGTACTTGAACATGGGAGTCAATGGGTGAAAAAGGTTTTGCCAAAAGAAAATGTTCACTGTTGATAGGTGTTCACTAGAGAGATGTGTTCACTAACTCAGGTTTTATTGTATGTAACCTATTACCTTCATAAATGTATGATTGTCTCGTTCATTTATGCACAGGGTTTTGAGAAGAGATTGCGTGAGCTGTCTGGTCGTTGGGACCTGTGTAAAAAGCATGGTATCCTAATACATCTGGAAGAAAACAAGGCTGAGATGATCCCTGTGTAAGTATTTACTTAATGGAGTATCATCTTTATATGTTATCTTTTCAAAATCCAGAAACAATATATTCACTTGTAGTTCACACTTATACAGTAGGTGAAAAAAGTCACTTTTCTCAAATACCTTTTTGGGGAAAAATCCTCTACCAGTGTTCATGATAAGACAAAGCCCTTTCTAGAGGGCCTCTAAAAATTTGTGATAAAATGAAGCGTAAAATGAAGATCTGCTACATGGATCCGGCATTAGTATGAGAGTAAGGGTTTCTCATATTTTAAACTGGGTGTCCTAAACAAAAGGTTTCTAGCATTTCTATTTTTTGCTTGTTATTTTTCTAAAACCTATTTTGATATATAGGTTTGCAATTTTATTGTGTTAATTTTGATATCAATAAATAGTACAAAGTTGATTTAAAAAACTTGAAAATAGATGGAGAAATTTCAATTAAAATTGACAAAATATTAAAACAGATGTTATATAATATAATGTTATATAATACAAATTGCAAATTAGATTGAATCTGTAAAAATATTTGCAAATAAATACGTTTTCAGGCTGGAGAATAATGTGAATGCCACATATAAAAGCCTGCTACAATTATTCCGGAAACTATATCTCAATTCACCCGCCAACCTTGATCCAGACTTACACGATAACATGTTGTTTATACAAAAGATGATGCAACAACATCTTCGTGACTACACAGACTACTTGGTTGTCAAGGCTCAAAGGAACATCACTATGACAACATATCCTTTTTGTTGCACCATTGAAGTCACTTGGTTAAAAACTGAGTGTGTCAGGTCATATCAAGGTCAGGCCATGTCATGTCAATTGGTTTTAGATAAAATAGAAATATTTCCTGCTGCCAAAATTTCAAGGAACCATTCAATCAATTAATTCATATCTTAAATAAGGTATAGTATTATTAATGGTTATATGTGGATCTTACCAAATTTTGGAGTTACTAGATCAAAAATGACCTTGGCAAAATTTTAACATCTGCCCATTTTTCAGTGACTGGTGTAGACATGTGATTCCTTTTCATTTTTGGGGACTATTATTGTATCGAAAGATGAGACTTCACTTATTGTCAAATATTTTTTAAAATGAAATTTTATTTTTGGTCATACAGGGTGATCACTAAGTATCTGTCATTTCATTATTTTTCAACCAATTTACTTGAAATTTTCAAGGTAAATGGGGATTGTGATTTTGGGTTGGATAAAACAGTCTCATTGTCATGTGATGTCACAATGGATAATTATTGTTACTATAGCAACATGACAAATGGCGTAGCGGGTCAAGTAAAATAAAAATGATTTCAAATTTTGCTTGATCCAAAAGTATGGCTAATTAATACCTATTTGGTGGACATATTATTATGATATTTCTGTGATTTTTATATTTTCAAATACTTCTAACTTTAGTTTCTATAGTAACTTCTGTATTGTGATATACGAGTGTACTTTGCTCTATTTTCATATCATTCGTCAGACTCTCAAAGTCACAATCATGACTCAAGATAGCGTGGAGTTTTCCTCCATTATGGCTATGCTCCTTCCCACTCCTCAAACTGCCCATACTACTCTTGAAGAATTAGGGTTCACACAAGTTGTTACTGCCCCATATTCACCATACAATATTCACCAGATGAAGCACCATTGGGCTTCACTACATTTGGGGTGCTAAAGAGGTCATATGTTTGATTCCGATAAGGGACTGATTTCCCTTAATTATAGTTTTTATGTAACCACTATAAGTGTTGACATATTATTTTAGTCTCCAACTTTTTTGTGGAGAGTGATGAGTGGTCAATGTTTGGCATTCTGCATCTGTAACAAATGATAGGTGGTGACATTTTGCATGTTTGAATTGTTTCCCTTTGTTGCGAGTTTGCTCTCTGTGTTCCTTAACCTGATGCACTTATCTAGAGGACTTCCCTGGCCTTGTGCACTTTATATATGTTGATAGAATGACCAATCAGATAACAGTCCCATCCATCAATGTCTCGGCAGATGATCCAGAATCTGACATGGAGAGGGGAGATATGGGGAAAGTGCTCAAGAAAAAGGTATTTGCAAATATTAAGGAATAAAAAGTATTATGATGCAATATATGACTGCTGATTTTCTCGTCATATAAGAACTTAAATCTTTTTATATTTGGATAAAAACTTGAATTTTACAATTTAGGGTGCATTATATGTAAGTTGGTAATTGATGTTTGTTTAAAACTTAGTTGCTTGTTTAATACTTTGTTGTTTGTTTAATACCTAACTGTTTGCTTGATATAGGTATGGGAGATGGTTCACTGGATGCAGAGAAAGTTACAAAATGGTATTACATCAATGGGGCTCCAAGAGGGGGACTTTCACTACTCATACTTTGTATGGTTTGAGGACCCTACAGTAAGTACAGAAAATCATGTTGTTCTTGTAGGTATGTTATATTCCAAAGATCATGTCATGTCCGTCAGATAGGGGGGGGGGTGCGATGCGACCCCCCTCTGACACCCCCCAAAAGAAATTTGGGAAATTTTTTTTTTAATTATTTTTTTTCCATTGACTCATACACTTTGAAAGTACCCAGAAAGCACCAAATAGCATCTTAAAATTGTAAAATTTTCTAGTGGGAGTGGGCCACCCCTCACACCCCCACAAAACAATATCCCAGATGCATGTAGAAATAATCTTGATTTACATCATTAAAAATTCAGTCAAACTGGTGTCATATTTGGAATCTACATGTAAAATTATATCTAGAAATGTGGTTTTGAAGAGTTTATCAACTTTGAAAAACTTTTCTTTGAAAATGTGACTTCTAGGTTGGGGAGATTCGCCATGTTGTAAAATCACAAAAATGGAAATATCTTTTCTTGTGTTGGGCAGATAATATTTTCTTTTACTGGACATATTTTAATTTGTTTAACTATCAGATACATAAGGGTAATATGAAAAGTGAACCACTAAAACTGATGAATATTCAAGTTTAAGGGAATTTTGCCATGAAACAATTGAAAAGTTCTGAATTTATTTTATGCATTGTATTGCCCAGACATCATCAAATAGCTCCTTAATATAGTCAATGTTTTTGGGGGACTAACACTTGCTCCCCCTCTGGCATCCTCATCCAACTTCCCCCTCGGGAACCCTCCCCCCAAAAAAATAAAATAAAACATTTTTTAAAAAAAATTGTTAATCTTTTTTATTGACTCATACACTTTGAAAGTGACCAGAAAGCACCAAATAGCATCTTAAAATTGTAAAATTTTCGGATTAATATTTCATTGGTCAAGTATCAATAAAACAGTTAAAAACACTGTTTTACAGCAACATTTTTGATATTCCTAGTCCCTACCTTGTCTGTCTTGTCTGTTGCTAGCTCACTCGTTTACTAGATTCATTTCATATCCGCGTATTCGTATCCCTCGGTAATCAATCATGTGGTCCCTGGTACTATATTCTTTAGTCGTGTATTCTAAATAATATGTATTTTTCATGAAATACTATAACATAAAATTCCATCTATACATCGGTCCCGAGTGAAAGGGTCTTCTCGACGGCTGGTGACATTGTAACAGCCCAAAGGGCCCAATTGAAACCAGAAGCAGTGGACATATTAGTTTTTCTAAAGAAAAACATGAAAGTGTAAACTCACTAAACTTACACAATTATGACTTCCTCTGTAAAAAACGCATCACAGAATAAAGGTTTCTACAAGCATAAATTAGTTATTTTATTGGTTGTATTAAAAGAAAGTGACAGTCAGCAGTGAAGTCAGAGACAAAGCAGCTAATCATGTCAATCAATACAAATCCTTAAAATGAATGAACCGAACCGAAAAAAACCGAACCGACGGCTGATGATCCGAAAAACCGAACCGAACCGAAACGAACCGTCCCATCCCTACCAGAAAGCACCAAATAGCATCTAAAAAGTGTAAAATTTTCTCGGGGGAGCACTCCTCACACCCCCACAAAACAATTGGGAATGGTTGGAAGTTGCATTTGTTAATTTTAAACACTTTAAAAGTGCCCAGAAATCACCAAGTGACATAATGAAATCATAAACAATTCTGACACCGCATCCCAAAAACTAAAGCATTTATTTACTCAAACACATTAAAAATGCTCAGAATTAACCAGACAGCATCTTGAATTAGTAAAGTTTTCCTGTGCTGCCCACTCGCTCCTCTAAGAAAAAAATGATTAAAAAATCAGAATTTCTTTAAATTGATTCTATTGCCTTCTAGTTCACCCTCCACATTACAATGTTTCTCCAAATTGCTCATACAATGTTTAGTCTAAAAACAATATGAAAACAATAAAATACTACAAAATAGGCTGACAAATAGGCTGATTGGCCTTAATATAGAGAGTAACTGACCCCCCCCCCCTCTGACTTGTGCACTTTGATTTACGAGGAAAAAAACCCATTGGAGAAAAGTGTCTTACGGGCCTGCATGTCTCTACATTATGAGCTCCATTCTTATTTCATTGGTCACAACAAATGTATTAGAACACCATTTTAACTATATACATGTACATTAAGAATAGCGGATACACAATACACATACCTTTTGAGTAGCACATTATTCACCATAAGTAAATTTTTGATGTGTAAGTAAAAATTTTTTTTGTTTCTGTACTGCAGGGTCACAGTCTGAGTGTGCAACATCCATTCCATGGTAATCCAAATAGTATTCCCCCTGGTATATTGGCAGGTAACTTCTACAGGTAAAGTTTTCAGTTCAAATACCTTCTTGCATCCTTAAAGGACAACTGAAATAGCTTTTCTCAACTTGCAGCTACAAAAATGTGGTTTTCTCCATTGTAAGCCCAACGTAGAGTTCTTGCGATAGCCATTATGAAATAAATGTTAGATAACTGCTAACTGTCATAAATAACGAAATCAAACTAACTGATCAATCAAATTGGCCCCCACGTGATTAGTCATATACAAAATATAGCTTTGGTTTATTGGTTCCTTAGTAATCACAACGTCACGGCAACCATAGGATTGCTGTGTAAACAAATAACAAAACATTTTGGCATTATGACGTCATGATCTGATGGACCAAAACGGACCACGTGGGGACCAGTGAGAGATCACGTGGGGGCCAATAACGTCACAACCAATTCGAATATTGTTTATTAAGCGACTATAACAATCGTTAGAGTGAAATAGTTTTCACACTACTGATGAGAAAACATGTCAAAATACATTCATCAAAAAATTATATTGATTCCTTTAGGTTAAAAATACTATTTCATATCTGCTTTAAAGGACCCATGAAAAGTTTAAACACTTTGGGCTTATATGTGCATGTATTGTGGTCTTACTCTAAGAGATCTGATTTGTGAAACTTTTTTTTTCAAAAACTACAAAATGTGTTTTTTAATTGTTTTTTTTTCAAAAACAACTTTTTAAATAAGAAAAAAGATTAGAATTATAAAATATAATTTTCAAACTTTGCTTAGGACTTAAAACATTTTGCAAGGTTGATTTATTTATGTTTTGATTAGTATCCCTTATAGATTTCTTATTATAACTATTATTTCTTAGATCAATTCTTATTTCAAAGTTTCCATAGATGATAGATAGACATTGATAGATGCTGCAACCATGGTTAATTTTGCTCTTTTCACCATTTTGAGAAAGTTGGAAAAAATCAAATAGCAAAGAAATAGAGATTTTGACAATGCCACAATATTTATTAAGAGCCATTTCAAAACCCATGTAACAAAAAATCATTGCTTTGTATTTTACAGAGGACTGGTTAGGCAGTGTTTCCCCAGTGCTGTGCAACGGACTGTGCATTGTTATGAACTGATATGTATGCATATGGGCCAGGTTACACCAGAATTTGCACTTGAACAAAGCAAAAAGCTCTCCAATCATCTATGGCAGACATCCGGTGAGGCCCAGGCACCCATAAGTTTACTCTCCTAGAACTTTATTGTTATTAATATAATTCACCATTGTCCTCAATTTCTTACCTGAAAACTTAACAGTTTTCCAAAAGCATATGAACATACAATAATGTATGGATGTCAACAGGAAAACTGTTGCATTGAGAATTGTGAGGCTTCTGATCAGCAGAACTGTTGCAAGGAGAGTTATCAGGCTTCTAATGAGCTTATCTGTACAATCTATATGTATGGGCACATATTTTATCTTTTGAGGAATCCAACTCTTGCCAGAGAAGGGGAGAGAAATAAGTATATAGCACGCAAGCATCAATTACTTTAATCTATCCTATCCAGTTTGGCCTTACCATGAGGCGCAGGGATAGATTTGACATGAAATTGGCATACCGGTGCTCTGTTTTATGTTTTACTATTCATCTGTAAGATAGATAAAATATAAAATTGAAGAAAAGGAATAATCATTTTCATTCTCCCAAAGTATTTTTGATGACCAAAATGTTTTCAGTGAGTGAGTAAGTGAGTAGGTCTGGGTTTTCAATTACTCACAATCTGCTACCTTTTACATACAATTTACTGTGCTAGACAAGTAGATTATGTCACAATATAATTGATAATAAAGTTGCAAGTAAAATTTTCTCAATGTGACACATCAGAGTCAGATCTTTAGTCAGAGATTTTTAGATAAGATTAGATTGTTAGCCTTTTTAGTTTTGTGTACATTGTAGAGTATACATTATTAACAATTTTACAATGTCATGTATTTATTGTAAAAATGACCTGGGGTCATTAACAGAAAATGTTGTTAGGAATTCCTACATCCATTGTTTCTATGATGTCATTATATCCATGAACAGCAATATGCTAAACCAGTCAGATATTAATATTGTATGTTTTAAAATGCAATTTTGCAGTTACACAGTGTTGATTTTTAAACTGAGATTTATAGCTTGTAATTTTATATTCTTGTTCAATCACTTGGAGAGCTTTTTTGTAATTTTAGAGCTATAAGACTTATTGCTCAAGGAAATTCATTCCTCGGTTGATTTCAGTTGATTTTATCTCATATAAATTTTAAGAAGATCGATATGCATTGTAATTTAAGTCCCATTGGAATCAATTGTGCTTTTATGGTTTATCATTCAAATCCATATTTTTACACAGAGAAAAACTGTGTATAAAAAAATCTTTGTATTTCATAGCATGCACTCCTCTCAAGTTTTCCAGAGCTCAATGAATAATCAGCATTATTTATGGTTTCAACAGCTCCGTATCTGATTTATTTGCCAGCACTATTTCTATGTTTGAAGAAATAATTTTAGCCTCTTTCACCACTTTACATTTAAAACTGCAGAGCAATCTTGCTTGCAGAATTCATAAGTTTCTCTTGCAGAATTCATAAGTTTCTCTTGCAGAATTCATAAGTTTCACTTGCAGAATTCATAAGTTTCACTTGCAGAATTCATCACTTTAACTTGCACTGGGAGAGATGAGCAGGATGAGCTTATTGTTATGTAGGTCTCTAAATAGAAATATTATAATCAAAGCATCAGATTCATAATAGTGTTTTTGTATGTTGAATTGATAAACATGATATGGATATTTTTAATAAATAAGAACTAACAGACATCCTATTGTTAGTGTTATTCTGAGCTAATGGTTGCCACAGTTTATTGCCTGTGTATCTGGTTTGGGAAATCTTTCTGGGCTCCATTTTGAAACAATCGTAACTTACTATTCCTAAATTCTCTGTTTAGATTAACAATGAATTTAGAGCAAATTGTATGTTATGATGGTTCCAAAACAGATCCATGAGTAACATCTGCATGTGCAACTAAGTTTGGAAGGCATATAGAGAGGCTACCTGCCCAACTGTCCCTTCGTTTACATGCATCTCAAAGTGATGACCAGTAAACAGATTTGGTCCAAATTTAAGGAATTTTTAATATGTTGTCACATCATGGATGTCAATTTTAAAAGGAGATTATATACTACTGGCTAGTTATTTCTATACTGAAATGTTCAAAACTAAGAGTTATTTGATTTTGTCTTGTTTGGTGGGATTTGCTTCTGTTTTTATGTCACCACCACAAGTGGTGACATACATATTGTTATAAGTCTCCAACTTATTTGTTTGTGAGGTTCGGTGTCTGAAGCAAATGGCAGGTTGTGACATTTGGCATGTTAATGACTTATTTCTAGTTAATTTTGATCAGTCATTTCCAACCACACTGTGCCACAACTAGTTACTTTGACGGAACGTCAATGTAACAAAATGGATGAACTTCCTGGTTACAAGTTTTTTGTTTTCTTGATTTAAACCTACTTATACGTCAAGTTGCAGATTATAATTTGGCACAAAGCTAGAAAATATAGTCTAGTTTTAATAAGTTTCTTCGATTCGGAATTTGTTTTGTAAATGAAGTTGCAATTCTTATATTTAGCCCCTCGCTTTTGTTACATTGACGAAAGTCCGTTATTTTACCAATGTATGTTACTTTGACGACTTAAATTGAATTATGAATTACAGCTTTATTTACCAATCAAATTCCAAACCGAGAGCATTTCTAAAAGCTAGAAGATATTGCCTAACTGTGTCTAAATGATAACCGCAACATGACTTTTACATAAGTTTAAATCGAAAAAACAATAAACTTGTATTCAGCAAGTTCATCCATTTTGTTACATTGACGTTCCGTCAGAGTAACTTAGTTGTGGAACAGTGAACCATGACGTTAATGATTTGTGGTTTATTAAAACCAATTGCACAGAATTTAGAGCAAAGTGACAAAAACATTGTTTAGACTTATTATAAAAGTTATTATGTATTACAATAATACACATGCTTATATTACATTTTGAATTATACAAATATTTCATATAAAAGCAAACATCTTTTAAACAGTGATGCTTAATATATTGGACATAAAATTGGCAATATTCCTTAATATGAAACATAATCCTTTACTCAAACCACTATTTCAATTGTTGAATAATACAGACCATAGGGAGGCATGATATTCACTGTTCAATTCAATTATTTGAGGGTGTATTCTGAAAATACGTATATGTATAATGTATTGCATATTGTCTTGCATCAGAACTAATTTCAATTTTAAACCTTTCAATCTTCCAGAATGTTGATGCATTAGAAATATTGTTCATAATAGCACCCCTCAAACATGAAAACTTTTATACAACACAAAAATATAATTCATGATAGGCCACAATTACTGAATAAACACTTACACATAAATAGTCATGGCTTTATAGTCCTGTTTACAGTCAAAAGTGGCCACATATTTATTTATAGTGAATGTTTACAGTTTTGTACATTAGTTACAACTTTATTGTATAATATTGCAATACTTTACTCCACCCTGCTTAACTCCAAGTAGATTACTTTGCTGTGATACAAAAGAAGTTTTCTTTAAAGATCTTTGATATCAAAAATAAATTGTTTCATTTTCAACCAAATCACCTTCAGAGTGTCATTTTATAATTTTTTTAATGTTTTGCCAGCATGGCACAATTATACACATAATTTCCCAGCAAAATTAATATAATTAAATAATTTTTTTAACTTTAAATTAAAATCGTTCATTATGCATTAAATTAACTGCACAAAATTAGCTGGGAACATTCCCCGCCTCCCATCTGGTCCAGTCCCTATCCACCAACCATCATCTATCTTCTCTATATCTGTTATGACATCATCAGGGTCAAATGTTATTTCCGTGTCTTCCTCTGAAAATAGCCATTATTTTCCAATGGAACATACAAACTAAGCATTTCTCCATCTAAAATGTCACTCGACTTTTTGGCAATTAAAAGTCCTTGCCTGCATTTAGTAGTCATATATTGTCATGTGCATAATTTTGAAACCATATCCTAATTATTTCACAAACCCTTTGTTGATTCTGCCATAGTTTCCAATTTGTAAACAGCATTTAGCCTTTTTAATTGGGAATTTTTTTGAAATTTCCAAAATGGCTGCCATGTGATTCCAGAATTAACATGAGTGTGACGTGACATCACAGTTGCTCGTTCCTAGGTAACAACAAGATCACAATTGCTCGTTTCTAGACAGCAACAAGATTTTTGATAAAATGGCACAGAATTACCCTGATTAACACCCTTAAAATCCGATTTTCAAAGAATATATTTGGAGAAACAATAAAAGGTAAGTGGAATAAATTAGAAGACGGTTTCAAGTTACCACAGAAGTCAATTTGAAACTCAAGAATGCTTTCTTTGACTCATAATCACAAAAAAGTCGAGTGACATTTTAGATGGAGAATTTCTTAGTACTAGTCCTGTTTTGTGTCGAAATACGGCATGCAATAAATTCCATAAATTAGGCTAGAGACATATCTATGTTCTATCAAAACGTTCCAGTGAAAAGTGACACTGAGACAAATCTTACTTTTCTTCAAAATGCAAATATGTGCACATATGAAAAAAGGACTATTACTGAAGGAATGAACAACATCTCTATTACAGGAGCTGTGTAACAATGTTCATGCCAAGCTTAATGACGAGAGGACTGTACATGAAAATCCATTTAATCACATCATATATGCAACAAGGGATCAACTAGGTACTGATCTCAAGCAATATAATATAAACTCATAACAAAACTAAATACTAATACACATATAGTTCATTTCATGTTAAAAAGAGAAATATGCAAGTGCAAATGGTTAAAGCACCAACACAACAAACCTGAAGCATTATGAATATATTAACAAGCACTATGGGTCAATCAGCTCGACATAGTTGGCTGGAAACATGCCATGTTTTCCCGCTGGATTCACTCCTGTCCACCAGCCTTCATCTAGTTTTTCAATGTTAGTGATGATGTCTTCAGGGTCAAAGGTTATCTCAGTATCGTCAGCTAGAAATGAACATATCACACGATCCTCAAAAATAAGATCAGTTGGGAACTTGTGTTAAGTAGTTGGGAAATAAAAATTCCAAGTGCTGGAAATCATTATAGAGCCTCAAATAGAAGCCTCACTAATTAGGTTGTGGAACCATTTGCTACCGTTTATTACCCTCTTTCACCAAATCACAAATCAAACAATGTTAAAGAAACTTGTGTACTATAAAGCATTACAAAGTCATTTCAATGATAAACACATGGGTGCAATTTCAGATCAAACAAACATTAAGTGATTTCACAGTGTTCTACATTTTAGAGAAGGTTCAGATACCAGTGTTTGAATTCATTATAGCAAGTCATTGCGTTTTCATTCTAGTGGAATGTCATTGAAAACTTAGGACTCTGTGGACAGATTTTTTAAAAATCATCAATCCTTATTAGAACACAGTGAAATCTTTTATGTTATGTAACACAATACTTTACCAGCTTGATAATCGTACAAGGCCCTCGCTGATTGGCCCTGGCTTGCTGGAGGTGCAGCTGCAGGGGGTGAAGCTGCAGGGGGTGAAGCCGCAGGGGGTGACGCTACAGGTGCCTCTGGCTCAACAGCACTTAGCATTTCGACATAGTTTGCTGGGAACAGACCATATTTTCCTGATGGATCTGTGCCTCGTGACCAACCTTCATCTATTGGCTCAATGTTAGTTATAAGGTCACCAGGGTCAAATGTGATTTCTGAATCATCAGCTAAAATAAACAATTTTATGATTATGATTTTGAGCCCAGAAACATGGACCGATAGCAACATAAACAATTAACCAATTAATATGTGCTTATGTCAGCATGCCTATATTAGCATGTCCCCAGAGCGTGCCCCACTTTTTTCCTGTGTAAAATATTTTATAAAATATAGACAATGAATGGAGAGACAAGACTGAATATTAGTCTTCTTTTAAGTGCAAACATACCAGCTTGATAGTCATATAAGGCTCTGGCAGTAAGGCCCTGATCTACAGGTGCTGCTGGAGCAGATGCTGCTTGGACACTAGGAGTACTCTGGGTTGTGGCTGCAGGGGTTACAGTTTTCACTTCAGGGGTAGACTCTTCCTCTATAATAACAACACAACTGCATTGGAGTATTAGTGGTGGCCATGTTGAATAAAAGAATTTGAAGAACAGTTGCTGATCCCACCAAGGCACCAAACAAAACATACTAATATAGTATTTTATCAAATCACTCCTCATTTTAAACATTTCATGATAGAAATAACCCCAAAATTAGATTTTCTTGATGAAAAATGATGGCCACTTTAAAATCCAAAGGACATCTTAAAGTTTTTTCTTGAGCAGAGAAGCCATGGCTGACATTTTTACAAAATCCTTCTACTACTTTTTCAAAAATCATAAAATAACACACATAAAAATGGCCACCATTTTCAACATGGTTGGTCACTAGCCAAATTGTCATAAGAAAGTGTAATATGCTTTTAAGTAGGCACTCGGTAAAATTTCAACAAAATTGCACACACCCAAATAACATACCTAAAAATGGCCACCATTTTCAAAATGGTTGGTCACTAGCCAAAGTATCACAAAACAGTGTACAAAATATGAACAAAATTGGGCCAACGGTATTTGAGTTATTGCCAAGATGGATGGACATATGGACGGATGGAGGCATTCCCTATATCCATTTTACTTTGTTCGATGGGATAATAAAGAATCAGTCTATAAAATTTGAACCAGATGACTGGGCAGACGATATTCGATGATGTCCCAAAATATAATCAATTAACAACAGTTACTGGTTAACTTCCTGTAATACTGAAGAATTCAGGTAGAGCGAAACTCCCAAAACATTACTGTCACTATTGACCATCTCACTATTGACCTTATTACCCTCGTGAGGATGTATTTACATACTTACCATGTCAAATGAGATGATTAATAACTAAATAAGAAGAATTATACAACCCAGACACCAATATTTTGTTAAAGTAAAATTCTAAAATGGAATATATAGTAATATAGTGGAATGGTTGGAATAAGCATATATGTGGGTTAAAGCATTTCAATGCACCTGTGAACATTGAATGAATGTGCTATTCTAGATATTAGATCAGTATGAATGGAATGGGAATGATTTAACTATATTAAGCACATTTTACATACACTGTATAAGACACACAGTGACACTATATATAAGATACATTATTACAAGAAAGCTTTTGAGTGACTTGTCTCTCAATACAGTAGTGTGCATTGCATCTGCATACCTTCGAGAAAGCTTGAAGGAATCGTATGCTTCGGAGAAAGGTTGATTTACTTTACACTTGCTTTGCAACTGGGTGTATTTTTATTTCCTCAATTACACATAAAACGACATATCAAGATGAACAGAGAGCCAACAATTAGTGTTCCTTTAAGGATCAAATATTGACCATATTTGGAGTGGACTAATTGATATTAAGGATATTATCAATATCACACTAAAAGGACACTTTTCTATCCTGTCAAAGCTCAGAAGTATGATTAAATATCTTTATCAGACAAAGGAAACTGTTTTGGCCAATACAAGCCCAAATTTTTTCTTCAATTTTCACATCAAAAATAATTATCTCTGAAAAAGAATAGGTCACGATGTCCCTATAGATTCATCTTAAAGGGTGCACAGAATTTTACACACAATCTTATTTGTAAACTGGGAGACCACCCACACACTTGTTTTCAGACTTTTTTGATATACAAATGTTTTTTTCAATAAATAAAAATGATTTTCACATTTTCTATCTGTTGAATAAACATGCAAAATTGCCTCTTAAAATCAAATGTAATAACTTGTAATACTAGATATAACTAAATATGCAAGAAATTGAAGAAAACCAAGGTACTTTTACGAAATGAAATAGGTATTACAGGGAATCCATTCTTGCAAAACTATCAATTTCTCAGTTACACTCAATATTGTCTGTCTATCCATTGTTGTATTTGTCATAACAAAAGTTTTTACCTTCCATTAAACAAAATTGATTGTGTGTAGAATTCACGTTGAAAACAGTACCTAAGCAGGTGAAAAGGTTTTAGGAAAGGAAGATAGACACCCCCTGATTGGCAGTAGGCCTTACTATAATGTAACTCAAAATCTTTTAGTATACAATTAAGGTGAACATGGTTTGATACTATAAGAGTGGTTATCTGAATGTGAATATACACATTTATAGGAAAAAGAATAAATACATATATAAATGTTAAAACTCATTTTTCCAAGAATAAGGCAGGAACTTTGGGGGATTTTTTGAAAAAAGATGTGACAGGGAATATTATATGATCTATGCTCTTAAAATCACTTGGCGTCCTAGGAATCGTGGGGTGTCTTATCCTCTTGTATTGGGAAATTAAAGTATTGGATTTATGTTATACATGGATCATATGATAATCTTACCCTTTCTCTTTTTAGCTGAATAATAAAACATTACAAATCAGATCCTTCATGCAACTTACTGTCATTTAAAAAATCTGAAAATCTACTTTTAAATTATTAGTTAGTCATAAAAGCTTTTTTAAAAGCAATATATTAAACTGCTTATTTGTGCTTACCTCCCCAATCATCATCATCATTCTGCTCTTCATTGTCACTGCTCTGACGAACTGGAAGACCCTCCTTCAAGAGGTTACGTGTATGGGGTTCCACTCTGTCTGCCTATAATTACATTAACAAATGTGAGTCTGTTAAAACTGGAAGATACTGGTGATATATACAGGACACTTAATGTTTATGTAACTTCTCTATCCTGACTATAGTCTCACCAAACAAATCTGATTTATAAATGTGTGTCTGATAAACTGGGAGACATGCTCTCAAGAATTACATGTGATACAACTACAGTATGAGTAATTATGTGGCTTCGCATCCAGCAAAATTGATTGAATAATAACAAGGAAAAGGCAATCAAACCTGTGGTTCAGCAGGTGACTGTGGAGGGGGTTGAGCTGGTGTATTAATCACTTCTGGTTCTGGCTCTGGTTCTCGAGCAGGGGTGGGGGGTAGTTGTCTAGTTGGAGCTGGGGCTGGTTCACTAGGAGGCTCCTCTTTGGGCAATTCTATAGGTGCCTTACTCACTGGAGGTGCTGATTCTGCATTGTCTCCAAATGAATGCTTTATTTTCCTAAAACATGCTTTCTCATGACTACTGGTACTGGTATATAGTGCAGATCAAATTACATTAGAATTGCCATGTTTGAAATTTCATGTTTTTTAACCTTATGACAAACGTTATTCAAAACTTTTTCTGAAAAGAAAAATAAGCAATGGTTCTTTGAGGGAGATAATTGCATAATAATTTGCTCTCAGATACTGAATACATGTTCACTATATTCCATCTTAAGTTACAAAGGAAGAGCATTGTTTGGACTAACCTAGCAGGTGGTGGAGCCTGTGGCTTTGGTTGGTCATCAAACTGTGACGTTCTTTTCTTTTCAAATACATCTTTAGGATTAAAGTCTCTTTGACTGACCAATTGTGCAGCCTCAGCCTGTCTCATTTTATTTAGAGACTCACTTCTCTTCCGCCTAACATTGTCATCGTCCTCATGATCTTTCTCCGATGCTTCCCATCGTCGCTTTTCTTCTTCTTTAGCGGCAGTTTCGTTTGCTCGCCTCTCTGCATCTTTCTGTTCTTTAACTGCCCTTGCATGTTCCTGCACCCGTGCATCACGCTCTTTAGCCTCTCTTTGTTCTCGTTCTCGCCTTTCTTGGTCTATTTGTTTTGCCTCGTTAGCTTTTTTCTGTTGCTCAGTTACCTGACGAGCTTTTTCCTCTGCCTGAATTAAAAAAAGACTCTTACAGTTGTCAAACTGACAAAACGTACTTATGCATCGTCCAAGTTTTTTTTTAAATCAGGGTATTATTTCATTCATACATATTTACTTATAAGTTAATATCTAATATATACTGAATATATTCACAGTAAATTTTACGTATTTGATCCATAACAATATACAAGGTCAAACTCATGAAAAGTACCTGACTAGCAAGTAAGTGATTGTGTCATTCAACTAGCAGGAATAACAACCTTAACATTACCTCCACTTTTTCCCAATAGGCATCTCTCTGACTGACTTTAATATCTCTTTGTGGCAGGGTTTTCTTGTATACAGATGACTACAAAATAAATATGCTAAAAATTCACCAAAGAAAGGATACAAAAACAAGGCTTCAAATAGGACTAATTAACTGATATCATTTATTTCCACAAAATAGCCCTGTAATTTGGGTTTACATATTTTGATACTCTAAAATTTACCACTACTTGGTGACTTTTCAGATAATTGACATTTGGTATCTATTTATTAGCTAGATCTGGATTTAGTTGAATTTCTGTTTTATAGAATCAGACCGTGTTTTGTATTGACCATACTCATGAATTTGAAACATTATTGATTTCAAATCAATACAGCTGCCACACATCTAATACACACTACTATACCTAACACCTAGAAATGCATAAGATACTTTGTTTGTCTAATTTAATTGTTTAATATATTTTTGAAAGTGCCCTACTAGCATCTAATTTTCAACCGATAAACCATTCATAAGGAACAGACAAATAAAAACAAATACATAATCATTACTAATAAGCCAAATGGGTTGCTCATGAACACCAAATGCAAGGTATAGTAGTGTGTAATAGGAAAAATACCAAATCTCAAGAATTAATTCTGATTTTTGGCGAAGATGTTAACTGGCGAATATAGTCAAATCATCAAATTTTCCAAATTAAAGCAGGTGCCAAATTTCAAGTTAGAGTACATACTGCTTAAAAACATTTATAGAATGAGATGTTCACTTTGAATAGTTAAAATCTCACAAGAGTTGTTTTTTCTACAACAATAGTTCCTGAATTTATCTATTTACAGTGAGCATATAATACAGTGAAGCATACCACAGGGCCAGCCTCTGGCATGGGTTTGGCCTGTTCTTTGTGGAAACCATAGTTTGAACCACTGGACTTTGCAACCTTATCTACAACAACATCCGCATCAAGGTCGTCCTCAGACCTGGCATTGATTGTTACGTGGGCGCCCTGGAGAAGGATAACAATGTTAAATGGATATCAACAGTAAAGAGTCTTCTCACACATATAAGGCACAAGTAGTAGACCTGGCATTGATTGTTACATGGGCGCCCTGAAGAAGGACAACAATGTTAAATGAATATCAACAGTAAAGGGTTTTCTCAAATATGAGACACTAGAGCTCTAGTAGTAGACAGCAGACAATATTACTAGATATGAGATATGCTGAAGTCTAACATAGGCTGGATTTGTTTTTCATACTGTCTTATTCATTGTTTTTATTTCCAACAACATTATGAATTATGAATGTTTTGTTATTATAGATAAAATAATGTCATAATTTTCTGTAGTTTAAATGTCAGCGTAGCCTTGAGAGAAAGGTCTTATCCATTAATTTTGCGTTTCATCAGTTATCTTGGAATTATCATATATCAATTCAATGATCTCCTTTGTTATTGGCATACCCTGAGCAATGTTTGGACATCTCTGAAATGTGGAGCACATTGGCCCTTTCTGGAATCTGGCGCTCCTTCTCCTTGCTGCAATTATAATGCAAATATAAAAACAAGTTTCTGTAGGAGTAGGACCTATTGCAATATATCAAAACAATACATAACATAATAAAAAAAACAGTATGCAATTTACAAGCACAAATACATCTGTTATCTAGTGTGACTTAACATTCCAAAAACTCTGAAACATTTCCATTTATCAGTCAGCCAACATTTTTCAATGGTGAAGACTATAAATACATACCCAGTTGACTAGAACAAACTTGAAAAGGCCCGTGTTGGGATCCTTAACCCTACAATAGGCATACATGATCTTGCCAGAGCTCAGCTCCTCAACCATATCATCCAAGTCATTGTCTAAAACAGATCAATATTCAAATCTGGTGATATTAGGTGTTAAAATCTGAAAAGCATGTCATGGCGATGGTACTGTTTAGTTAAATTAGCACCAAAGATAAGAGACTGGCATGAAATGTTGAGAGTAAAAATATGAAAATTTTGACAAATTAATTATTCTTTAATTATCTATGGAATATTTGGATTTATTTAGTTTCCTTTTCTAGTCTAGACTGCCATCATATTCTTGGACTACACATACCTCCTGTTTCAACCAATTTGACCACATTTGTCTTCCCTTCATATCCAAACACTGCCCTGAAATATAGATCAGTACCCAAGATTTAGATTTGACAATCTTTTGTGTTATTGAATTAATGAATGCTAAATCACAAGACTGCAACCTGGCAACTACAGTATTAATTAAGAGTATGACACATGTCTGTGGTAATATGGCTTATATACATATACTGTTCAGTTTTCTGTAAGTTGAATTATGATTTCTGCAAGTGAAAATTGTGAATTCTGTAAGATCTGTAAATAAAGCAATTTAAAGGGGCAACAAGGGCTGTAGAGAGAAAATTGGACATACCTATTTTCTTAAAATGTATGATAAACTATCAATTTCAGTATTAAGAAGTGTAAATTCAGTTCAAAGCTTCTATAAGGGAGTCCCCACTTATAGATTTTTGAGATCCACCACGTTTCAAGAGGAATATCAGCTGAAATAATGTTCATCCAGGGGGCTTCTTTGTAGATAATAAAAATATATGTTAGTCTTGGTGAAATATCTAAACTTAATATATTTTGACACTGGTCCATGATCGTTGAATACCCTGCACTAATTGTTGCACCTTTAAATTATGTATGTATTTGGGATATGCATACACAGAATATGTGGTATACAATAATTGAAATACAATGTACATGTAAATGTTGTATTGTTATGGTATTGTTACATACATGCATACACTGCAGTGATCTCCCCAGGATTTTTTCTCAAGTGGGTGCAAAATTCTCATTTTCACAATTCAGACCAAATTTGGTCAAAATATACCAATTTTTCATGATTTTTCTCATTTTCAAGTGGGTGCAAATGGATTTTCAGGTGGGTGCAAGGCTGTTTTCAAAATCTCAGGTGGGTGCTGCGCCAAACTACTTTAATAATATAATGCTGGGGAGACCGCTGCACTGTATTATCACACATCACTCATACTCCTGAAGCATCATATACATTTGACAAGTTTTTCTTCTCTTACACTGACAATTATAAACTACAATGTATATTTATATCACCCATCCATCCTCATAGTTTGTTTGGGTGGTCTGAATGTACACATACAGTAGCCACTGTCATAAATTCCATAGATAGAATCCTATATCGGATAGGTAGTAGATAGGTAGTGTAGGATATCACTGTTGCTGAAAGAGTTTACCCTTATTGACTCATATTTTACTTTTAGGATATGACTGCTGCTCAAAGAGCCCGTTTACTGCAGGGAACAGAATCATTGAATAGGACAAGTCAGAGTATAGGTAGATCCCACCGTATTGCGGCAGAAACAGATCAAATAGGAACTGAAATAATTGATGAGCTTGGTACACAAAGAGAATCCCTTATACGAACAAGAGACAGGGTGAATATTAATATCATCTCTCTATTTAAAGTTTGCAAGTGTCTAGTACTGTGTCAACAAATATTATACTTTTCTTATCGATAATGATTTATTTTTTTAATTAGAAGATTTATTAGAAGAAGCAATCTTTACAAATATTAACATTGCCTTTCTTCAGGTTATGATAAGCAATCCGGCAGTCACTTGTCCGAATATCCAAAATTGTTTTCTGAATGAACCCCTGCTCATATGTTGTTCTCTCCATCTCAGGGACTGTCTCATCAATTTGTATAACCTCATCTATGACTGTTCTAAATCCCTTCACTCGAAGCAGTAAAGCTTCAATGTCATTGAGATGTCCCCCAATGTCTGCCATGTCTTCATCTCGTAACAACAAAGTTGTCGGGAAAATAAACGAAGATATTGCTGCAGGGAATAATGGTTGTTTTTTCAGTATATCTGGATGGAATTCTATATTTGCACTTATGTATACAATTCTAAACTTTGGAATGATACTGATAACTACGATGTGAATTCCATACATGCGTCTTCCCATCCCTCCACAAAATACAGTAGAATGTGCGGTGCTTACATAATATGGCCATTTGTATATTATAAATGGGGTCCCACCTCTCAGGCTTGATGGATATTTTTGTGGCTCAAAATTCTCATTTTGTTTTTGAACAATTTTGCATTTGCCATCATGCTGATTACACTGCAGGATTACAAATGGATCAAATCCATATATTAAATACAGTCTGTTGTTCTTGTTGTCGACAAGTGGACTCCAGTTACGCTCTGCTTTTCTCATTTGAATCAGAGTTCCATTTTCTTCGTATATCTGAAGCCGGTGAAGTTCCCCTGTATGAAATGACAGCATATACATGTGAAATGAATCCTCTCTCCAATTCTGCATGTCAAATAAAATAAATGGTTGCTCTCTTATTCTAAATATTCGTGGGTCCCTGGGTCCATTCCTCTCACTTTCTGATGTGATCATACCTAGAATTGAACCCGTGTTTATGGGTTTTAATATGGCTGAGTACATCATAGTGACCATAACATTGGTGGGTGGCTTATTTTTTAATGTCTCTCTCTGAACATTTCTGCAACGAGCTACAAGGGTATATGTTCCATCTTCATTTTCCAAAATGGCAGGTGACATGAAAAATGGATGCATGACTCGTTCCGGGTCTGATCTTTGAAGCATGTATGAAAGCTCCATCGAAAATGAATGCAAAAATGCTGTTGATACTGTAAAGTTAATGGTACTCATTTTTGCCAAATGAATGCCATGCAGGCTGAAATTGTGAATGTAGTGTTCCTTCATGGACATATATCCTTGTTTATTTCCACTGTGTTGTTGTTGCTTGTATGTTTGTTCAAACTTATGTTCAGTGGTATTGCCTTTCCCCTGCTCTATAATGTTATCATATATCATTCTAGAGTTAGAGCTTTCATTTGGTGCTTCATTTTTGTCATTCTGAAAAAGTTTAAATTTATCAATATCTGTTTGACTTTGTTTCCAAGTTTTCTTCTTCAGTGTATTGTCAAGAACACTGTTTGCCCGATCATCCTTTTTGCTCATACATGGAGTTATCTGATGGTATATGAGAAATAGTAGGGTCATCACACCTAGTTCCAGTCCTAAAAAGAACACAACTGTCTTTAACTTCATCTTGTGAACAAACCTATTTCAGCCTCTAGAGTTTTATCCCTGATTCTATAATATTGATCTGGCCTTACAATATTTGAGTTGTTCTGTACAGTATTTGGATAATGTATTATTATACTTGTATAATATGTTAACATTTGAATATTCTGTGGTAGGCTGAAGCACTGACAATTATATTATAGAGGTATTACAAGAATTACCTAACTGTTCCTTTTCAATAAATAAATTATATAGTTAATTTCAACTACATGTAATAGACTTATACGGAATAGTTCAGAAGGACAATAATTCTTACCTCTTGGTTGAAGAGCTCAAATTCTGGGAACTGATTTTTTACATCCGGATTTCTTCCCCATTGAAATATACAGGGTCCGGGTTTGAACACATCATTTCAGCTTTATTTGACATTCTTATTCACATATATATTTGCCCAATAGATAAAAATATATGTCCTAATGACAAACTGCAAAGCGTTTTCACGAATATTTTTCGAAGCTGAAGATAAACATGAAATGTTTTACCCTGACTCACCGACTTCGTTCCCAGAAGCCAAGACCTGATGACTCGATATGAAACAAGAAGCAAGTTCTTGTGTATATAGCGTGGGCTTGATTTCATGTTCATATTTGTTTGACTTGGTATCAATTGTGAGTGTTGTAACTTGAGTATTAGTATAAACTTTATCGTCCCGACAATACACAAAAACTAGATTTTAAGGTTGGAAGAAATTGGTCTAATCAACAGACCAATGAAAAATTTGTCCCACTTGAAGCGATGCATTGCAGGAGATATTTATGTTAATGACCATGTTTTCGTCTTTTCTGTATAAGTCTATTGATTTTGAGGTATCACTTTATTATTTTCATATTTTTTGTTTTAGAGATTAAAAATTTCATATTAAGTGAATAATGCCCTACAATGCTAATGATCTCAGTATCAACCCAGGGATATTCCCCTTAATTATGAACCACCCCAGGGATATTCCCCTTAATCATGAACCATCCCAGGGATATTCCCCTTAATCATGATTCACCCCAGGGATATTCCCCTTAATCATGAACCATCCCAGGGATATTCCCCTTAATCATGAACCATCCCACTGTCCCAGGGATATTCCCCTTAATCATGAACCACCCCAGGGATATTCCCCTTAATCATGAACCACCCCAGGGATATTCCCCTTAATAATGAACCATCCCAGGGATATTCCCCTTAATCATGAACCACCCCAGGGATATTCCCCTTAATCATGAACCACCCCAGGGATATTCCCCTTAATCATGAACCACCCCAGGGATATTCCCCATAATCATGAACCATCCCAGGGATATTCCCCTTAATCATGAACCACCCCAGGAATATTCCCCTTAATCATGAACCACCCCAGAGATATTCCCCATGATCATGAACCAACCCATAAATTGAAACCACTAACCATATCTCATGCTCTCTTATTTTCCAGTTAGAGGACACCCATGAGAACTTGTCCTGAAGTAGGAGGATCCTCAATACGATGAATAGAAGGCTCATCACCAACAAACTACTGCTTATTGTCATCATTCTGGTCGAGATCATAATTTTAGGTGTACTCATATATTGGAAATTTTTAATGAAAAAAAATAATTCAATGATATATTTATTTGTATAATAATATAAAGGTGGTGTGATTTTAACTGTATGAATAATATGCTGTATGAATTTGATTTCCTTTTAATCAGCAACTTAAAGGCAGAATCAGATCTATCGTGCAATCTTTTCAAATGATTGTTTCAGTTGCAAAATATTTTTGGCTCCTTTTTTCATTGTTATGTCTATTTTCTGAAAATCACTATTGTTAATACTTTATTCATGGAAAACGATCTTTGCATTTACGATGTGTTGATTTATCTAAAAAACACATTTTTGCACTGAATCATAAATGGGTTTTCAAGTTTTCTGAAAAAGGTTGGGCTGATTCCTCTTTGACACAAAGTTAAAAAATCTCTAAAATTTCATTTACTATTAAGGTGCACAATTTTGAACATTAAATCACAATCTATAATGTCAACAAATACTATACTTGATAAATCAAGAAAAGTGACTTTTGCCAATTGTTTATATATTATGAATAGTATTCTGGCCCCACCAAAACATGTGCTGCCAACTATTTATCTCTATATACACTGTATGTAGCAAATGGTCCATTATACATGTTGCTTGTACTGTATGTATGTCCCATATATCTTAATTGGACTCACTCTTTTTAACTCTGATTCTGCCTTTTGATGACAATATCAACAAAGTCATTGAAGCAAATGAGAAGTAATTGTAATGAGGTGATGGTAAAGAAAAGATACAAAGAAAAACCAGAACAACGGCAACGCCAAAGCGTAGCGAATCCCATTGAACAGAAATGGCTGGCATTTTTACAAACAAAATATATAGCAAATATCATAAAACAACACACATACGAAAGGCCACCATTTTCAAAATGGTTGCTCACTAGCCAAGCTGTCATAAGAAAAAGTAATATGCTATTAAGTAGCCACCTATAAAATTAAAAAAAATTGCTCACATGTAAATGGTGGCCATTGGGTAGGAGGGTGCGATGATGCGATGGCACCCCCCCCCCCCATAACCAATGAAAATATGAACATGATGATAGAGGAAGAAAATAAAATGCTTTTTATTTCAAGCTTCTAGCTCAATTTTGAAGGAAGTTACATACATTTTTGTAAATTCAAAACAAATATTACACGTTTTCTAATGATCTAATTATGTTATATATTCGTATTTTTCGTTTTTTGGGTACCCGTTTTTTTCGACTGGGTACCGGGTACCAATTTTGAACCCAGCATGGAGGATTTACTACCCCTGCCGGTTTTTTCTACAAACCCGCATTGGTATGATTTACAACAATACAGTTGGGGACAAAAATAAATGACAGGTCGATTTTCGATCACCATTTCCTAATTATGGTGGTCTGAAAGCCCATAATTTCCAATATTGTCTAGATACATATCCCACTGGCGGATTAGGGGGGGGGGCCTGGGGGCCCGGGCCCCCCCCCCTTGGGTGGGCCCAGAAAAAAAAATTGGGCCCAAAAAAAATTTTGGGCCAAAAAAGGCCTTAAGGCCCCCAAAAAGTCGGCCTTTTTGGTCATTACTGGGCCTTTTAAGGCCTTATTTTTTAAATTCAGGCCAAATTTTGAAGAAAATGGGCCTCAAAATTTCAAAATTTGGGCCCACTTTTGCGTTTTAGGGGCCCAAAATTTTTTTCCGCGCAAGCGCGGACGTTTTTTTTTCTGACCTGAAATTTGGGCCCCCCCCCCTTCTTGGTTCCCAGATCCGCCCCTGTATCCCTTAAAATTTGTATATTTTACATTTTGTATAATCTCATCCACTGATTTATGGCCTCTTGTAAATTCTCTTATTTTTAACATGGGAAATCCTCACTTCAGCAAATCCACCTGTCATTTATTTATGTCCCCAACTGTACAAGAAGTCAAAATTACATGTACTAAAAAGTAAACTAAAAAACTTGTCCATCACAGCCAGGTTGCTGCTTCCCAAGTTTTGGGTTTAAAGTGAATATGTTATATGTTAACAAACATGAAAGACCAGTCAGATATCTGATTTTTTATATTAAGCCATTTGAGGAAATAGACAAACCCGGAAGTGAACATTTTAAAGTTTTGGAAGTTCATTTATATATTTCTCCACATCGATCAAGTTTTTTTTCATACCATATTGTTTTTCTACTGTTTTACACACATTACTCACCAATTGGTATCCGTGTTAGTGTCTGAAACATCCTTCCAGGCGTCCAAAAGGGACTTTTGATTCTGTTTCAAATCAACTGCCATGATCTTGATGTGAACAACGTCATCAATTTCTGTGTACCATGAAAGTGCGCAGAAATAATTGACGTCATCTTTGTTGGTAAACTTCAGAACGTGATGGTAAGTCAAATACTTATATATTCTTCTTGACTTCGATGTAATTTGCACATACACACACATAGTAACGTGAAAATATTTTTACTATTTAGTCCACCATCTGTCTTAGGATTTCAAAGTGACACAGTGTTTCAAGTTCTTGGTTTTTTTCAGTTTTCAATTCTTTTTTCATTCGTTTGACTTCACTTCTTAGAATAGATCTAGTTCAACGTCGTTAAACTCAATAACGGCGTTATTTATTATTAAGAATTTTCTTGGGGCCATTATTGAGTTTAACCTCTTTACTATTCTTTCCATTGATGCAAGTTTTGGATCCACCGAAACCATTTTTCCGCGATAACATGCAACTGATACTTGACAACAATATAAAAACACATAACATCAAGCGATTCAACACAATATTATTGTATTAAATGGTCATTTATACAAGTAAAATGAGGTTAAACTTACCAATCTCTAAAATGACATTTCCGCATGTCCTTCATTGTGTCTGTTCGTCCCGGGTTAAAATTTAAACTATTGAAACGAAATTGTTGTCAAATAGATTGATAATTATCACGCGATTACTCGGGATAAAATAGCCATTTTTGAGGATAGCAGGTATCTTTGATTGATTTATATAGCGCTTGTATACACACAAAATCGTTATTAATTGCAAACCTACTGTTCGTTGATGCAGTGTCGCAATGACGGTTAATTCCTGATACGATTTGCAATTTCGATGTTACCGGAGCTGACCGATATTTTCGTAAAATTCCAAACCTGTCTCCAATATTTTCGTAATTATGCATCAATATGGTCTAAGGGGGGTACGGGATGGTGTGTATGTATTTATAAGGTATGTATGCATGCTTGAATCACATTCTTTATGTCATATTACCATGTTTTCGGAGTTTAATTAGTTCCGCATGTCGAAACCTGCTGAACGATTAAATGATCGCAACAAGGGCAAAATCATCATGGAAGTTAGACCTAGCCGGGGCCATAAGACATGTCAGATAAGAAACGAGGCCCAGGCTAGGTCTAATGTTGTTGGACTATTCTTAGAAGAGAGCTTCGTCTTCACTCTTTCAAACTTAACAAGACGGCACAGGCTTATTGCACAAAAAACTAAAAAATCTGAAATATACAAATGTCATTCATGTACATTATGAATATACTTTTCAATATATTATTGCACAATGGTCTCCCAATTTCTTATTTTTGCCGTTCTACTGACGAAATGAAGCAGTGAAATGGACTCTAGTCTAAAAATGAATTGATTTTTTTGATTGATAGGCCTACTAAATAATCATATTGAAAATCATTGCATTAGGTTCATCTGGCCTACGATGACAGTGTTTATTTTCAATTGAAAATTTCAACAATTTTTTACTTTGATAACTAGACTGGATCTTGTCCAATAAACGTACAAAGACTACGATTAATAATGCATCTAATTTACCTATTTCATTTGAGATTTTCTAGTAAGAAATTAAAATGGCCGTAAGTTTGACGTTAATTCAAGAAGTAGCATCCAGAGGTTTCCAAATGAGCAATAAAAATGACTGAACTTCCAGTAGCGATCCTATGGGGATATCAAACACTACTTCGTAATTTCCATCAAAACCACCATATTGATTCCTCGTTAGAAAATGTCCTCTCGGAAATAAAGAGAAGTCCTTAGTTTCCCTGACATACAAGACATTTTTTACCAAAATCAAAGTACACAGCAACAGAGAAGAAAACCAATCCAAAATGGTGCCGTGGAGTAGTAACGATGTGATGTCACCCGTATTTTACAGGCATGTACACTTTTGACAATTTTCAATTATCAGAGACGGACATGGAATAATTGAAGACATGATCGAGTTGCCATTCATGTGGTCTAAGTATTTCCAGGTCTCTGATCATGCCTGCCATTACTTTTCGAGGTCAAGTACAGCTCGGGTGGAAAATCAAGGATTTAAAAGAATTTCATACATGTACAGATATATTATTTTTCCAAGAACATATGAAATGTACAAGGCCAAATACCTTCCTACCAGAGTCCAGAATGCAGTATAATCATGTGTTATCAGAGATTCTAGTGAATGTTTTTATTTCTTCAAGTGTCAGTATCCAGCCAAGTGATTCGCCCTTACAAAATGTTTGCCAGTCTAATTACACTTCAGTTTCTACAGTACTACATGTAACATGGAGCCTTGTGTGATATTTTATCCCTCGAAGTGATAAAAGCAAAATTTCCAAATATAAATTTTCAGCTGTGTAGAAAATTTATTAACTGATGCGCATGACGGAAATCACTCATACATGTCGTTTTATATAAAGATGTCAGGTCAGTAATAGGTGCATAAGTACAGTGTAAGTGATTGATAAGTAAGCATCTATCAGAATAAAAATGAATTTATATAATATAGATAACAATTTGAACAATTTAAAAGTGATGACTTACAATTAGATTTAGACAAGTTTTTGCTCTCTTCTAGTGGTTAGAGTACAAGGCATAAAATCCTACACTACAAAGCTTTTTGGCGAATAAGACTGCTATGAAACAGGTACCATTGTATGCAATCAGATGGTGATACGTAGTTTGTCATGTGCAAACCTTCCCCACCCAACTTTCAAAATACAACTTGAAACCGCTAATTTTCACACTATACATTCTGTATATGGCCAAATCTGTAGATTGGAAACATACAAAATTTGATTTGTTTGTGTTATTATGGGATTACATGCAGGCCCGTAGCTGCAGAATTTTCCAAGGGGGGTTCACTTTTCCCAAAAATTCTAAGGGGGGGGGGGGGTTAACTTTGGCCAAAAATCACTCAAAAAATAGTCAGTATGGTGAAAAACTGCATGGTTTTGAAAGAAATTTTGGCCAGGGGGGGGGGCTCGCCTGAACCCCCCGAACCCCCCCCCTGGCTACGGGCCTGACATGTATTTCCGATCAACTTCAGGAATTTCAGGAATCACGCAGGCTCAGGGTTCAAATATTAATTCCTTCAATTGGCTGATTATAATCTTTGCTGATTATTATTTAATCAAACAAGATTCTCCAATTATTGACCTGGCCTTTAAAGCCACTTTAAGTTGCATTATATGTGACTCAGGGTCAATCAATTAACCGTACATCATTTTTATCATTGAAGGAACTTAACATGTTTGTTCATAGATAGGACATATATGAGTCATTGACACTCCAAGAGTAAACAGATGATAAATATTAATATACTTTGTATTTATAAACTCAACATTTTTATCCATTAATGCCCCATGAACCTTACTTTGTAAATACTTTCTTTGAAAGTCTTGGTATTTATTTGGAAGAATGGAATATACAGTAGATTTTGATTGTTCATTGTTCATCCTGAAGGTCTGTTTATTATGTCCCCACCACATAGTGTGGGGCCATATTGTCGGCCTAGGCGCGTCCGTCCGTCCGTCTGTCTGTCTGTTTGTCTGTCTGTCCGTCCGTACGTCCGGCAGTTTTCTCCTAAACCGCTACAGATATCACCTTCAAATTTTCAGGGATAACTTATGAGTGCATACAGATGTGGACGAAAAAGTTTCAACTCGATACCTACTTCCTGTCGGCCATTTTGAAGTCAAATGCTAAAATCTTTGTCTGCAAACTTTAAGAAAAATGGCTTCACTGTTGCTTTTAAAACTTTAACATCCTGTTCAACTCACTTGATTCTAGATCTGATTAGGTTTTGGACCTGTTAGCCCAGTCATGGCAGCCATTTTGAATGTCTTAAGAAAAGTTAGCGTGCGATAATACTTTGTATCATATTGAATGGTGTTTTTGAGTTTTCATACTTAGACTATTTAGTAGCTTTATAAAAAATTTCAGGTGTACTTTATTGTAAAAGCCTATGTTATTGTTAACAGTAGTTATATGTGCTAATTTTGTAAAAAGAAATCAGCAAAAACTTATAATCACTTTTTTATTGTCGGCCATTTTGGATTTTTCCATCCTAAAATCTTGTCTGTAAAGTCTTGTCTATGCGTTTTCAGGCGAACCATTTGGTAGATCATTTCCAAATTTTCAGGGATGTTTCTTAGTATGAAAATCTAGATCTGATTAGTTTTTTGGCATTCTGGGTAAATGTCAAGGCAGCCATTTTGGATTTTCCGTCCTAAAATCTTGTCTGTGAAGTCTTGTCTATGCATTTCCAGGTGAAGCGTTTGGTAGATCAATTTCAAATTTTTAGGGATGATTCTTAGTATGAAAATCTAGATCTGATTAGTTTTTTGGCATTCTGGGTAAATGTAAAGGCAGCCATTTTGGATTTTCCGTCCTAAAATCTTGTCTGTAAAGTCTTGTCTACGCGTTTTCAGGTGAACCAATTGGTAGATCATTTTAAAATTTTCAGGAATGATTCTTAGTATGAAAATCTAGATCTGATTAGTTTTTTGGCATTCTGGGTAAATGTCAAGGCAGCCATTTTGGATTTTCCGTCCTAAAATCTTGTCTGTAAAGTCTTGTCTACGCGTTTTCAGGTGAAGGGTTTGGTAGATCAATTTCAAATTTTTAGGGATGATTCTTAGTATGAAAATCTAGATCTGATTAGTTTTTTGGCATTCTGGGTAAATGTCAAGGCAGCCATTTTGGATTTTCCGTGCTAAAATCTTGCCTGTAAAGTCTTGTCTACGTGTTTTCAGGTGAACTGTTTGGTAGATCAATTTCAAATTTTTAGGGATGATTCTTAGTATGAAAATCTAGAACTGACTAATTTTTTGGGCATTCTTGGTAAATTTTAAGGTGGCCATTTTGCATTTTCCGTTCCAAAATTTTAGCAGTAAAGTCTTGTCTACTCATTTTCAGGATAACCATAAGATGGGATCACCCATTGGTGGGGACATATTGTACACATTTGTGTTCTTGTTGTACACTTGTTGGACTTGAAAGTGGCCTATGTCCCAGCATTTTGTCATGAATATAAGTCTCACAAATTATCAGATTTTAACATTCTATTACACCAACATTTTGCAGTAAAAAGTATGGTATCTAAGTGAAAATCTGATCATTGTCGATGGTTATGCGTGAGCATAACAGAACAGAAATTTTAAGGTATTGAAATACCAATACTGTGATTTGGGTCAAATATTATGACTGGGAAACACAATATCCCAGATGCGAGTAGAAATAATCTTGATTTACGTCATTAAAATTCACAATTCAAATCTACATGTAAAATTACATTTAGAAATGTGGTTTTGAAAAGAGTTTATCAACTTTGAAAATTTAATTTTCTTTGAAAATGTGACTTCTAGGTCGGGGAGATTCCCCATAGACCCCATGTTTTAAAACCACAAAAAATGAAATATCTTTTCGTGTGTTGGGCAGATAATATTTTCTTTTACTGGACATATGTTAATTTGTATAACTATCAGATACATAAGGGTAATATGAAAAGTGAACCACTAAAACTGATGCATATTCAAGTTTAAGGGAATTTTGTAATACTCTGCCATGTTAATTCCCCCGAATCAGCCACCTGGTGGCGAAACTGGTAACTACCTTCTCGCATCTGAGTAATTGCTTGTAACAAAAATGGAGGAAACAGACAATACAATTCAAGGACAAATGACACTTTATTGTGACATTTCAAATTACGTTTCTGATCATTTCTGGAATGCATTCTATATTCCTGTATTGAGAAATTAATGTTGGACTTTAACATTTTATGGTCATGGTGACAGGTAGTGTCTGTTGTTATTGACAATTTTGGCATTCATTGTTTTGTTTATCAGTTCAACATGTTCGCCCCATTTTGTTCTGTGCCAAAATATACTGTATATACTTCAAATAAAGTATTTTCACAATTAAATCCTTAAACTAATAGTATGTTGAACATAATTAGATATTTTATTATTCTCTTTCAAAATTATTCATTATTTTTGCGTTGAACTGTGGATAATTTATAAAAAGAATAATCAAAACCTTGTTTTTGCAAAAAGTGCATCAAAACATGACTAAAAGTATATTTTGACTGTTTACAAAGAACCAACATTACTATTTCATTGTGTTTACAATATGATATAGGATATAGACATTCACTTCCAATGTCATCATGCTCCTTATAACTGTAAAAAAACAATTAAAAAACAATAAAAAGTATATTTTTGTTGAGGGTAATAAATAACCATCAGTGTTAAGATATATGGACAAAAGATAACATAGTAGCCCGGACAGAATTGTTCAATGGTCACTTTTTCTTTAATAACTTTTTTAATTTTGAGTATTATCAAAATCTGATTACATATTTGAAAACTAGAGTAAAATTCTGACATACAAAAAAAAATTTAAGGAACATCTATTAATTTATTGATATTTTAGGCGTTCATAGTATGAGTGACGCAAATACATAATTCACCATTTTGTATCATATTTGTTCAAAAATGGCGGCTGTTTTGTGGTTTGAATGTTCAGTTGAAAGTTAATATTTAAGAAATGGCATAGGCCTACGAAATCATGTAGTCTGCTGCCTTGGTATGAGGTAATGACTGCATTTATAACCCTTTGTTTTAAATTGACTGGTATGTATACCAGAACTTAAGAAGGTTTGTACATTGTATGTACAGTATATTGGTAGGGTCGCAGGACTTAAAGTTTTTTGGCCATTCCATTGTTACTCGTAGTGGATAAGCAACCCTAGTTCGTTTAACCTGTGCAACTATAGGGTCACAGTGCCACAGTTTGTAATGTCTTTCCCAGTCACACGCCTCTTAACCCATCCTTGCCATGCATGTGAATTGTTCTTCAGCTTTTCAATGGCCTCTGAGATGGCTGTTTGGAGCTCTTTACAAGATTGAGGACCTTCTTGAATCACACCCCGCACATTGGGGCGCCACCTTTTCAAATCCTCTTGAACACAACCCTGAACATTTTAATAGAGTTGATTTTATATACCCTCGGAGTGAGTTAATTTCTTGTATTTGATGAATGGTCAGTTGCTGCTGCATTACATCAGGATTGTAATGGTGACAGCATGGCCCTATAGTCCCTATATGAAAATCTTTAAATATTAACTTTCAACTAAACATTCAAATTCACAAAATATGCCGCCATTTTGAACAAATATGAGGCAAAATTATGAATTATGTATTTGCGTCAGTCATACTATGAACGCCTATAATATCAATAAATTAAGAGATGTTCCTTAAATATTTTTTTTGTATGTCAGAATTTTACTCTAGTTTTCAAATATGTGATCAGACTATGATAATACTGAAAATTAAAAAAGTTATTAAAGAAAAGGTGACCATTGAACAATTCTGTCCGGGCTACTAAATTAACACATGTCAGTTTTCTCCAGAGTTTGGTGTAACATAACATGTAGTGATTTAAAGACCTTTCCAATATACCCTGTCACCCTAAGGCCTTTTCTGCACCAAAGATGCTAGGATAGATTGGCCATAGCTTGTCTGTGTCAATTTTAGTATTGTAGTCCTGTTTTGTTTGGAAGCAGTACCTGGCAGGGTTAATTCATTTTTTGAAAAGGTATATTTTGAGATTTACACTGCCAGAACAATATTCTGCAAGCTAATTTACAGGGTGTCCCAATATTTATACAGAGAAAAACATGGGATAGCTTTTTAATTTTTTTATTTAATTACCATCAACACCTGAAAGTTTCAACAGGTAACTGGACTGAATTTTAGAGAAAAGCTTGTTTTGCATTGATTCGTTTTAGAGCACCTCATGTCAAAGGATCTTGTACACCTGCCATTATGATCTCCCCATGAACAAAAATAAATTCATCTGCTTTTTCAAAATAAATATACTGCTTTTATTATTACATTTATATGTACACTAGTATCTTGTTGACCTTTATTCAGCACTGTATTGATGAATGGGCCACTTTTTAGGGCAATATTCAATCATAAAGTGTACAGGGGTAGAGATGCCAAACCAGGAAGTCTTTTTGTGTCTGTCAAAATCCATTTGCATCCTACACATCCCTACATCTTATCAAAATATGTTATTAATTAATGAATCATAACAGTATAATCTTTGGATTTACAAAGTTGTATGGGATTTCATAAGTGTAAAAGTTGCTTTTGAAGCATTTTTCTATAGCCATTTTGTAGGAAAAAAATGATGAAAAAAATGAATAATCTTTTAATTTGAAGTATGACCTGAATCGATTGCAAACTTTATATTTGCACATCTGATCTGAAATACCATTTGTGTCATACTGTGAAATTATTTAATTTGCAATCGATTCAGGTCATAGTGTATTTTAGGTATTTTTGTGAAAATCAATAAAAACCAATGGCCTCCATTGGAATCTGATGGTATCCACATGTTAAGTCAATAGAACACATCCAATGTCAAGTCAATACACCCTTGCTGAACTTAATGACCCCAACCTCAGCCCATGTGGGGCCAAACGCTTAAATATTTTCCAAAGTATTATGTAACATTGTATTCTTTATATCACACCTAAAATGATTCATTTTGTTCATGGGGAGATCATTATGGCAGGTGTACAAGATCCTTTCTCAGTAAGTAATCTATGAATTTCTATCATTTCATTTGGGCACAGTTTTTTGGGACACCCAGTATATATAGTTTCAATAAGTAAAACAGTAATGAGGATTTAAATATTAGTAAGATTTATGATGCAATTTAACATTCAAGCAAAGTTAATCAAGTTTTGCACTTTGTCAACAAGGGCACTTGGAGCACTTCATTAATTTGATAAAATGCTGTTTATTTTCAGCTCATACCTATGTTACTGCTAAAACCCATAATCAACCTTGTTAGCACTAACAAGCAACAATATGGCCAGTTATAGTGCTGATGTAGAACTGGCAGACCAGGAATTGGTGAAGTGTGTCGTGGTTGGTGACTCTGGTGTAGGGAAGACACGACTGATTTGTGCTAGGGCATGTGGGACATCTTACACACTACGTCAACTCACTCAAACTCACATACCTACAGTATGGGCCATAGATCATTACAGGCAGGATAAAGAGGTAAATCACTAAGATTTTCACTATCAATGCTAAGTTCCATCTGATGAAGTCTTCACTGTTGTGTAAGGCATGGCAGGTTAATCTATAGCGATCAAAAAGGTAGTTCTATAGTTATTCCAAACAAACATTTAGTTCTGTAGGTTACCCCAATATATTGAAAAATATAAAATAAATGTATTTTTCCATTGTATTTCATTACCCTCTTCCTGCATTTGTTAATTTTGATTATTTAAATGATTTGAATATATAATGTACCTGTCTCAATAAATTCATATACAGCCCCCTCCCCTCATGTCCTGAATACAGCTGAATATAGCAAATGCATTTGAAAACCTAGTTTGTGTTAGTTATACTTAAAAATGATAAACATATAAATCATTTTAAAATGCTATGATAAAGTATAAGTTTACACTTAGAAATTATGTCATACTTCATAATGGGCAAAACTTTGTAGCAGGTCATAAATGACACTACCAATGTCTGCCAATATTTCAACAAGCCAGTAAATAAAATATTATGTCACAAATATCATTTTATTCATATAACCTTGATGAATGATATCTCAAATCATTGGAATTGAATTCTCTTCCAATGATATATGCAAATATGTTGATGCAGGAAATCTTTAAGTATAATCTGATTAATCGAAGAGAGACATTTATTTGATTAATCAAAGGGAGACATTTATTTGATTAATCAAATGAAGACATTTATTTGATTAATCAAAGGGAGATATTTATTTGATTAATCAAAGGGAGATATTTATTTGATTAATCAAATGAAGATATTTATTTGATTAATCAAATGAAGATATTTATTTGATTAATCAAAGGGAGACATTTATTTGATTAATCAAAGGGAGATATTTATTTGATTAATCAAAGGGAGATATTTATTTGATTAATCAAAGGGAGATATTTATTTGATTAATCAAAGGGAGACATTTATTTGATTAATCAAAGGGAGATATTTATTTGATTAATCAAATGAAGATATTTATTTGATTAATCAAAGGGAGACATTTATTTGATTAATCAAATGAAGACATTTATTTGATTAATCAAAGGGAGATATTTATTTGATTAATCAAAGGGAGATATTTATTTGATTAATCAAATGAAGACATTTATTTGATTAATCAAAGGGAGATATTTATTTGATTAATCAAAGGGAGACATTTATTTGATTAATCAAAGGGAGACATTTATTTGATTAATCAAAGGGAGACATTTATTTGATTAATCAAAGGGAGATATTTATTTGATTAATCAAAGGGAGACATTTATTTGATTAATCAAAGGGAGATATTTATTTGATTAATCAAAGGGAGACATTTATTTGATTTATCAAAGGGGAGGCTTTTTTAAGGTTTTAGTACAAACTGTATATTATTCTATATATTGTGACATGTTTCTTTATGAAAACTTAGTTTAGAGACGTATTTTTTTGTTAAGATTTTCTGCTCTGTGGATGCCATTTTCTCCTGATGTAATCTTTCGACTGAACTTGACCAACAAATGTGACATTGATCTAAATAAACTTCATTTAAGTTAATTATTAACATTGAAACTATATCATCCTAGGTGCTTGATAAATCTTGCTGTGTGATAGATGGCGCCAATGTTACCTTGCGTCTCTGGGATACATTTGGATACCATGGAAAAGACAGGAGATTTGCATATGGCCGGTATGAATCATTATATTCTGTTATATTTTGAGTTGATAAGATTACAGCAGTATATACAACAGTAAAACCTGTCTAATAAGATTGTCACTTGGACTGGTGAAGTGTTCAGTATCATAATATGTAAGTAAATGCACGGGTTACTAGAGTATCCGCATATATTGAGTATGACCGGTTCTAAGCTTACGAGTGTGACCGTATTTCTGTTCCTATAAACAGACAAGGTGAGTACTTGCTTTTTATGAACACTTTCGAACGTTTTCTTTTTATCCTACTTGGTCAATGAATGATACTTTACTTATAATGCCAGGCATATCACAAGGGGCCTTAATCAAGAGAAAACGTATTAATATTAGATTGAAGCCATAAAATCCTAGTTTCCAGCATCTTTGATCAGTTTTTGTGTAACACAACGCAACTCCGAAGAGGATGACACATCTTATGTATAATATATAGCTAGATCTACGGATTAGTCATGAATATTTTAAATAATTTAGCCTGCTCTGTCCAGATATGATACATCTTTGAATTTTTGAGAATACGAATGTCACTGGTGCCCCATTATTGGAGAATACAGTTGTGAAACAATCAGTGGGCCGTGTTACACTCGTTTCCATGACATTTCACAAGCGTATCCTCTGGGAAAAGATAAATCCTTCTCTTGCTCACTCTACGGGGGATCATATAAACTGAGATTTGGAGATCTTGTTCAGGTTAGCCATAAAAAGGTTTGGGATTTGTTTTTTTCTACTGTGATATTAATGGTTTGGCTCTAAGGTGAGAAATCGGTACTTTCTGATTGATATTCCATTATGAACAGTAACATTGCTAAAATAGCTCATGTTTAACATTTTTTTGTTACATTACTATTAAATACAGCATAAACTATATTCAACAAACACAATTTCAAAATGGATAATATAGAAGTTAACCTTTATTTTCCATTTTTAAGCAGCTGTGCCTCTCATGACTTTCCAAAACAGTTCATATTCGTAGCCTAAGAACCGGTCATACTTTATATACGTGGAAACTCTAGTAGCCCGTGTAAATGGGAGATTATAAAATTGGGACCAAGAAAGGTGTTCACATTAAGAGGTGTTTAAATAAGAGAGGTGTTTGGATAAACAAGTTTCACTGTATTTATATGATAATCTAGACCAATCTAATCATTGATGTAACATAGAACATGTACTAGTATACAACTAACCAGTAGTTCATTTATCTTCGTAAATAATCAAAAAATGTTATTGTAAGTTATTGCTTCTGTACTTTTAGAGCTGATGTGGTCTTGTTGTGTTTTTCATTGGTCAAACCAAAGAGTCTTCGCAATGTAGAACAACTATGGTACCCAGAGATACAGAAGTCCTGCCCTGGGGTACCAATCATCCTCTGTGGCTGCCAAGCAGACCTCAGATATCTTTACAATGATGAACAGTTCTTGGCACTTGATAAAGGGCCATTCTTCAAGTAAGATATTTTTAGTATCAATTCTTTTAGTTATTAGCAGTTTTAGCAACATTGTATTTTATTGTCTTCATGTTTGAATTCTACTCTATAGATAAGGTTCCTCAACAGTTTTATACATTCCTCTGAAGGTTCCAAACTGTGTGAGCACAGGACCGTGGGTCCTTCATTTTTACCATCAACTGACTTTGGGGGTTAGAACATGTACATATACCAAGGACCAAGGTACATGCACTTTGTCAAATGTTATTCTTTTGGGTCATCCACTCTTGATGACCAGCACAGTTATGCAGATTTATTGTCTGCAGTCATAAGACAAATCTGTTATTTCACTTATGTTGTACACTTGTTTCACTTTCAGAGATATTTGTGATGACGATATTATATTACCAGAAGTTGGAAGATCTGTGGCACAGAATATTGGAGCTCACTATTATGAATCTAGTGTCCTGACAGAATATGGGATCAAAGATGTGTTTACCAATGCTATACGTGCAGCGCTTCTGGAGAAACGTAGGGCCAGGTTCTGGGTCCCTCAGTTGAAGTATATTCGCAAACCAACTTGCCAGGAACCTGTAAAGCCACCTAAACCCAGCATGCCAATATTAGAAGTTCCTCCTCAAAACATCAAAAATGATCTCCAGTGTTTGTTGCATAACCAACAATTCTGTGATGTTCACTTCATATGCCAAGGGGTCTCAATAAAGGCCCATAAAATATGTTTAGTCGCTGCCGCTCCAGTATTTCATGATATTTTTATCACATCAAATAAGGACTCAAAACACAGTCATAAAGAACAAAGTATCATATCGAGTCATACGAATAATGCTTTTGAGACAGATTCTGTTAAGGAACTTTTGTTGAAGGATGATGTACCTGATCCCCCTGAGATGTCCAACTACAGGACCCTGAACCACCCTGCATTCATTGCAACTGAAGAGCACAAGACAGAGACATCTATTTATGACCAGTCAATGACATCTATAGTGACAATGAACAGTGAGATTAAACCACTAATCTTCCAGCACATATTGCAGTATCTCTATACTGGTTGTATCACAGAGACACCTGCCCTCTTGCCCGATGTAAAACAAAGTGCCCTACTTTTGGGCTTCTCTGATCTTGTTGGTATGGTGTTCAACATTGAAAACAACCAGGGGTACTTGAACAGAGAAAATGAGCGGTCATTCATGGATCGTAGATTTGCCAGAGTGAAAGAACTGATACTGAAGAAAGGGTTATTTGCTGATGTATTCTTTGAGTTGGAGGATGGAGTGGTGCCAGGAAACAAAGCCCTAATGATCGCTCGTTGTGATATGATGGCCGCAATGTTCAGTAACAACTTCCTGGAAGGATCTGCTAAAATGGTAATTATTTATAATGATGGTGCACATATAGCTACACATCAATATTGGGTTTGTTCCAGTCAAATTGCAAATTGTTGTCTCTAATCTGAGTTGCTTATATATATTTGATCATGTTAGCAAAACACCAAGGCAAATAATATTGTGGCATTTAGTAATGAACCTTTTGTTTTTTATTGTCAACTGCAAGTTAAAACCCCCAAAACGTTCATGCATTTAATTCTATAACCCTTCCCCGCCCAGAAATGTTATCCATGGATTGAGACATGTTATACTTAAGTTTTCTCATTGCGGTCACCAAACTTGAAGACAGACTAAAAGAGAACTGATTATGTTTTAGATTCCATTCCCTGGAGTATACAAGGACACGTTCGTCGTATTACAGGAGTACCTGTACACAGGTAGATGCCCCGACCTGAATCAAGTGGACTACATAGAGCTGTTAGAGCTAGCTAACAGGCTCTGTTTACCACACTTGTTGCTCTTGACAGAACATGCTGTGGCAAACCATCTGCTGAAGGCTGAACGTGCTGGATCTAGCATCGTAGATGAGGTGCTTGCACTCCTGGAACCTGCTCAGGTAATCCCAAGGAGGAAGGAAGGGGAGGGTGTCTTTAGTCATTCCACTTTTCAGATGTAGAATCTAGGTGATTTGAGTTCAAAAATATAAAATATTAAACCTCTTGGTGATAATAATCAATTAATGTACCACATAGTGTCATTTCTTAGTGTCAAGTATACTTGGAAATTTGTTGTTTTGTTGTAGCTCCACAATGCTTCTCAGCTTTCCCGCTGGTGTCTCACGTATCTGTGCACTCATTATGGAACAGTGTACAAGAAACACTATAAGACCCTGGTGACTTTGCGATCAGAGAACAGAGAGTACCTTGTCAAGTACAGATGGCCGCCTTTGTGGTAAAACTGTTTAAAAAACAACTTTTAATGTTTAACACCATATGAAATTGATAAACAAAGTTTGTACTAATGTGTTATATAAACAATGAGCTTTGAGTTATGCACAGAGTATACCCTTGACAGAGCCAGTTAATAAGCTTATATTCAAAGATTTATGATACACGGTTTTCTACTAATCAATTGCTTACTATCTCTCACTTTGTCTTCTGAAGTCTGCCTCGATTGACTTTCACGATTTCTTCACTCATCTTTCCAGGTATCTAAAGGAGGTTGACCATTATGACAGGACAGTCCGGGAACAGGCAATGCGAGAGCGCCCTCTGAAGTCTATCAACTTCTCCGCTGCATCCTCCAGGGGATGCCTCTGTTTCTCCAAACGTTAGCTCTAAGCTATGACATCTGTTGGAGTTTACTTGTCTCAACACATAAATCATTAAGAGTATTATGTGAATTATATATTAGAACACATACTCCCTCAGTTCCCCCACAAGAAATGAGGAAGAAAGGGAAGGTCAGAAGCTGACTACTCTGTATGTCAGTTCTCACTCAAAGTTGATCCTTTCTCATATACAGATATAAGGGACTATAAGATGTGTAGTACTGAATGCCAAATGCTGAATAAGTAACACATGTGTACAGAGAAGTCATGGAATGACTGGTGCCAATTATTCTTTTGTAAACTTCTGATGCAACAACCAAAAGATAGTTAAACCTGCACATTGCTTTAAAACACCATGTTGGGTTGTTCCGTGGTCAACTCTTAAAGTTTGAGCTACATTATACTGAAAGAATATACATTGGTGAACAAATGGGGCAAATCTTTTGTAAAAATACTCACATTAAATGTGTAAATTTGGATTGTTAGTTCAATTGCTCGGATTGTTGATGACAACATGATTTTTGGAAGGTTTCTTGTTTGCCTCGCAGATGACCAAAGTTCGAATCCCTGTATGATATTTTTTATATTTCAAACTAAATGGTTATGCTTCGATAATTACGCAGAATAAAACAGTTTATAACCACATATAAAGCATCAATAATCATCCTGGTTACATGAAAATGTAAAAATGATATATTTGCTCATATTGCGTTTTATGGCGATGTGCAGGATTAATTATTTCACTGAGAAAATAACTTGCTGTGCCTATAGCTAGTCTAAGTAAAGCAATGCAACAAAGAATTTGAACTCATGCTACAATAAAATCATTGTTGTTCATATTTGTTTTTGGTCAGAATTAACCACTCAACTTTGAGATCCTGGAAGTATCAATGCTGCTTGGAAGAAGTCCTAAATATTACACTTAACAATGCATTCATTTATGAATAGCTGTTGTAGATAATAACTAGTGGTGTTGCATGGGTTTATATTCATAAATATGTACATATTTTGTTTCAAATGGGAATACACTAATGACAGTACCATATCTGATACTGTCCTACCATGTCAGTATTGAGGCTAATATTTTAGCTTTATGGAGACATATGTTTTTGGATTTAAAGTATGATCTCTTACTTTCATGAATTATTATTACTCATTACATTATTTAAGCTTTTATTTATTGTGGATTGTAGAGGAATGTTTACAGAGTGGGAACAAATAAAATGAATATCAATTGATGGAAAATTGAAAAAATGAAGTATACCGAGATACAGACAAGTGGATGCCTACTCTTGTACAGAATACCAAAATGACATTAAAATGTGCAATATTAATTTGATGCTTAGAATTAGTACTTAGTAGAACTTGTGAATGAATTGCAAAAGGCTTGTTTAAAATATATTTTTGAAATGTAATTATAGTTACCTTTAATTTTTATGTCACCACAAGGTGGTGACATTTTGTAATGGCCATCAATTTCAGCACTGGTACTAATAAGTTATTGAATGATTTGAAGTGCAATACAGGATATATGGTGCTCGAGAAATTCTGTATTGGCAAAACAAAGTTGAGTGCCAACACAGAATAGACAGTTGTACTAGGAAAATATGAAAAAAGAAGTCAGGGGTGACTGCAACCGCAAAAAAAATTAAATAACTTCCTAACCATAGTGTTTTGGCTCTTCAAATTTGGCACAAACCATCTTCATTCACTGTATAATAAATCTGTAGAGTGAAATCAAAATCACTCCAGGGACTTTACAGTCATGGTTGAAATGCTTTCAAATCGCAGTCAACGCCCTGGTCCAGGGAGAATTAAGAAAGCATTTTGACCATGACTGTAAAGTCCCTGGAGTGATTTTGATGAAACTCCAGAAATTCACCACACATTGAATGAGGATAATTTGTGCCAAATCTGAAGTGCCAAAACATCATGGTTAGAAAGTTATTTGGTTTTATTGCTGTGGCAGTCACCTCTGACTGCATATTCATATTTTCCTAGTACAACTGTCATTTGAGCTGGTGTCCAAGGCATCATGTTTTACAACTTACTGACAACAGGAGCTATACATACACAGTCTCTTCTTTCTTTTCCTGAAAAAATGAACATAATTGAATAATTATTTTCCAAGATATAGTGATTTTCCATTCGCGTTTTTTGTATTTTGCTAGTACAACTGTCTTTCGAGCAAGTGTCCAAGACATCATGTTTTACAACTAACTAACAAGAGGAGCTAAAATATGAACCTAATTGGATTAGTATTTTCCAAGATATAGAGATTTCTTTGGGTTGCGTTTTTTTTAACACCCTGTATCAAGAACACAACATACAATGTGATCCAAAAGCAATATCAAAGGTATTTGCGAACTACACAAAAGAGCCAATAGGACCCTGAAAATTTAGTTTCCCAGAATGGTCGATTTGGTCCGTCATTTTCTGAGATGGATTTTTGGTTCTCACTTCATGGGGTCAAGGGATCTCTGATTATGATGCATTCATCTTATTTAACTTAACTTGAAATATGTTTGGACTATTGAAATATATAAAGGATTAAACAAGAGTTGTCCAAATTCTGTATCAAATGGAATTTTTGAATACTTCAGCATGAAATCTTTTGAGACTGGCCATTATTTTCTTCGGCAATTTGGAGAAATCTGCTCAATGTATTCTCTTATATGTCTGCTGTTAGATGAGGTTCTGGATCTGATTAACTTTTAAGCAGCCATCTTGTACTCTTCTAGAGGACTTAGTGCAACAAACACCCAATATAATGGATGCGGTTTAAATAATTTGAACAAAACAGATAATTTCTTTTAATATAATGTCTAAAATACAATTTATTCACAGTCTATTTTACACTGTATTAAATTAATCCTGATAACAAGACAATGTAATGGAACAAGCACTGTACAAGACTGCACAAAAATAGTGAAATTAAACATGATTTTCTAAATTCAATGGTATTGTATATGTTAAGGTTATCTATTATTGACTATAATTATGCAAAACAAGGGGACATGAATGATGAATCTTCATTTCCAAATTCAAAACTTTTTAGACTGTAAAGCATGCCTTTCAATTTACATTGCGTGGATTCTGTTGGCAAATGAATAACAAACAAAAGAATTCTACATTACTAGCACATATACGTACACTCTCCATAGTAATATTATTACACACATTCATTTTGTTCCAACATTTCACATGGCTACATGTATGCTCCATCATCAGAGAATACACTACCAGACACTTTTCTGTCTCCTTACTTCTATATTCACTTTATACATAAATTAATTGTTCTAAAGAAAGTCAATGTTAATTCTGTCCTTCTTTTTTGTCTTTGTCATCTTTGTTTTCTTCAGTTGACGATTGTGTGGAATCCTGGGAAGCCCCGCTACTACCACCATCACGTTCTGAGGCCATCTATAAAGCAAAACATTAATATGAAGTTTCACAAAATACACAGTTTCACAAAATACAAATTTAAAGATATCTTGTATATTATATGCAGCTAAACTGAACAAAAGAATGAATGTCAATCTCTACTTGATCCTTTGCGAAACTTTGTTATGACAAAGATTTTATGATTCACCATCCAACGAACATGAATTGTTTTACATGAATAAGTGGACAGATAATCAACCGAATCAACAGATAAACAACCAGTTTTCATACGACCATTTCTCACCTTCTTGTATGCCATTTCAAATAGTTTCAGAGAGGCTTGTTGTAATTCATCTACTTTAGCTTTGATGTTCTCTGGTGTTTCATTGTCCTTATTGGCTAGAACCTCTCTTACTGTTTCAATGTGGCCCTTGATTTTCTCACACTGAAAAGATCATATTGTTATTACATGAAAACATGTGCCTGAAACGAGGTGGTTTGTATCTTTATTTTGTTTACAGCAACTTAAATTGAAGTTAAAATTGACCTTATTAGAATAATTCCTGATGATACAACACCACAGTTCTATATCATCTTTTGAATAATCTTAGATTTTGCAGAATTCAAAACCACATGTACAACATTCAATCATTTCCAGTTCCATGTTTTCCTGGCTTATTCTAACTTTAAATAATCATGATCCAACCATTTTTCAATATGATTATTTATTATGTCAATATAAAATTTACCTCATCAGCTGGGAGTTGATCCTTGTATTCGTTCATCTTGGTCTCTGTATCATGGATTGTGTTCTCTGCCTTATTCACCATCTCTACTGTATCCTACAAGCACCAACATAAAGAATTTGAGTTCAGAAGCCATCTTTAAAACTTCAGAAGAGTCCTACATAAATCTTGTCTTAATCAGTCAATATGGTACAACGAAAATGGGACTTCTGCGCATGTTAAAATTTTTCGTCAAAACTCAACTTTTCTTCAAGTTGATACGATTGTCTTTCGAACTAGAGACTTACCTCATTCGAAAGATCATAAAAGACTTTATCTATACTGAAAATCTTAGATCCAAACATAGTAAAATACGCCGTCAGTCCGCATTTGATTTTTTGAAGTGAGTTTCGTAGATCGTCAGATTTCTCCGACTGATATCGGGTTATCTCAAACTGGTTCGTTTATAAATACGAATTTCTTTACCGTTGTAAGGCGCATGCGCAAAATTGATTTATAAACCTTATTGGTTGATGGTTTTTCTCCTGCGCATGCGTGAAGTCTGATGAACACTTATGACGAAGACCGGAGCAAACATTAATAGCTCTCGAACGAAATTCCAAGATTCAGGTCATTTCGCCGTGTTTGCTAAGCGTGTATACGTGAATGACAAGCTGTTTTGAGTAGATCGGGTACCTGTTTTAGACACAACATTGATTTAGCTTGACATTGATGTGCACATTGGCACTTTTGAGCATGTTAATACAAGTTTTTACACGCTTAGCACGAGACGGGTTTTCGAAAAATCTGTTATCTGATTCACTCGATTATCGTATGGATATGTATTTTTGCTGACATTTCAACACCACATCACATAGAACTACGATGCAGAATGATAATAAAACACAAAACAACTACTAAATTCCACTTGTTATTTCACAGGAGGTAAAAATGCAAACTGCCTAGATTCTTTGTAAGGGTCGTCAGACATCGGATTGGCCGCCATATTTGAAATGAAAATATCACTAAATAGAGGTCTGCGCATGCCTCAACATTTCGACTGTTAATCTGACAAAAACAGTAGCAATTTTGAATTCAGCAGCCATCTTTAAAACTTGAGTCCTATGCCTTTAAGGCATCACCACATAAATCTTGTCTAAATCCGACAAAAACAGTAGCCATTTTGAATTCAGCAGCCATCTTAAAAAATCCTATCTTTAGGCATTAGCATAATGATATATGAACCAAAACAGAATATCAAACAAGATATCATTTTTTTACAAAAATGACAACCACTTTGAATTGAGCTGAAATTCCTTTTCGATCACAAGTTCTATGCCTATAAGGTACCAAACATCAACCAGTCACAAACTGTTAAGTGGGACAATTCCAGAATATAACTTACCCTCTTCTTAGCATCTTCAGCAGCATGCTTCTCTGACTCTCTCACCATATTCTCAATCTCATCCTTGCTAAGACCACCAGATGATTGGATCACAACTGGAACAATAGATTATTTTATATGTATTCAAAGCCAGTATAGCTCTGAAATCAAACATCATTTCACTGTGGACTAGAAAAACTGGCTGCCAGTCTGGCAAATTGTGGCAATAATGTTCTCAAAAATATTTCTACTCACATTAAGTCTATTGGAGAGAAATATAAAATTCATTTAGCATGGATTTCCATAATTAGATACTGTAGATTGGGTTAATTTGGCGCTACTTAATTTGGCGATTTTGCCATTTTTGGCATATTGGCGGCTATTTAATTTGGCGGATATGCTAAAAAATTTGCTGTTTGCGAATTACCATTTAAATGGGCATATTTGGCTATGTTCATTTTTCTTTTGAGGACCACTGGCGATATTCATAAGATGTGAGATCATCCTTTACATTTTGCACCTCGATCGATGCTGCTAATATTAATAGTATTAATGAGTGACTGACCGGTTCTGAGCCAATTTATGAGAGACATTTTTTCATATTTTTGGAAAAAAAATAAACCGGAAGTGACCTAAATACACTGGACGAAATACCCTAGATAATTCCTGGGGATTCATTCTAAATTTTGGCGAAGATTTATATTGAATTCGCCAAATTAAAGCGGGCGCCAAATTAACCCAATCTACAGTATTCAATTGATAAATCACCAGTTAATACATCATCTACATCACTTCACAAAGATTATGTCCTGTTCAATGTTCATGGACTTACTTTGTTGTTCTTTGCCTGTTCCCTTGTCTCTAGCAGAGACATTGACAATACCATTGGCATCAATGTCAAAGGTCACTTCGACCTGGGGGACTCCTCTTGGGGCTGGGGGAATTCCAACCTGGAAAGAAATTGAATTGATTAGCATGAAGTATTTTATGTACAATGGCACATGGGGTAGGTTGGTCATTTTTGGACATTCTCAAATTAATACCTTTTAATTTCTTCGTGTAACATTACATTTTAATAAATATCTTGTCAATTATAGTTTATTAGGGGTGAGACGAGTCGAATAAATCCGATTCGAGTCGAATCCGATTCGAGTCAGAAAATGACGATTCGAGTTTCGAATCCGTTTCGAGTCAGATAAAGTGCGAACAACATCGCTTTTGACCGTTCGTATTTTTAATGCGTCAATGTTGGAAAGCTGGAAATATAAACAAACACAATTCGTCGTAAGTTTATTCTGATTTTATAACCTATATTCTTTCATTTATGTGTACATACAATATAATAATTTAATACAAGCATATCCAAGTCATTGAAACTTATATATTCAACGCAATATCGAGTAAAAACATGCATATTGACAGTATTTTTCTGAACTTTTTTATTTTTTCGAATTTTTTTCTCAACTCGAAAATGATTCGATTCATCAACTTCGACTCGATTCGACTCGACTCGAAGCCCCAAACCCGCGAGTCCTCGACTCATCGGGTTGTCGTCTCACCCCAATAGTTTATGCATCTTTTGATATAGATCTTCTTAGTAAGTACTAGTGGTGTCAATTAACCGCTTGAGCATTAACCGGTTAACCGGGGGGTTTTACCGGTTAAAGTCGGTTAACCGGCGGGAAATTTGAACAGATAATTTCAAATGAAATCTTCATCTTCTATCTTGAAAGTTGAAAAAAGTGGAAAATGATATATCGGCGTTTATTTTTTACGTTCGTCAAGCTTTACTCTTTTCTATGTTAAAGTAAGCGCGGGAAAGCAATGTGGCAGGGATTAAAGTTATTGATTGGATGTTTGTCAGGAATTATCGGACCTATCACATGTATGAGTAGCTCACATGAAACTGACGCTTGAAAAACAAACAGATTAAAATGCAAAGTAAGCGCGGGAAAGCAATGTGGCAGGGATTAAAGTTGCTGATTGGATGTTTGTAAGGAGTTATCGGACTTATGACATGTATGAGTAGCTATACGTGAAACTGACACCATAAAACCAAACGGATTAGCATGCAAAATAAGCGCGGGAAATAACAGAATTATACACGGTCAACTAACCACCCATAAAAACACAGACCGGTCAAGGCATTATCGGCGGTTAACCGGTTAACCGGTTAATACTTGACACCTCTAGTAAGTACTAGAGTTTAAAAGCTTTTAATAGCTAGAATATATGGGAACCAATAATATATCAATATTGATTGTAAAACAATTACCAATTGGAATTGTCCAAGAATTTTGTTGTCTGCTGCCATCTCTCTCTCTCCTTGGTGCACTTTAATCTCAACCTGAGTCTGACCATCAGCTGCTGTTGAAAACACCTGCAACATGGAATAGTGAAACAATTATACCTTATATTATGTAATTGTTGATGTTGCTGAAGGGTGCAAGAGCTGTACTTTTGCTTACTACTTTCAAAGTAAGATAAAGAGGATAAACAGGCAACAAAATATGCTACACAGAGTAAAACAAAATTCATGTGAATGTGAAAATCAGGTTTATTTCAGAAGAATTTTCAAAATATGGAGATCCCTTATTACAATGAGTAATTCATAGAAACTATACCTGGCTTTTCTTGGTGGGAATAGTTGTATTTCTGTTGATTAGCTTGGTGAACACTCCTCCTAGAGTCTCAATACCCAGGGACAAGGGGGTGACATCTAGGAGTAGGACATCTGTTACATCACCAGCGAGGACACCACCTTGGATAGCGGCGCCAATGGCAACTGCCTCATCAGGGTTCACTGACTTGCTAGGGCTTCTGCCAAACACATCCTGGACAATAGTTTGTACCTAATAAAAGAAACATGGATGGAGATATATATATTTGTTCCATTGTAAATCACATCTTCCTTCAGCATAACTGAAATACCAAGAAAAACACTGTTTGCCATAGAATGATTAAAATATGGATTTAGTGACCAGGGGGCCATTAACAGAAACTTCTTAAAGTTAAGAATTCATAAAGTCCATTGTTTTCTAACTGTGACATCATTATATCCATGGTTACAGCAATTGATTTTCGAATTCGTAACTATATGAAATTTATGTTAATTGTTAATTGCACTTGAAGCATTCATGATGATATGCCAAGTCTCATTTTTATATACAATGTTCGTGAGAGAATATTTCAAAGCAAATGTCACCTGCATGATATGTCTATCCAATCTATATTGCATCAACATTATTTCATCTTTAGTGGAAATCCCCGCCAAATCCATCATAAGTTATCCAGAGTCCGAGTTGTCATGTAAACATACATTGAATTTGGAATTGTCAACTGAAAGTTTTTAGTTAGAATCATATGTATGAATATTTCAAACCTTTGGCATTCTGGTCATTCCTCCGACTAGTAGCACCTCTCCTATGTTAGACTTAGATACATCTGCATCCTGCATTGCTTTGTGACATGGGCCAATAGTTCTCTTTACCAGACCATCGACAATGCTCTCAAATTTGGAACGTGTCAGTTGTAGATTCATATGTTTTGGTCCACTGGCATCCATTGTAAGATATGGCAAGTTAATATCAGTCTGAAACGGAATAAGTCTTAAATTCAACCATTTTGTCAAGTAGAACCCCGATTTCAACAGGACTAGAAAATACAAGAGCTTGCACGTATATAGGAACATCACCTTCCCTTCTTATCTATCTTAATGTCAAAAAATATGGGCGTTAATAACGGTATTTCCAGTGCAGAATAAAAGCACAACAAAAAATAAAATATCATTTCAGATAAGACGGGAGTTGAACCATGGTATGACAGCACTGAAAACGAGCATTTTTCCCCTAGACCACATGGGCCGAATATACAGAGAGAGGTCAATCAACGCTACTTATCCAAATGGCTTTAATGTACACGTCACGTGATATTTTAAGGCGATGAATTTCCAAGAAATCAGATGGCTGACGAACGTTGAAGCAATGGCTGTGTGTCGGATAAGCGGTCGCCATTCGCCAAATGCCATCAGAAAATACATCTGGCGAACAGTTTTTATGGAGCACTTGCCATATTGGCGATCTGGGATCAAATCAGACTTGAAAACCCGGAGATAAGTGCATACTTCTGCCAAGGAACTCAACGAGATCGAAAATCCAGAACATCCGGATATTCCTTCTTGATCGATCCCAAAACGTTTTCTATCGTGGATTCTGATTGGCCGTGCTCTGGATTTCTTTATTCGAGAGTTCTGATTGGTCGAAGAGATCAGATGCGAATAAAAACTGCGCAGAAGCTATCGCCGAAAAAAAACTTTTAAACTCTGATATTTCTTTCTTCATTCATCAAAATATTGGTTTACTATAATGTGGATCGCATCAAACGATAGATATTTAACATGTAATGATGATGCATTGAATTACAAAATGCGCCACTTTTTCTGCATCTTAGTGTAAGTTATGATGAAGTACTCTATTATAGCCCGCTGACTTCTTTAGGAAATTATTTTTTCTGTGTATTTGGTAATAATACTTGGTTATTCCTTGATATTTCATGAACTTTGTGAAGCGGGGTGAATGGTTATAAGGGGGTCGGCGCTAAAAATGGCGATTACTGTTACTAAGCCACGTGCATTTTTGTTCTCCATTAATTTTTTTGACTTTTATGAGGAATATCATGCTCAGTTTGCACAAGATGGGTTCTAAATTATATCAATTATTTTATGGAGGCGGAATGCTACCACCCCCCTCTCCCCCAGCCCATGATACATTTTTAATCATGATCATATCATGATTAATTTAAAGAAGAAATTATTAAACGAATTAACAATTTAATATACAACTTTTTATGGGATGGGAAGAAAGACAAGATAAGACGAACTATTGTAATAAACTCTATAGACAGTGGAGGTCTAAACATGTTAGATTTTCAATCACAGCTAAATGCTCTAAAAGCTGTATGGATTAGTCGTATATATGACAAAAAAAACACATTTAATAAAATTCCGTACTTTTATTTTAGCAAACTGGCTCCGAATATGGACATTTTATTAAAAATGAATGTTTTCTCTAATGAGCATCTTGATAGACTGCCTGTGTTCTATAAACAAGTTCTAAAAGCATATAATAGTTGTAAAGACCATGATATAATCAATAAATTAAAACACCATGAAATAATCCAACAAACCATATGGAATAACAGATTATTTCAATTGAAAGGCAAACCACTTTTCTTCAAATCTTGGATAGATAGTGATATTATCTATGTCAAAGATCTCATAACTCAAAATGAATTTTTAAATGTTAACTATATTTTTGAAAAGTTAAAAAATAAAAAAAATTGGATTTCTGAATATTTTCAAGTCCTAACTGTAATGAAATCAATAAAATGCTTTATTAATATAGAACAAGTAAAATTCACAAATATACCAAGAAAACCCAACTTTAAAGTAAAAAACATCCAATTAGACTTTAGAGGTAAAAAATCCAATTTCTTTTATACAATACTGAAAAATAAAAAATCTGAAAAATGGTTTATAGACTGTGGACTACTCTGATAATTGCAACTTCCATTTTTCATGGAAGGTCACACATTCCAACATATTTCAAACAGTCTGTATGATTATGCTAGGCACTTTCTGGGTAGTTGGACTTCATGTAGGGGTGGCAGACGGCCCTCAGGCCAATTCATACCCCCACCCTAAGAAAACCTTGGGGGTACTTTAATACCACCTGATAAAAAGAATACTAATGCATGTCATATATTCATAGTTTTATAGTAGGCAGAGCATACCATGGTTAGTCAGTGCCAGAAATGTCCAATCTCTAACTTATATGGTTACCATGGAAACAGTATTTATATCTCAAAATCTTCTCAATTTGACCTCCTCCAAAATATGTCCCTTAGCCCTCAAAGTGAAATATTTGCAAATTTGTTTGGATTTTGTGGCTGCAACTTTGTCAAAAGTTGTATAAATATGTATATATTCACACTAAAGCACTAAAAAGTTGATATAATGCTCCAATAAATCAATAATATCTATCAAATATAGTCACACACAACTACTTTTAGGGAAAAGTGGGCGTGGCACTTTTTGGAACTTGTGTAATTGTTGCAGCATTAAGCAAAAATACATATTACACTAACAATAATTGACATTTAATTATCATTTACTAACATTGTGTAACATTGTAATATGTTCATTATCATTATTAGATACTTAAATTATTTTATGTAAGTGTTATCATGAACTTTCCTTTTATCCCTATACCATACAAGGTGGGCATCACCAATGGTGTCAAACTAACTTTTCTGTTTAACTTATTTTTTACCATAGACAAGGGAAAAAGCTTTACTTGAAGTCGTGACCTCATTAGGTGCTATGTATATGGATAGATGGATTGATACTAGTCGGTAGATGGCAGCACTTGTGCTAGTTGGGCTAGATACAAGTATTTACCATTGACTTGACATGTGTCACTTAGTCTATTGATTTACCATATTCGTTCTGTTGGATTAAAGTAAAACTGCATTTGCATTGAATTTGATGATGTTCAGATTGTGTTTGAAACTTGATGATAATCAGAAGTGTTTGAAACTGGATGTTGTTCAGATTGTGTACACATGAACTTTAATAGGACCACTGAAACAATAAGTCAATGTTTAGGATTCTTTCAAATTATCTCAATGAGAATTTAGCCTGTTAACCTATAGTTAAACTACACTTCAGCAAGATTTCGAAGCTATATAACAAATCTCATAATTTGCAACTTTTTCATTATTTGATAATTTAACCCATTATTCTTTATTGCTGATTTAAAAATTGCAAGGAATTCAAATGACCTAGGGAAGCCAGTGATATGAATTGGCCTTATTCATTGAGTTACATTAAAATGGAAAATTGTGAAGAACAAGAGAACTGTTCCACGGCTTCACAGGAAATATGGAAGCAAAGTCAACAAGGGATGAGGGAACTAGGCTGTTAACATATAGAGATTTAGAACTCTCCAGGGAAGTGTCTCTATTTGGTATAAAATACACAGGTCTATTCATCCACACCATTTTAAATATGAATCAAAATTAGTGATATCCATGTTTCTGGTGAAAGCATTAATTGAAAGAGACAAACATCCTACCCCAATGGTATAAAATATAAGGAAGTTCGAAGCAGTAAAAAGGTATTACCATTTTAGATTTGATTGAACAAATTGAATCAGAGGCAATTTTTAAATTTCGATATATTAAAAGAGGCTCTCTTGGTTAGATGGGAGAATTAGCTGCATGTTAAAGGTGCCGCTTTGTTCAGTTTATAACAAAATTGATATTAAGCCCGAAACAGTAAGAAATGTTAAGCAAATATTTCATTCTATGGAGGGCAATACCTGTTCATCTTTCAATGATTTTTGCAGCATGTATTGCCCGCAGCCCGTAGGGCGATGGTAATACATGTTGCAAAAATCATTGAAAATGCAGTTGTCAGAATCCCCAGGCGGGCAATACGCTGGACAATACGTCTTTTAAATATGGAAATAATTCAGTGAGCTGTGAAATACGCTGGTATTTTTAGTCACATGGTTCTGAATTAGCCAATCAAATCACACGATTTATAGCAATGATGCAATAATTAGTGCTACTTCCATGAACACCCGTTTTGTAGAATAAGATTCTGATTCTCGTATTTGGTATATATATGAATTAGACAAAGGCAAATCCAGTCGAACATCTTGTTGAGCATCAAACAAAGCTATATATCATTTCTCAAAATGGCCACTTTACTGAAGAAATTGTCAAAAGATTATATGTATCATGTTTTAATGTATTTACGTTTAAATATAGCTGTCTTAATAAGTACACATGATGAAAATACAGGCACAAACAAAATGCATACTTTCTGAAACCCTGCGTTTGGATATTGATAAATTGAATGATATTGGCTAAAAACTTCTGTCAGAATTGAAACAATATTTCCCCAAGAAAAGTCAACATTTCAAAACAACAGCAATAGCTAGAACTATCCTATTTAGATGTTTACTTGACAGTATGGAAAATTGGGGAAGCCTGACAGAGAATCATAACAGATAGAGGTAGAAAGATTTGATAAAGAAAATGGAGTTTTGGTGTGGGAGGGGAGGGGGCGTGTAATTGTATACTTCTTTATAAAATTGATAAAATGACATATTCTAGACAAGGATATGCATTTGCCATAATAAACTATGAGGGATAATGACTCATAAACTTACACAATGGAGATTTGGGGAAGTAATATGGAACATACGTTATATGGAAACTGTAACCTTATAAGATCTTGTCCAGTATTTCAGTCATACCTGATTATAAAGGACCATTGATGTTACAGCATCAGGGCATATTACATATAATATTTAATCATGACCATCATTTCTACTGTGCCAAAATCATTCAACCAATTTTAAAATGGAATACGAGAACAAGATTTCTTATTTTAGGTTATATTCATATGTCTAATAATATTTGATATTAAACATATTAACTTTTATTGTTTTTATACACTAAACAGATTTGTTTAGATATTATTTTAAGTTTTAACATAACAAACCACTTTCCAGGTTGAAGGAATCACTAAAGGTACAGCATTTCAGAAATGTGTAAATTGTTTATATTTCATTATTTTGTGAAATACTAAAAGGAGTTTTACCCGTACCTTGTTGACCATGAGTCAATGAATGCATTATGTAATATCTGCAAAATGATGCACTATGCAATTCATACATGGAATAATTTATTTTGCCATATTGGAATCAAGTATTTTCGTTAATCCATTGGATAGATCATGCATTACCTGATGTTGATAATAGAATCAGTTAGTCAATTGTAAGACACCATTTATCCGAGAAAATCTTAGTTATGTATTAAGGCAGGGCATAACATTTCACATATCGTTTATTCATGTTTACTACATCTATGGTTCCAATGTCATTTAAGCCTGATTTGGTGCAAATGTCAAAGCATAACATCAACTCTAAAGTAGTTTAATTCAATGAAAATTACAAATATCAAAATTGACAATTACTGTCCGCCATCTTAGATGCGAAGGTTACGGCCGTTACCTTCACTTGGTACTGATCAGTGTCGGTCCATTACTTTTCAATTGCATAAAATGGCTCTAACCCTGACAAATGTATTAATCAATTTTAACTCATAGCTATTGATCAATGAAACTATATATATTCTAGCTTCAAGTCAATGAATACGACTTTGACAAGCTAAAAAGACTAAGGACCTCTAGGACTTAAAAGTTAATTTGACCATTAATGACCTATGATAGGGAAGGGTCATGATAACACTTATATAAAATATTTAAAGTATCTAATAATGATAATGAACATACTACAATGTTACACAATGTTAGTAGATGCTAATTAAATGTCAATTGTTGTTAGTGTAATAAGTATTTTTCATTTAATGCTGCAACAATTACACAAGTACCAAAAAGTGCCACGCCCACTTTTCCCTAAAAGCAGTTGTGTGTGACTACATTTGATAAATATTATTAATTTATGAGATCATTATATCAAGTTTTTAGTGCTTTAGTGTGAATACATACATATTAATTCAACTTTTGACAAAGTTGCAGCCACAAAATCCAAACAGATTTGAAAATATTTCACTTTGAGAACTTAAGGACACATTTGGGACGGGGTCAAATTGAGAAGATTGTGAGATATAAATACTGTTTCCATGGTAACCATATAAGTCAGAGATTGGAAATTTCTGGCACAGACTAACCATGGCATGCCCTGCCCACTATAAAACGATGAATATCTGATATGCATTAGTATTATTTTTATTGGGTGGTATTAAAGTACCCCCAAGGTTTTGTTGGGGTAGGGGTATAAATTGGCCTGAGGGCCTTCTGCCACCCCTACATAAAGTCCAACTACCCAGAAAGTGTCTATTATAATCATACAAATTGTTTGAAATATGTTGGAATGTGTGACCTTCCATGAAAAGCGAGATCCATTTCTAGAGCACTTCTACAGAATAGTCCGCAGTCTATTACCTACAAGAAATGGGAAAGAGATTTTTGTATAACAAATGAAGGTAAAATAGATGAAATAAATTGGCCAAATTTTTTTACTAGCAAGATAATAAAAGTTAAAGACAAAAAAATTGCCAATTTTAACTTCAAAATAATTAACAATATTCTTCCTGGATTAACTGACTTATTTCTCTATGGGATAACAGATAATTATCATTGTAGTATTTGCAATAATTTATGTGACTTGAAACATATTATTTTTGAATGTTCCTTAGCAAAAGATATATGGGCACTGATACATAAAACATGTGGCCTTATATTTCTTACAGAAAAATTATAATTGGTTATAATGGCCATGACTCACATACACATTTTTTAAATTATTTTATCAGCATTGTTACAAACAGTATTTATAAATCATATATTTTAGAATTGAATAGTAAAAAACAAAGAACATTTGAAAGCATGATTTCATTGATAAAATATGAAATTAATTACAGAAAAAATGTATTTTATTGTTCAAAGTGGAATTTTGTATCAAAACTATTAAAATGAAAATTGTATGAATTATCTACTTTATGTCATTGTTTATGTTATGTAAAAAAAAAAAAAAAAATCATGATCATATCATAGTGTTATTATTAGGCAATTAAATGATACTTTATAGTTGGATGCACAAATTTGACAAATTGCCGATTCTTTACTTTTTAGACATAATAAATGATTTTCGTAAAAATTTGCGATGTTAGCTTAATTTTATACTGGCTAGTGCCAAATCTGTTTGGCCAGTGGTATCTGAAATCTAGTGGCCAAAATGGCTAGCAGAAAAAAATCCTTATCTGACACAGTGAATGGACGTGAGTATTTGTGCAAATTCTTTGCCCCAATTGTTCATCAGCTTATATCCTCTCAATTTAGCTCAAAATATCACTATGGACATCGGAACAACTCACGGTTGCTTTTTATCGAGAGCTCACTGTTTAATAGTACCAGGGTTCTCCACAGAATTTTGAAATTCCCTTTTCAATTGGGTGCAGATGGATTTTTAGGTGGGTGCAAGTCTGTTTTCAAAATTCCAGGTGGGTGCTGTGCCCACTGGGTCTAAAACTGGGGAGATCACTGGGTAAATATTTTATCATTTATAAGCAATAGGGCTCTTGATAGGCTTTATAACCAAATTACTGCCCAAGTCTTTCCAGTTACAGTAAGGACCAATTAACTTAAGCCATGATTAATGCTGAACTGAAGTCTATCATCATGTAGATGGATAAAATCAAAATTAGATTTACGGAACTGTTATTCCTGTCTCAAGGCCTGAGCAGAAATGTGCAATTTCAGTGATGACATCTGTTTGGGATCAGCTCAACTCCACATATGCATAAATAACATAACATACTGAGTACAAAGGGAAGGAGTTATCCGAAGTGATTTCTTTCAAAATTGGTTCTAAATGAACATTTAGATTTGGCGTTAGTATCCCTACCTGTAAGGCTGATGACAGTTCACACTTTGCCTTCTCTGCAGCCTCTCTGAGTCTTTGGAGTGCCATGGGGTCTTTACTGATGTCAATTCCCTGATCTTTCTTGAACTCAGCCACTAAGAACTTCAATAGTTCATTATCAAAGTCCTCTCCACCAAGGAAAGTATCTCCATTTGTGGATTTCACTTCAAATACTCCTTTTTGAATTTCTAGGATTGACACATCAAAGGTGCCACCACCCAGATCATAGACTGCGATAATTTTATCGTCTGTTTTGTCTAGTCCATAAGCCAGAGCGGCTGCTGTTGGTTCATTGATAACACGTAGAACATTGAGTCCGGCTATCTGGCCAGCATCTTTGGTTGCCTGAAAAGCAAAATGTAAGATTACTTGATGCATAAAATAATTAAACTGAATAAAAATTAACACTGGTTCTTTAGTTTGATGTGTTTTTAAAATGAGAAAAGTTTTGGTTAAGTATGAATACCATACATAAATTGAATGTTAAAAACAAACATGCTGAAAATAGAACCTATGACTAACATAATTTGACAGAAATTATATTTAGATCTTATGTTATCCGGTCAGTCTTGAATGTTTTTTAACATTCTTCATTCTCACCTGTCTTTGTGAATCATTGAAATAAGCAGGTACAGTGACTACAGCATTCTTGACAGGCTGTCCAAGATAGTTCTCTGCGGTTTCCTTCATTTTCATCAAAACAAAGGCTCCTGCCTGACTGGGAGAGTACATCTTTCCTTGGGCCTCAACCCAAGCATCACCATTACTGGCACGCACTATCTTATATGATACATTTTTTCTGAAAGTACAATTCCATTTGAGTTAAGTTCCTAGTTTTGGGTTTGATATGCATATAGTCATAACTTAGAAGACATTAGTTGAAACAAACCTAGGATTCGATTGAATTCAGTCAAGATTAAGATGATACAGTACTTATCACAGAGATTTATCCAAACTCGATATTTTCCAACAATGAAAATATCAGAATGTCGTTATTTTCTGACATTGAAATTAATAATCCAAACAGTCCAAATATTTGAACACTCAGCACAAGACCACAACTCGTACAATTTTTCAAAAAGTAAAAGAAACTGAAGCTCAAGGTTGTGCACTCAGTGAAATCAGATGACACAATCTGCACTTAGTATTTCACACTATTCTGGTCATCATACTAAATATATCTATTGCTATCTTTTACTATCAATCGCAGCACTGCCTCAACTTCACAATGAACATTATGAGAGAAATGATTACTAAACAATCAATACCAAAAAATCTTACAAATCTTTTTGTACTTCTGCATCTTCAAACCGTCTTCCAATAAGACGTTTTGTTGCTGATAATGTATTCTGGGAGTTTGTGACAGCTTGTCGTTTAGCAGGCATTCCTGTGAGTCTTTCTCCACTTTGTGTGAAAGCTATTACTGATGGTGTTGTCCGTGCACCTTCAGAATTTTCTAATACTTTAGCACTTTTACCCTCCATAAGGGCTACACAAGAGTTTGTAGTGCCTAAATCTATACCTATAACATGTCCCTTGACTTTGTCTGAATAAGACCGACAACTTGAATGTTGCGCGGAATATTTGTTGGCTATGCATGATGTAACACCTCCCTGAAAAAGAAAATCAGTAAATATGTAGTTTCAGTAAAATTGTATTTGAATAATGTGACCAAAGTTAGGGCTGAAATGAAACGAAGACATTTTGAAATACTTGTCGATTGAAAGATAGTGTATATTACTGCAATTTGAGACAGACATCTCAATATATACATAGTTAGCGCTGTTAATTTTGGACTTTTAAAATATAACGAAGGCCCCTATTCACGCTCGGAGGACTATTAGTCTTAGACTAGATAACCTACAATATAACCTCAAGAATTAAATCATTAATATGTTTGAAATGTGTTATCCGTGCAAAGCCAACTAGTGGAAACAATATGAGGGCAAAGGGGTGTAATGTTGACATAATAGACGGGGTAACTTCGACACTTATTAGAAGTAGAATTTCAGTTTTCAGCCATGTTTTGAAAAATTAAAATCTCGCAAAATCTTGAACCATGTGAGAAAAAAACATGGCTCCCTAGATCGGAAATTATGGCAAATAAACAACAAGGTGTCAAAGTTACCCCACATGTCAACGTTTCGTTCTTTAAAATGGTGTCGACGTTACACCCCTATTATCTTTATTTGAAGATTATTCCATACAGTTGGGGACAAAAATAAATGACAGGTCGATTTTCGATCACCATTTCCTAATTATGGTGGTCTGAAAGCCAATAATTTCCAATATTGTCTAGATATATATCCCTTAAAAGTTGAATATTTTACATTTTGTATAATCTCATCCACTGATGTATGGCCTCTTGTAAATTCTCTTATTTTTAACATGGGAAATCCTCACTTCAGCAAATCCACCTGTCATTTATTTATGTCCCCAACTGTAGTAATCTTTAGTCTACATATAAGCAAAAAGTGTAGGGTATGATCCAGTATGATGTGAATAGTTCTGATGAAATCATCTAGGAAAATTGCAAAATTCAATTGATAGATTTTTGAACCCCGAATTTTTCAAGATGAACCAAGACAAATTTATCCAGATTTATATTCTATATATTCGTCATACAGAGTACCCTACATACAAATACGTAAATGGTATAATTTTTGACATAAACGTTAGACGAGCAAACTAGATAATAGAGGTCAAATAAGTTCTAGAAAAATCTCGTTGGAAAAAGCATGGCGAAATTTTGTAATTTTCTAAACTCACCTTTTTTGTAGTCTGAGAAGAAAACTGTCGTTTCAGTAAATTTGTGCAGTTTTTAATATATCTCGCCGACGTTCTCGATGCGGTCAACATGTTGGACACTGTTTACTTCAGCCTAAATCGTACTGATCTTACACAACTCTCTAGTTCTGTAACTCCACACGTGTGACGAAACTGGGTCAAGTTTTTGCTTCGCGGAGTAGGTCTTTCCGGAAAATATTAAATTGTTCACTTCACTTTACTTTCTAATTTTTATAAATGCGTAATTTTTCGAAAATTATATTTATACAACAAGATAAAAATATATTTTATAAAAATTATGAATAAAATATTTATTTCGTTTTCTTGATGAGTTTGCTATTCATCCTCGGTAGTCGCAATAGCACAAAGGGCAACACCTGAAAAGAATTTTATAATTGAAGTGTGAACTATGCTAACTGCATGTATACTACGATTGTAGAGAAAATGTCCAAGATGGAGAAAACAAAATGAGAATCTGTCACTATAAGGTTGGCCGTCTTGGCACAAAGACTGTCTGAATGTGTCTGGTAGTGTTATGTGAGTTTGGTAATTGGCCTTGTCATAACGTGCTATGTTAATTTGACATCGACAATTGGTTGTGTTGTTTTATCATGTTGTGTTTGTGTTATGTTGGTTGAGTTGGAAGTTGTGCACAATCGGGTGAAGTATTGTGCCCGATTATGTTGTGTGATTTATGTTTCTATGGTTCGAGTGGACTGGTTGGCTATATTGGTATCACAAGTTGGTTGTCTTCTATTGCTTGTGCCTGATTGTGTTGTGTTATACACAGCGATGGGTTATATTTAGTTAGGTTTTGTCAACTGTGTTGTCTTGGTTTATCATTGGGTTGTGCCTGAGTGTTGCATTATTGCCTTATTGTGTTGTTCATTTGACAATTGATTGTGCTATGTGGTGATTGTATTATGCTATTACATACATAATGCGTCATATGAAAATTGATCAAGTAGAACTGATGAATATTCAAGTTTAAGGGAACTTTCTACTATATCTGCCATGTTATCTGACCCGAATTAGCCATCTTGTGGTGAAACTGGTAACTACCTACTGGCCTTTGGGTTATTGTGTTGTGCTAGTTTGACAGTTAGTTGTGTTTTGGTGATTTTAAGTCAGATTGTGTTATGTCCCATCGCGTTTTGTTATTTTAATAATGGATTGTATAATATTCTAATGTGTTGTTTTATTGGTGATCCTCTTAGTTGTGCTTGGTTGAAAAGGTTGGTTGTGAGACTGTATTGTGATGAATGATTGGGCTTTGATATAAGTAGGTCATGAAAAATAAAAAACACAAATAAGAACACTTGGCAAAATGAAGTACAACTGTGGATTACTCATTTAGTGGTGATGCAAGATGAATACTATGAAGATTTTTTCTAACTAGAGATTACGTGCTGACCGCGCATTTAGATTATTGAGAAACTCATCTAAGAAATGGGTTTAAATGGAGAAAAGAAAATATTGTATAAGAATTTGTTACTGGAAGGCAGGCCATCTTGTAAAAAGACACATTGTCTTCGTAATACAATACATTCCAGTCGTTGTATTACATTTAGAATACACATTCCATCAAACTGTTTTCAGCAAATAGACTATAGTTCAACAATTATTATTTATCACAGCTTTGTTATTTTAGAATGCTAATCCCAATAATCAGGAAAGGATCTGGAAATTCACAGGGTAAGGGAATTAATCATTTGCTATATAGATGGCAGCATGTGTGATGGTAGGGCTAGATATATACAGCAGTTTCAAATGGAAAAATTGAGAGAAGACACTTAATTTCTTGATTTGTTAAATATTTCAAGATGGTTTGATGAAAAACTCCATGGTGACATGTGGATTGTGATTTAACCTTAAACTGTGATAATTTGAAGATTTTTTTAACATTGTGCCCATGGGGATTAATCCCAACCTTTTTCAGAAAAGTTGAAAATCCTTGGAAACATTGAATAAAATGAAAAAACTGTAAATCAAAGTTCTCATAGAAAATTATGCACAAAAATTTTAATAGAAAACATAAATCCTTATTGGTGAATATGCAAATCTAATTAAAAATGAGACTTCAGCAAGATTTCAAAGCGAATGGTTAATTCAGGCACTATTTCCAGTTGATTCTTTCAAAAATTGAGCCCATTCAAAGAGACTTTTAAAATGCCTAGTTTGTGAATGACACACAAAAGGCACACTTTTAGTCGACTGACCCATGCTTTGTGACTAATAACTCCTATTATCCTAATGTCAAATGACCAATAACCTTGAGGGATACTTCTATTAATTTGAGGTACATGTGTGAATTTCAGTCACATATTCACCTTTCAAAGAATCAATCATGGCTCTTAATTCTTTAAAGAAAGTATAATTTATGATGGTTTCTTGAGTAATCATTATTTTTCACAATTTTTGTGCATCAGTCATGTATTTACATTTAGGTTGGGCATAAAGGGCAGTATGATAATAGAATGTCGATTACTTATTTGTGTAAGGTTTAAGCTTACATTGATGACACTATAGCCTACTCTGTCATGTGTTACTGTTATTAATTAATCAGAACTTTGTATTTTTAGAATGCTAATTCATATACCACATGTCTTGCCATGAGCAACATTCTCTAAGTTTGATCAGAATGAGGCTGTATTATCATACTATGTATGGCTGTATTATCATACTATGTATGGCTGTATTATCATACTATGTATGGCTGTATTATCATACTATGTATGGCTGTATTATCATACTCTTAGATAAGGCCTCTTCTCAAATGCTGGTGTGTGAGGCACTGCATAATCTGCCAGGAAAGAAATGAAGTAAAGTTTGAGTTAATAAATAAACACAGTGATAAACATTGCCATTGAACGAGAAAATGGCCATGACCACCTTGAAAGTTACCAAGGATGCCGAGAACTAATCAGATCTTTGCTCTACTCTCATTTTACGCCTTTAAAATGGCAAGTAAATGGATATCGTTTTCTCATTATCCTGATGACAAGATTCCTCGTCCACCTGCACATCAATCATCCCAAGATATCAATATACTAAATTCATTTTAAAGCATTAACGAGCAAAATGTCATCACATGCCATTTGTTACAGACACCGACCATCAGATGCCAAACACTGTCCACAAAAAACACTATAACAATATGTCACCAAGTTACACCGATCAGCTTGAAGTAATATATCAATCATCTAAGAAATAATCAACAACCAATCTGTCAGCATTTTAAAACAAAAGACATTTTTCTATTTATACATGAAATAAAATTTTATTCTTGGGGTAAACAAGAACATATGAACAATAATATTAATAGATATATACACTATGACCAGAATGCCACAATTCCCATAAAACCAATATTTGGTTATTACATGATGTTAATATAAGGCCACTGGTCCCCCAAAGTGGTCCATAAATGCTAATGCTTTACAATTCCACCATCAATAAATATGTAGTTTTTCAAATAATACCCATTAGATGGAGTTCCTTTATTAGAATAACATGAGGTGCAATATTGAAGGACTGCCCCAAAATAGATTAATGGAATTTTCTTCACGAACATATCATTTGGAAGATGTATGCACTGAGCACTCAATTTGTTAATTGCAATTCATAATTTGGCGAATAAGAACCAACTGGGATTAATTAACTTTTCAAGTCACTTCTATTGAAATCGACCAATCTGACAATATATGGAATCGAAATCCCTATAGATTGATAGTGAAAATTAATGAGTCTTTGAGTGTTATGTAAAACCTCCCAAAACGGGCAGACCCGTGACTTGGTACTGGACATTCTCTACGACACTATGCTCCGAACAATCTGCAACCATGTGTCATACACACAATACAGTGAACAGAACATCTAATCTATATACACAATACAATACATTACTTTAGATAAGTTAATGAGGCAATTATTACAATGTAATTTCTCCACAGCTCGAGTGCTCTTTGGGGCATTTTAAAATCCATGTAAAACTCTTAAAAGAATATTCACTATTAAAATTGCCATTAAAATGCAGATATCCAACACATTTACTTTAAGACACAAACTTAACTTTTTAGACCAGACCATGGACTGAGATCAAAATGCACAATACTGTTAGACAATTTTCCTGCAGTGCTTGCTTTTTGTCCAATGGCCCAGAGTGAATAAGTGCTACACTTATATATAGACATGTACATTTATAAATATAGCATAGATGTTAAAACCCCTGGATGACCTTGTCAATGGAATAAATGATAAGATGAAATTACAATGTTAATTTGCCCTGATCATGCCTTTGTTAATAAATTACAATGTGATATTCTATACATTACAAAGGTCGTGGCCATCTGATTCAAAACAGTTCAAACCAAAAAAGTTTGCATAATAAATAGAACAGTCTCCTATTGTTTAAAATACAGTGCAAAAGCCTTATCTAGAAAGCCCATGGTTCTGCCGAACGTGAATATCTGAATAAATTAATCACGCAGAATTTAAAGCAATTACTACCTTATAACACAGACTTAATGCCAATCCATGCTTAGAGGAAGTATAGTTACTACTGTTTTAGTGCATTCTCGTCATAGTGCCAGTATTTGAGCAACGTATTAGCATTACGACACTGAGGCATGCACACATTTTATTCTAAACTAATATGGACATCACCATAACGATATGCCACATTGCATTAACTTAGTTTAAGAGAAACTATAGCAACCAATCCATTGCATAACTGTCAGTCCAGAGCCCCATCTTCTCTTCAACAATAAAACACAATTTTGTCTTACAGTTTATGATTAAAATATTAAAACTGGTTAATACAACCTCCTATCTCTGTACATTCATTATACTCTGTTCTATATTATACATATAATAGGGTATACCTCTATATGGTAGGGAATCTGCAGGTTAGAATACTGATCTCATACACTGTATTTTATAATTTGCGATTTAAAACAACACCCACTCCAGGCAATATTTCATTTGAGGCTATTTAACAAGCATTTTAACCTGCAGACTTTCCACCTTTGGTTGGTGTTTGTTAATAATAATATGATAGAATATTTTCGATAAAATGTCAAGTTGTTCTAATAAGTATATCATAAACATATAGCATAAAATTAATCATTCTACTATAATATTCTTTACAATATATACTGCATGTAGGCAACGCTATAGTACAATACCTGAAATCCCTAGTAAGAGTGATTACTCCCTAATGTGATACTGCATCATTGTCATACGATGCTGCACGGTAGTCGATTGATACCACACCATGGTAACAAGGTACCACAATATGGTAACAAAATACCACATGCAGCACCGCAACATTCATGCAATATTTTTGAAAGGAAAATATTAAAAAAGGTACTAGTATTGAAACACAGGTTTGCTCTTAAACCTTCACATTTTAGCAATGTGAATTGAAGCTTTTTTGAAATTCTACCTCTGCTAGACTGCTTTATGCCAAGTTATGCTTAAATCACCCTTTTCATTGTACACTTTAATATTTGATTCACACATCTATCAAAAGAATAAATGCATTTCATAGCTTCATGAAGCTCAAATTTTCAATTTTAAACTTCACATCCTAACTGATAGCCAGAGAATCTTTAACAAGAAATAAATACTAATACATCCATAAAACTTGAATGTAATTTTGAATTACAAGCATCATTCATAAAGCATTCATTGAACATAAATAATAAACATAATCCAAGGGATGGATTTCTACAGTTTTTAATTGGCACCATGTTGCCATGGTAACCAAGTGAAATTTGTTTCTAAAACATCAATTTTGTATTTGAAATATGATGTATTTGAATGCAAAAGCTGTCAGATAGAGCAAATTAAGTGCTAACTATTCTTATCATCACTGTAGCAATCGACAACTTTGTCATCACACATTATTGCATAAAAGATTACACAAACTTTTTATCAATGCAACCTATAAATTCACAGTGTTTGTATGCACTACAATGACCTTCAATATTCACACTGTTCAAAACAATTTACTCACTCGCAAATTAAAACCTGTGGCAAGGTGTACATAGGGAATGCAGACATTTGTGTTGCTTATATCAACATGTAAATAATGTGACAGGATGAGATGAAATGAGTGACAGGGGTTTATGGGTACATATTACATCCTTTGCCTTTGAAATCTTCCCTGGTTCTGTACATAATACAGGGCTTGGATGTCTAAATTTAATCCATTTTAAACAACCGAGCCCTGTAACAAGGTAAGAATACATAAATACATAAAGGCTGTGAGTACCAGTTCTTTACAAGCGCCATTCAACTGCTTACAAACAAAGCTATTTCTGCATATTTCAAAAAATAACATGATAGAAACCATGGAAACCTATGAAATATCATGAAATTTTCTTGGAGAAAATTCTATGACTTTCAAAGATTGCCACAATCATCATATAAGTTTTTGAAGAACAATCAAATACAGCAGCCATCCATATGTAAATAACATACAACTGTACATCATAGGCGAATATGATTGGTTGTCAGCTAGCATTCAAGTTGGTCCATGTTCCATTATTATCCCAATATGCCCAACAGTGTTTCCTACTATCCAAGGCCCTAAATTGTCTACATGTGTGATACCAATATCTGAGAGATGCTGGATCATCATAGTGTGAGTGATTGTGGTGGCAGGGTAGTTGGCTGCTATTGCGGTGTATACAAGGTGTGAACCAGGCGAGATGCTATACGTCAGAGCCCACCATTGTGAGGCTGAGAGAGTTTAGGCCACACCCACCATCACTGCTGCTATTGATGGAACTGTGGTCGTCAGTATCACTGCTGCCATTATCGTATCCAATGATATCCACTTCATCTGAAACACACAGTAATATACAAGGTTTTAGTTAGGAGATCACACTGAACTTAAAGAGGCTGAAATGAATCTTGGCAAATCTTTACATCGGAGGAGTTTACTGAATCCTTTGAACTAGATGTTTTGATTAAAACAGGCAAAAATTCTACATTCTACTAGTTCTCTGCTTTGAGCCAAAACTATGGACTTGAAGAAACACATGTTGACAAGAGAGATTTTCAAACTGAACCTGTTAGGAATTAGAGTTTTACACAACTGTGAACTTCCTTCCTTCACTTTAGAAACAATGCTAAATCTACATCATCATTATTTTTTTCTATCATTACATTTCTTCAATTACATATTAGGATTGCGAAATAAAATAACATAAAGCATTTGTGAGACATCCTGTTTAGCTATAAAAACCCGAATCCACCTGCAGTTAACATGTGATCATGTAAGAATATACACCTAGATTTTATAGATGAATAAATGGCAAAAGCTGCTATATCTAGCAGATGAATTCCTTGAAAACCAATTATAAATATATTCCTTGCAGGCCACCTCTCATCTTATACATGTACTATAAAGTTTACATAAATCACATTCTCAAATACTTCATGTACTATGTAGCTCTCATAAAAGGAACACAGATTTTGCATTCCAAAGAAATCTTTCTTGAAATATTGAACGAGCTGAGAATGTCGAGTACCAGCTAAAAACATCAATTGAAATTCAATGGAGAGTTCGATTCATTCACCTCTCCAGGAAACTGCCATGTTTCTGCATTGATTTGTACTCCAAGGCATTTGACATGATCAATGAAATTTTTAGGTATTTGCTGAAAGCCTCAGTAATATTGAACTTGATGCAGTTAAAGGCAGAATCACATTGGAAATTGTATGAGACTGTGGCACGTATCAGAGAAATCTTGAATGAATCATATTCAATTTTCAAGAGTCACAATTATATAGTAATCAATAAAGGAATGCAATAATAGTGTAGTTATTTCAGGTATAAAACAAGCTACATAGATGCAAAATAGGTTTTCTATTATACATTGCAATACAACAGGCAAGCTTCATGGTTGCATAGCTAAAAACAACAAACTCATTCAAGCATGAAAAAACATCATAATGAATAGCATTCATTCCAGAAAAAATAAATGTTCATAATAAGTATGAGTTATGCAAATAAACTTGACAAAGGTCACAACGAATCAAAGATAATCATAGGGATTAAGTGATTACACAATCCAATCGCAGCATATTTAATGATGACTTACTTTCAATTATTTACATCTACTTTTATATGTATTCATATGATTATGTTTACTTATGTATTTATGTAAAGTCCCATTGAATCTGCGATTATATAAGCCTGGCATTTATATGAGTGCCTGTTGACCTCTGCTATGAGCATGTCATCAGAATGAAACTAACAGATAAAATGAAATATAATAGTACTGTAGATAAATAGAGATAAATATGTCTATAACAAACTACATGACAAGCTGATAACCTTGACTTGTGCATGATAACATACTTTTTAAAAGCACTTGTTGTTACATTAATTTGTAGACCAATTTTAGCTAAAATATGGCTGCGTTTGTTGTTTACTTTAGTTTCAGTCCCTTGTTGTTGGGAATATGATACACTATCCTGGTTTGTCTTTAAAATGGGGCAGTAGGATCTTTCATCTTGGAGATTTTGGAAGACATATTTTCAATTAACTAATCTGTTCTTACATTCAAATATAATACATGAAAAAACTATTAAACAAACAATCCAGAATGCAGGTCCTCATTTAAAGAAAACGATTATAAAGTTAACATTTATAGATTTAATTGAAACATAATTGCAAAATTTCATAAATTTGTGCAAGGGTGGGATCAAGATCTTATAATAAATCTCTTTTGGCTTTGCTCAAAATGTTCTCATGTTTTTAAATTCTCATTTGCAAAAATTTCAAATAAAGCCATATGGCGTGCTACTCTACATCTAGAGCTTTTATAAAAAACTATTCTATAAAAACCGAATGTAAATAAATAGTAAACTTCTGACATTTGTGGCTAAAAAACAAGTTTGATGGCAAACTTTACGGGTGAATAAGTAGGTCATACATGCTGAGTAATGCCTATCTTCCTGCCAAGAATTGCCATGGTGCACTAGTCTATATATATTGTATTTAGAAATACTGATTATTTATAAATAAATTTCTTTGATATTATTCTCCTATTCAATCGTACATTACACAAAACATAATTGGAAAATGTAAGGCTTAACCCTGCTCAGGAAATCAAACATTGTATGCGATGCATAAATCAACTGATTACAATAATACATGAGTTATATTTAGCTAGACCTTGCTGTTTTGCTGGAAAAATCTATGCATAGAGGCATATAAACATTTTGGTGAAACTAATGCATAAAGCTAATGCATTTCTGTGGTTATACTTAACCTTGTGCAAGTGAAATCTTATCACCACTTGCAAATGGCATACATACAAGCGATCCCCAGGCCTTCAATGTTTATATTTACATCTCAGGAGCCAATCAGAAGCCATGTTACAAATCCTATTGAATACATTAACCGCAGTTCAAAAGTAAACATGTAAATCCGCGTAATTTACTGGGCAGAAATAGTCATGTACAGTCATGTATGGGCAATACACTTGACGTCAAGAAAATCCAATGACTCAAACTCACATGATTAAATTGGTTTTGGACTTAGGAGTGTACTTATATGTTAAAATGACATTTACAATATCTAGCTATCAATATCTGGTGGAATGCAATGGCTGCTATGCCAATGACCTTGTAGAATGAGATCAATAAACACAGCTGATGTCACTAGTTAGTACCTCCACTTGCTAAGAAAATGATTTGAGTACATTTTAAAAGACATAATATCTGTTCAGTTATCTTGAAAGATAATTAAAAGACAAAATGTCTGTGCTCTAGAGAACCAATACTTATACCACTAATGTCAAACATAAGTGGAATAATAGGTAACATAAAATATTAGGTAATAAAACATGGCCACTGACAATAAACAGTCAATAATAAATTCAAAATATATTTTTCGTTTATTGTATTAGAAAGCATGTTTAAACTCTGTATGAACCCAGTTTCTGGCTCTAAGCCTGAAGTGGATTGTGTTCAATATTGTCTTGCTAAAAGTTATATAACATATATGGTAAATATAGTTTGATTGTATGCCAAGTCAAAGCAAATGACCAGCACTTTTTCAAATTCATAAGTACATAACAATAGGCCACATTTCAAAAGCATGTTCAGTGATCTCAGTTACATGGATCAATATCATGAGCAAGTTACGGTTGTTATCTTCTCTTTCAGAATTTCAGATGGTAAGTGTCGATTTGAATATTTTTAATTTTCATCGACGTAAACTTCTTTGCCTTTGGCATTCTATGATAGAAATTTCAAAGCCAAATGTTTACAAAGTAGTTTAATTTGATGAAAACTAATAATACCAAAAATCAACACTTACCATGTGACATTTTGGTAATGGCTGGTAATAGCTGTTGCTTCTGATTATAATGACAACAAAAATACATTCTACTTCATACGGAGGTCTGAGAATGTCACATTTTTGCATTCAACAGTAATGCTTTACATTTTACTCCTTTCATCTTAAATCGAACACTTTTTTAATCGAATAGTACTTCCAACAAATTTAATATTTCACATTGTTGAGTTCACAGCCTCTATTTTCACTTTAATATTTCACATTGTTGAGTTCACAGGCTCTATTTTCACTAAAGACCCTAAAGCTTCTCTGCATAGCATTCAAATAATGCATAAAAATGAATATTTCAGGTTTTAATAAGGCTTTACAGAACACTTTATAAGGGTATGTGCATTCAAACCATATACATGTATTGCTCATGCCCCAAGGTCAACACCAGAACAACGGCAACATAAGAGATAATTCTGAACCAATCATTCCCAAATAACACCACACTGCATTTAGATTGGCTTACATAATTGAGTACATTATATATATATTGGGATACCAGATACCTGACTTTCAAAGTAGATTGTATTCTTAACGTCTTTGAATGTTGCGCTTGCGCCAAAAATAACAGACATTATGTCACAATCAAGTGACACAATCCACCTTAACTGACTTATTTGAGGCTTGGCCCTAGCTCACCTTTTGGCCATTTATACATAACACTTTTACTTATACAATATTAGTCATTAGGGTCATAAGGACAATGGAAAGTAATACAAAAGTTGAACAACCAGTCCTCAACTAGGTGATAGCTGAAGAAATATTACATCAGATTTTGATAGCGAACAATTGAGATAAATGGAAATGAATTCATTTTGGTTGATGAGGTTTTGGACATGCAGTTCCGGTTTTGAGTTTCAAATGAAGATAAATGATGGGAATAAATAAGATATGATGATTATGACAAAGTAAAACATGATAAATATAACGAAACGAAATTGGTTTACAGTTACATGTTGTTAATTAGCTAATGAACTATTGCAGATATGCCTCTTACTATATAGGAGATCATTCTATCTCATCAATCAAGAGATTAAATGATTGCTAGAATGCATTCTTTTACAATGCAGATCACTCATTTATGGCTTATAGAATTATAAAGCCATTTACTCATCTTGCAATTATACTATTCAGCCGATGCCACAATACACACTATTGATTGATCCTTTTTACATGCATGCAAATTGCTTTGGCCTATCTTATCTATATAAATGCATGTATGCATGTCACTGCATTCATCAATTATAGTCTTAAAAAATAAACATTTTATTAACAAGATGAACGACCTCTCCCAATACCCTCTGGGTTTACATGTCATTTAAGGTGAAGTCTTTCAGGCATTCCCTTTAACATTTATATTAATCTTGTATTATCCCATGACATGGAATCAGAAATTAATTCACAAAATTCCCTGATTTTAAAATTCTGGTCAATTTATTTATATAATAATCCATTCTGTTCACCATTCTCTATCATCATGTCATTCTGAGGCTCTAAAGCTTATACAGAATTATGTCCTGGCAAACCTATACAACTTATCTTATTAAGATCATATGAAGTGAAGATTTTGATGACTATATTGTGTTAGAATTTCATGTACTGACCGACCAATGACCCACAAATTGAAAATGGAAGATAGCAAATAAGAGCAGAATAATTTGTTTGTAGTCTACTGATAATCATATTTGCTAAAACTGAAAACATATACTCTATACACAACTATAAACAAGGCACATCAGTCTATCACATGCAATGCCTCTGGTAAACAACTATAAACAAGGCACATCAGTCTATCACATGCAATGCCTCTGGTACACAACTATAAACAAGGCACATCAGTCTATCACATGCAATGCCTCTGGTACACAACTATAAACAAGGCACATCAGTCTATCACATGCAATGCCTCTAGTACACAACTATAAACAAGGCACATCAGTCTATCACATGCAATGCCTCTGGTACACAACTATAAAAGGCACATCAGTCTATCACATGCCTCTGGTACACAACTATAAACAAGGCACATCAGTCTATCACATGCAATGCCTCTGGTACACAACTATAAACAAGGCACATCAGTCTATCATATGCAATGCCTCTGGTTAATTCTACACATAAGCTCATTTGCTAATATTGGGTATGTTTTCGGAGGTTGTCTTCTGGACTGATATTTCAGGCTGTCAGAAAAAAATCAATTAAAAAAAGAAAATTTATGAATGTTATTTTACCCCATTTTAACCCCCAACCTCCTTTGATTTAGCTATGGTAGTATCTTTCAGTAACTTTTCTTGCCACAAACATATATATAGTAATTCGCAAGTTGAATAGGGTCATTTTTACTTGAAGCATCTTCATACAGACATTGGTTATCACTTTTACCTCAGTCACAATTATCAAATGTAATTTCAAATGCATTGTGAATCAGAGAATATATGATGTGCGTGATCTATGAGAAACGACAGCTTATTACATGGTTGATTATTATATAGTTGATTACATAAGGAGCTCATTGTTAATGAGGGCAAACTACGTTCGAATATTAATGATTCATAATGCAATCTTTAGCTAGACTTTCAACCAGTTCTTGCAACTGAGGCTTCAACAGTAGTCAGCTAATCTTTACCAACCCTATTAGCTATATAGTTTATATGTAAAGGCGAGCATATCTTTGGGAGGGAGCTAACATGTTCTGACAAAGACTATTTTTTCTCTTGCATGGTTTGCACAACATATGGTGAGTGTGTTGGAGGTTTTGTTTGTTAACACAATTTAAAGTTTGGGAATACTGTGATGTAAAACATGATTTGCCAAATACACCTTGATTACAAGTTACATGTTGTGTATTTCCGATTCTACCATTTAATTAGCAAGTAATTTGAAAATCTGAATATTTCATTTGATGAATTGTACCATTTTGGACATCCAGGGGGGGGGGGATAGATAGAATGTGAACTCCTCTGTTAATGAAAAACCTTCCAGTCAGTAGATCAACTGTCTTATTGTAAATGAGCCCCTATAATTGGAAAGCCTACCAAGTAGAACATTTTTAGAGGTACCAATCGTGTTCCACTTAGACAGGTTTTACTGTATATAGTAGCTGTAAGTACTACACAGATATATAGGGAGGGATACATACCTGATTCTGAAGTGCTGGCATTGGAACCAGTGGTTGAGGCACTAGAGGTACTACATTCACTAATAGTCCTCTCTGCTCTACTTTCCCTGTATTGGCCATCATCAAGCCCTGATAACCTACGTTGTAAATGTCTCTGTTCCCTGTATAATACTTCACGAGCGGCTTTATGGCGCCGTTCTTTTTCTTCTAGATTCTGAAAATATACATTTCATGGTAATTATTTTTTCTGGTTTATTACTCAGTATTGGTCATTTTCGGGAGAAATTGTGTTTCCGGTATTTCAAATGTGTTAAACCTATGGACTGATCAGACAAGCATCAATCATTAATGTAGAAATTCTATAGAATCAAATCAATAGATACTATTTCTGTATATCAAATCTACATGAAAAATTTATCTGATTATCTTTAGAATGAGTTATACTGTGGATACAAAAATAAATTCCAAAAGTAGGTTTATTGTCTTAATTGCTTTCCTGGGGTTTAGTTTCCTAGTGTGGAGTCATCAACCTTGAATTAAATGGCCAGATGGACTATCTAGGAATTCTGCAGATGTTTAATACATTCTTAAGATTGGGAAAGCAACCATTTTGTAGTTCATGTCACATTTCACAGATTTTCATTCAGAAAAATCAAGGATATTAACAAGAAATATATCAACCATAATTCAAAGAAAAATCTTTTTCGTTGCAAGGGAAAAACTATAAATTCTATGATTTATTTGGAAGGGTATATGTATAATGACTAACTAACGAGATGAACATTTCTATGTTAATAGGTATGCACATGTGACCCAGCAATCATAATTAATAATTTACTCTTTATGCTTTAAAGCTTTATTTTTGGATTGGCCTCATATATAAGTAGCTGCGTGTCATATGTCATACCATACTTGAATACCTGTGCTTTGATACTTTAAATGCAAGTACAATCTACACATATTGCAGATTGATGTCTGCCTACATAGATCATTTAAAATACAATTTTATGTCTTCAGGTCTCTGCCAGTCGATAACCCTAATTTTTTGATGACCCTACTTTTTTTGTCCTGGGGTTTTTGGGAGTCAACTCTTAAGCTAACTAATAACTAACAAACTGAAAAGTAACAAATATTTATTCAGTTTTATTTCAAGCCTTGTTACTCCCCCCCTATGCCACTCTATGCCGTTGAAGAACATTAGGGTGAGGGGTATATAAATATATGGTTTTAATATCCTAGATGTGAGTAGAAATAATGTTGACTTAGGTCATTAAAAATTCACAAATTCAGTAAAGCTGATGTCATATTTGGAATCTACATGTGAAATTAAATCTAGAGATGTGGTTTTGAAAAGTTTATCAACTTTGAAAATGTAATTTTCTTTGAAAATGTGACTTCTAGGTCGGGAGATTCCCCATAGACCCCATGTTGTAAAATCACAAAAAAGTGAAACTATTGTTGGCCAGATAATATTTTCTTTTATTGGACATATTTCAATTTGTATAACTATCACATACATAAGGGTAATATGAAAAGTGAACCACTAAAACTGATGAATATTCAAGTTAAAAGGAATTTTGTAATACCCTGCCAGGTTATTTCCCCCAAATCAGCCACCTGGTGGTGAAACTGGTAAACTGGTAACTACCTACTCGCATATTAGTAATTAGAATGGGTTTCTATTCAGATGAGTCAAGGCTAAAACAATTTCCTTATTTCTACTTCCCACACCTACCAAAACTGATGAAACATCTTATCACGAGGATTGTATGTCAAAAGAGTTCAGCAAAGTATGTACATGCATTTGAACATGTTAGCTGATTGAGCAATCTGACAAAAAGCTTGAAACCTGTAAAATAAAGGTCAGACTTAAGTTGTTTCATTTTAGATATATAATATGACGAATGGAACTTTGGTGACATGTCTGGTCTGATTGAGTTGTAATCAGCAGTTTTTTACGCCCCCACATATTATCTTTATGTTCTGAAGTAGATATTGTGATCATGAGTGAGCTATCCCCAAATAGTTTTCAAGAAAAAAACTGAATTACAGATATACCATCTGATCAATCCTTTTCACTATGTATCATATTTTTATATCTGTACCTGCTGAATATCAGTGAATAAATAAATAAAATATTACAAATGATAATGATTTCTCATGCTGCAGTATATTCAATACACTACTGCTTTTTCTTTACCTTGACAAATGAAACACATTCTGATTTGGTACAGTTTCGCTTTGTATCTATCTGGCCATGCCACCCCAATGAACAAACTTATCAATAACAGAACCTGCATTCTCCACTGCATTGAAGAGAATGGAGCCAAATGAAATTGTGAAGAGAGAAATCTGCATGGAGAATATCAAAAGTTGTAGGTGAATGAAATCTTATAGATTATCCATCAGTGGATATATAGGGACTTATTAACCCCCTTACATATTTTTTACAAAAGCAGCCCTGGTAAAATATGATGAAATCACTGAGAAAATAAAAAAAGTGCCTCTCGTCTCTATAAAGCATGTTAAAAGCATGCAAAGTTCAAGGGTTCAATTTCAAAAGAATAACTTAAGTATGAAACTGTATTATTATAATCCTTTGGAAGGACCCCAGGGAAGCATATAATATAGGAGATCTGAGAATCCCTGTTGAAAATTCTATCAGGAATTCTAGTCAGTAGAATTCAGTTGATTAATGATACTATTGAAACATGCACTTTGTAAGGCAACACATATAATGTTGCTCCTAGATAAATGTACTGCATAGCTGGCAAGTTGCCTGATAAGTCCATGAATGACGTCAGAAGATGTTTACTGGATCTCAGCTGACTTCCATTGACTATTTGCTTGCATGGACCCTTATTAACAAATATAAAAAGGTTCAATTTTAACAATAAGAATATCAAAAATTCTTTTCATATTAGTATTTTGAACTTATTTTCAAGCTCAATATCAAAATTTCCTTTTTAATATACATACTTTGGTTAACAATTTTTTTCTCTACATTATTGATTTACTAAAGGTAAGGGTATATACAGTATGTACACCCACTGCCTCATTTGAATCTTCATAAAAAGTGGTTGTTCTTTCTTAATATGATATGCTTGTTTTGATAAATACAGTACTTCATAAGTATTAAATCTATTTTTGTTTATGAGAACTGAACAGGTTTCTTTATATGGTTCAACATCAGTACACACATGATGTAAATAAACACATGTACTGTGTCAGGTAACTATACCACCATGGAATATATCATGGCTACATTATTTAATGCCAACAACCTTTTTTATAGTACAGTAAAACCTGTATATAGTGAACTCATTAGATTTGGTTCTAAAGACTGCACATAATTGCTAAAAGAGCAACGAAGGAGGAAATTATTCATAAGAGCACCTTCCAAGTTTTATGTCAGTTAAATATTTCAGAAACACAATTTGTGTTCATGATCTGTGTTCACTCAAGACAGAAATCAACTAAGACAGGTTTAACTGTAGCAATACTAATTCTAGCAAATGCCAAAATATATTTTTTGGTCATGATACCTGGTTTCCCATCTTGAGGGTTTGCTACTCAGCATGAGCAGAAAAGAAATATCAAAGCCAGTTAATCAATACACCTGCCTCAAGCATATATTGAGTAATTAATAATTGATGTAATCACAAAATGACTGGTACATTGGTCAGTTATTTAATGAGCCAATAATGTCCTTTTGTGCGGTATTCCACACCTTATGAGACTGATTATATGTTCTATGTAAGACCAGAGGCAAATCCATAATGGAAATTTATAGTGTATAAATGCACAGATCTTACCAAGGGCAATATAATCTAAATAAACATATATGTCTTATTTGGGAGAGAAACCAGAGAGAAAGCTGTGTATATACTGAAGGAAAAAATATACCCTCCTATGTAAAATTGTATATCTATGCTCTACTTTACATAGCTTTTGATTCATAGTTTGATGATGTTTATAACCTGCTTAAAATAACCTAGTTCAGAAACCACTTTTCCCACTTGCAAAGTTCCAAACTTAACCAAGATTCATGAGGTCAAAATGAGGGACAATTTCAAAAATCCCAGTTGAGGGTGTATACCATATCCAACCCATGTTGTATATTCTAAATCTGAATACTTGAATCATGAAAATTATAATTAAAAAAACCTTTCAACAATAGAGTCACTAGAGTTACATGTACCATTATATGATTGCCCTCTGCCCCCCCCCACCCCCGTAACTTCTTAAACTACATCAGCTCAACCTACAATGCCAGATATATGTAAGCATCACAAATGTGTCACATGTATCTAAGAACATACATCATAAGAGTTCAGGGCTTTCTATTCTTATCAGAATGACACAGCTTCACCCTGGAGAATCTTGAGTCAAGCCCTAGATCAGTAAAAACTAGGTATGGTTTAAGGTCATGCATCCATTAATCTACTTTGAATGGATGCTGGCAAAATGGTCAGCATAATAATCATCAATAACAGCCACATCACTAAAAACTCCAGGGTGTAATCTCAGTTCAACTTAAGTTCATGCTGTCTTCTAAGGACAAGTCCTAACATAATGTGATTATTGATCCGTATACTGACACTCCAATATCACTTACCATTCCAGCTGATTTTTATTTGCAGAATGTATCAATCATGTTATATCTGGTTTTATTGAAAAGAAGACTTAATGGTGTTTATGAGAAGTCCTATGTATCTACATTGATGACTTTGAAAAAATAAGATTCAAAGTAAACAACAAAGGAGTGGTTGATCAACAAACTAAACACTTAAAGAAGCATAAATCAATTTATAAATCAAAAATATAATCTAGGCCTATTTTGTCAATGTCATAGGTTGTATTAAAAAAAGCATAAAACTGCAAAGTTAGTTTTGTAGATTTTGGAGTTTTTTGTCAATATCCATAAACTGGCAGTTAAATCAATGTTGGCTTTTATCAGAGCAATGCTAACTGGGTTGATATTCTTGCCCTTTCTATTGATTTCTACATGGATGAATGAGTGGAAAAAACGAAGTTGCTAGGCAACAATCAGAAAAAAGTAATAATTACTCAATCTAAGCTCCTGTATCATTTTATACCATGAAACAAGAGCTGTTAAAATGTCCAGTTTAGTTATGACTTCATGATATTTACTCTTACTTCACATAGATATTTGTCAATATTTTACATGTATTTGGTTTTCAATATCAGATACATAAAGGCAATATGTTAGTAAAAAGTAGTTATTTTGAGTTTCATTTTAAACCATTTTAACTCAGCTAACTCACGAAAGGATGGTTAAATCTCTCAGAACAGAACCTAGTCGCTCCACCCAGCTCCAGGATTATTTATTACCATTTTCCACAAGAAAATGTAAATTTTGCAAGCATATTTTGTGACTTGCAGCTGTAAGACGTCACAAAATATGCTAATTAGCCTAACCCGGTTGGTTACACAGAATTTTTTGAGAGATATTTGACAAGAGCTTCAATTTACAGATGAGAAGCTGAAATCTTTTAAAATCTTTTTTAAAAAGCAACCTTCTAATTCTAAACTAGGAACTCTTTGTAGAAGGCAGAATGTGTGATTTTTGCCTTCGAGTCCATCTAGTAAATAATTCCTACAGTAAGAAAAACTCACCTTTATATAATGTTTTGCTTTTGTTAAAAGTCCTAAGGTTGTATGGCGTGTTGAATCTCCCCCAACTGGTACTACATCTTTCAACTGCTCCAGGCAGTTTCGCAGGTGAGCTCGTCTGAAAAAGAGATGCATGAAACAATGAAACCCAGTAAAGCAAAATTTTTAAGCCCAGTTCTCTTACAAATTATCATCAATCAGGTCTAGAATTGAGATGTTGCTTTGAGGGGGGAACTATTTTCTAATTGAAACTTTAAGTCTTTATTCAAACTAGTTGTGCTCATCAAAGTAGATAATTATACAAAAGTATAGCTTTGAGTTCCATGTGTGCTCATGTACTATACATACTCATTATATCATCTTGTTGTATAATCTATTGGCTCATGCGGTGTAATCATGGTATCTTTTTATAAATGTATGCTATTTTTACAGATGAAGAGTAACTCAAACTTACCTATTTTTTTCCAGTTCATTATGGGTTGATCTGAAAAAGAAATAAAATAAGTTAACAAAACCAGAAGGTTTTCGGGGACCAGTGACGCAATAAAATGCATTAAATCAATGCACAAAATGTCACTACATGCCATCTGTTACGGACCCCGACCACCAAAACATCAACTGCTGAATACTGTCCACAAAAAATCTGATTGGACATGTAAGGTTGAGATAATGTGACAAAAACGTATCCCCAGACCTTAATAACAGTCATAACCCCCTTGGACAAAACAGGTTCTGGCCATGGAGGTCCTGTACAACTTGTATCTATGTATACATGTATTGACAAATCGAGTTATAAAACAAACAAATGCAAATCGCACAAGTCATAACCAAGCGATAACGAGATTAGCTAAATTGAACTGCAATCATCTGATCATATGTGTGGTATGATAATCATGCAAGTGTTCTATATTTGCTTTATTCCAAATGAGGTAATCATTGGCTAAATGTAAATCTGTAGAATCAGCTATATATATATTACATGTACAAGATGTAGAGTCAAGCGTACTTTGCTCTTTAAACAGAATTAATGTACTTTTGTATATCCTCCTTATAATATTTAATAAAATTTCTGACTGAAAAAATGGACGTGACAGAGAAGAAAATTTGCAGCTCCAAATCAATAATTTACTCTCTACTGAGCTGTATTGTCCATAATGTTTTTCACAAATCAACTTTTATTTGATATGTCTAAACTAAGTCATGAATAATATAAGGCCAGTTAGCTGATGCTAAATGGAGTAATTATTTTAGTTCCACATATCCAGGGTAGGCTACCTAGTTTTTCTAATCAAATAGCCTAGTTAGAAAAATTCCCCAACTCTAGCCATCTTGCTTGGCCTGGCTCTGTGAGTTGTTTACAAATCTGATATCAAAATTATATATCATAAACACTATTTTCAGGATTCAAAATATCAAAAAGGAAAGCCATGAAGCCATTATACAAGTATAACTGAACATATCACACTTTTGTTGGCATATAGCTGTCTAGTTAACGTGTTCAAGTATAGGCTAAGAATTTACAAATGTCAAGAACATGGACTCAGAAATTCCAAAATGGCGCCCACTTTTTGTCAGGGATGGAAAATCGATAGCTCTCTAAATTGTCATATTTTACCTATTTTCTGTCTATATTTGACATAATACGATATGTCTCTTGAATGATTACTAATTTTTACGTATGGAATGAGATATTTTGAGGACAGATGGCTACACATAGAGATGAAATAGAGATATGAAAATACACCAGTTTTTATTTTGTCAGCTGATCGAGATGACCTTATTTCAAGATCAGATCGAGGGGCCTTTTCTAAAGTTAATTTTTGTTACCTATTTCCATGCGCTTTCTTATAATTTTTCATCCGTCGTCTTCCAACTTCATCGGGCATTGGCATAGTCGATGCATAACCATGTTCGGCTTCTAGAAATCCAAAATAACCTATGTTTAGTTTTGTTTTGATACATGACATTTGCAACGTGGCAACTGTCAAAATTAGATGAAATTCCTTCACTGAAATAAAACATTTACAAACCTCTTTCTCGCCTCTCTAGCCATTCAGCTGCTTGTAGAAGTTGTGCTATACTCATATCTACTTTAAAAATGGCCAAAATCGACCCACAAGTCTATAAAATAGTTGAATTTCCGAAGTGCTCCTCTCACGTCAAAAAATCTGCACGTTGAGGCGTTGCTCTGTTTGTTTACAATGCTGGAGCCTCACACAATGTTACAGTGCTTCTGATTGGTCAATACAAATTGTATGTTAATGAGATTACATTTTAGGGCGGCCCACGGTTACAGGACTATTGTTCACGATGCTCGAAAGTCTTTTATACATTCAGCGATCTGATTGGTCTGATCGAGGGTCTCTCTCAAATAAAATACAATAAAAAGTGCCCAAAATCCCTCTTTAGATTTATCTCCATAACAAAGTCTGAAAGTAGGCCTAGTCAGTCTAAGTCTATTAGACAGATAGAAGGGCTCCCATAGGTTAGTTATTCAAGAGCAGAGGCGGACCTAGGAACCAACAAGGGGGGGCCCAAATTTCAGGTCAGAGAAAAAAAACTTTGGGCCCCTAAAATCCAAAAGTGGGCCCAAATTTTGAAATTTTGAGGCCCATTTTCTTCAAAATTTGGCCTGAAATTAAAAAATAAGGCCTTAGAAGGCCCAGTAATGACCAAAAAGGCCCACCATTTGGGGCCTGAAGGCCTTGTTTGGGCCCAATTTTTTTTTCTGGGCCCACCCAAGGGGGGGGGGCGGGCCTTAAGAAAGTATAAAACTTTAAAAATAGAAATAGATTGCTCTTACCAGTATCAATTTGTATTCTGCCTTTTGATATGTAGATGAGTATGTAAATGAATCCCTTTAAATCCAATAAAGAATGATATGAGGTTCTTTAATCTTTACTGCAATTTCATAAATACTATCACTCCTTTAACTGGCAGATCTGGGTGGGCACAGAAAAAAAATTGGGCCCGAAATTTTTTGGCTCCACTTTTTGGTTTTAGCATGGACTTTCAAGAGACACAAATTTTTTTCCGCATAAGCCCAGAGTTTTTCAGACTTAATATGGCCCCCTCCCTTGTTGGTTCCTGGATCCGCCCCTGCCCTTATTAAACCAAAATACACTATGAAAACATCACTCTTTTATAATGTCACTGCTCAGTTCAATATGAAACCGAAATGCACTGTAAAATAAGTGTTTTTTGCTCTGTTGACAAAACATACACATTGAGCCTGATCTCTGGAATACAGTTAAAAAGTACTGAAATTATGTTTCTTCTGTTACATTCTGGATTCATCATTCAACCATCTTTATCAGCCTTTTGCATGATGTGCAAATGTAGTTAACAATTTGAAGTATATGCAATATGTACACTACACATTACCAACTCTACACTTTGGAACTTATAAAACATTTTATAACTTATTCCTGGGACTCCACATTGAATAACTGAATAACCCAGACCTTGCAAGTAGGTAGTTACCAGTTTCACCACCAGGTGGCTAATTCGGGGCAAATAACATGGCAGATGTCGTAGAAAGTTCCCTTAAACTTGACTTTTCATCTGTTTTAGTGGTTCAATTTTCATATTACTCTTATGTATCTGATTAAAATATGTCCAGTAAAAGAAAATACTATCCATCTAGCTAATACAAAAAAAGAAATTTCACTTTTTGTAATTTCATAACATGGGGCCTATGGGGAATCTCCCTGACCTAGAGGTCACACTTTGAAATTTAAATTTTACATGTAGATTTCAAATATTATATCACTTTGACTGAATTTTGAATTTACTTTTATTTTTTTATAATGGCCAAGAAGTACAATGATGTCAATATTATTCATTTTCGACAAAAGTCTTAAGTTTCCAACTCTTTTGCTTTGTTTGAAGTGTGTTTGTTTGTTTGCTTGGTTGTTAGCATATATAATTTGGATCCTTGCAAATATTTCCTCCTTCAAAGATTTACAGCTGAAGTAAAAACAAAACAAGAATTCATATAAATCAAATAAGTACTATTTATTTTACATGCAACTGAATCACAGGTGCAGGGATCGGAACAGAGTAGTTGTCGTTTTATTTTGTCATCTGTGAATGTTTTTTCAAACACTTCTATATGAAAAGTTCACATTCATACATTGTACAGTATGTCTTATATTTTGTACAATATTAAGGTATACAACTCACAATTTACTGCCTCACGGATGAGGTACACAATGCTTTACACAATCACACATATATGGACATATCTAGTCCCAACACAACTTTATTTTATATCACAAATTCAAAAATAACCTTTGGTTTAACACAACACCCAAATGGGCCAAAGGGTAAATAAATTATGGCATGATTGCATGTAAATTAGAAAATCTACCAGAAATATACCCAGACCCCAATCCAAAGGAAGCTAGTTTATTAAATATGATCGCATAGTAGGGCTATTCTACATGGTATAACTATTGAACATAATGATACCGAAATGTGATCAAATATGGATCAAAAGGTCACATAGTTGGATGGATGGATGGATGGATGGTTTGATGGATGGACAGATGGGGGGGTGGTGGGTTCCTGTGAGAATCGATATAGTTTGAATATGTTTGTGATTGATTCATTGAATAATGGGTTAATTTTAAATTATCAGGTAAACCCTAGTATTCTTATTTCATTCATATGCAGGGTTACATGTGTGTTGGGGATCTATTTCCTTTTTATCTTATCTTGTGTACATCGTAGTTAACCCTTGGGAACCCCATTATGCATTTTTCTATCATGTAAGTCTATTCTCTCACAGACCTTAAAGTCTGTGATTCTCTAAAGTACCTTAAGTTGAAAATTGGCACCTAACTAGCCAAATTGTCATAAGACAGTGTGTCATATACCTCTAAGTATTGACATATCAAATATCAACAAAATAACTCAACAACTTTTCGAGTTACAGCAAAAAATGTAAAACAGTGGTAATGGCCATTGGCAACCATTTTTTAAGATGCCCACCTATTTTTAGAAAAAAGATCTTGGACAAAATCAATATCATAAATAATTCTATGTATTAAGATATATTTATATCATAAATTGTAACTAAAATAGCGTAAAATCAACACTACTTTTGTGGCCATTTTGAAAGTGGAGGACATTTTCAAAAGGGGCTTTGGTCTCAGAACTTAGCATATATAACTTAGCACATAGCATTTCTTTTATCTTTAATAGCACACAGCAATACATGAACTGGTGACAGAAAAAAGAAAAACCAAAAATATAGTATACAATTGCTTTGGGTAGAAGGATGTAATTTCTAATACCTTTCTTTACTTCTTTTAATCATAACTTTAATGATATAAATTGTTTTGACAAAGTATCTTAGCCTTTTTAAAGCATACTGTACTCCGGGTAAATTTCGATGCTATAAAATTTCGTTATTTTTCAAAATTGCAATTTCGCGGCTATTTAATTTCGCGAATTTGAGTTGATGACATTTCGCCGGTAATTTTAGCCCGTTCAGAATCCGAATCATGTTTGTATTTCCCACGTTTAGGGTTACTCACTTCGAGAACCATGTTAGATTTTGAAACTTATATCAATATCCAAAGAGCTTTCGCAGGAAGTAAGTTTAGGGCATTTATTTGAATATTTTTGAATAGCTTTTTCAACTTAAATTATTAGGATATCATTGTCGTCAACAGTTCTTGCCTTTGTTGGCCTAATAAGCCAATTCAAAATGTTAGACATTTTAGGTCTTTTTTGAATTATCGCTCAACAACACTGGACGAAACGTTTTACACCGAACGAAACATATCAAAAGTTCCAGGTCAAATCTCTGGGGATTTAACACAAATTTCGTGACGATAAATGTTCGCGATTTTTCTACATTCGCGAACAAAGCGAAATTAAATCGCACACGAACAATACCCGGAGTACAGTATTTATAGTTATAATTTTCAAATTAAAGATGTACCAACCATTTTATAGGATATTTTACTTGGATGCACCACATTTTAGCATGTCACTGTTATAAAAAGTGTAAAACCAAATAAATAAATAAAGAATAATCACAGTTTTTGTTTATTACAAAATAGATTGAATCCTCTTCATGAATGCCTCAATCCTACCCCAATAAATGTGAGCTTGATTTTTTAAATCATTTTTTATTACACTTGTGTATTGAAATCTTTCGGTTGAAAATAAGCTGGATAAGTGGTTATTTACGAGACATTATTTACAAAGATAAAAATTAGGTTTCTGTCAACTACTGGCAACATTATAAAATCACAAGATTTCGATACACAAGTAGCCTAGTTATGGGGGTGATTTGAAAATTCAACTCCACATGATTTATGGGGGTACTCAATCCTAACCCAATTTGGCACTATAAATAGTATATTCACTCTACTCAATTATAGATGTCACTTAGGATGTACATCATGGTAAACCATGACATCTCATTTCTTCTCAGCCCTGAGATGGTTCAGGTAAAACAGAAAGTTGCTGTATCAAAATTCTTGATATACATGGAAAAAAATTACTTTCACTGCCCAAAATTACATCAAAATTATTTTCTATTTGTAAAGTAGCCTATGTACATATATGAAAAAGAGTCACATAGTATGAATTATTATAGGTGTTTTAAGAGTAAAAAATGTGGCTGATTTTCAAGGTAACATACAGATCAAGAACTGTATTTTGCCACATAATTTAGATATCTCTAATATTTTGTTTTGTGAGTGAGTTATAATCTATATCTCTGATTCTCGGCAATAAGTCCACACATGCTCTAAGAAAGAATTAATGTGTTCATCATCTTATTTCCATATTCTCATGATTTCTTCAAGACATGGGATGCTAGTATGTCTGGGTCTATTAGGGACTCCTATACCTCTGATTCTAACTTTAAGCAATTTTCAAGTCCTTTAAGTCCATAGATGCTTTAAGAAAGAATTAATGTGTTCACAATCTTATTTCCATATTCTCATGATTTCTTCAAGACATGAGGTGCTAGTATGTCTGGGTCTATTAAGGACTCTTCTAATGGGGCCTCAATGTTGTACTCATAAGCTTGTTGCACTCGGCGCATCTTCCTTCCACTCCTTTGTGGTATGGGTAGCTCAGAATGATGGGCTGGCAGTGGCTCTGTGAAGAAGTATGGATCCAACAAGGCCTGGAAATATATATGCACCCAGAATATATCAATATATATGAACCCGGTATAGTAAGTTTTGCATTATATCTGATACTTGTGAAAATTACAAATGGCAGTTTTAAAAATAGAAATTGTCAAATCCACGGAGTAGTAAATCACAAAGAATAAAATTTTCATGAACCTGATTGTTTTTTCATGCATTCTGCTTTTGTTTTCCATCTAAAAAACACCAATACACTTCTTACACCATGGAATGTTTTATTGACTATAAGATTACATCATCTAATGCAAAAATATATTTCTCAACTTCCAATGAAAAACCATGGATTACAACCAGGTACTGAACATTTTTTGAACCTCAGGAAGCCATTTATCATTGATAAGTTAGGCTTAATCACAATGACAAAATAATACGATTTTGGGCAGGGATTTCAGCCTCAAATCCCAAGGTATGAAAACTTCATGCCCTGCAAAAACTTTTTCCAATAGAAATCAAATCACAGCTGCAAAGTAGATTGTTAGATGGCAGCACAGCACATAAATCGTTCATGCTTTCATTTCATATAGATTTGGTTTTTGACACATTTTCGTTTGACTCAGTCATGGAATTGAAGAATTAAAAATGTTTACCTTTTTTGATATAAAGGAATATAAGTTCATAAGTAGAAACAATGAAAAACATATTATTGAGATATGATCAAACGAATTGCATTCTTCCATTAGTTGAGCACTCATAAACGTTCACATCAGCAATGCCAGATTGATATAATATATTTATAGACTTTTATGGTCTGTTGATAAACAATATAAGGTTGCATGGCTTTTAACACAAAAATAGTGTTTAGAAGCAATTGATCTCTCTGATGTAGACCTTAACGAGTTTTCTTATCTTATCTTGTTTTTGATTTAGAATTGCTCCTTACAGTAAAATAAAAATAAAATATTGTAAAAACAATAATCAAGAAGAAAATCTCAACTGCACATAAAATGTATAACATTTTAAAGTTGTACTCAAACCATTTGATTGATTTAGATATATTTATACTATCTAACCGTATGAAGGCCACACTTTACGATGGTGAACCATCAACAATTCGAAAAGTTCATTTTATCATGATATCGGGGATATAAAGTCAGCACATGTCTGTTTTTGCGGCAAATTGATTTCATTTTCAGAGCAGAAATTTTACTTCACTTGACATGACATGTGTGGTTGAAATATGATTTTGTGAATAATAATAATGAGCTAAAAATGAAACCCTGGCTTTTAAAAACAAGTTATTCACTCTTAAGTTGAGCCAATTATTGCATGATTGAGGCTATTCTCATCAATTTTGCGAAGGGTATAATATCACTTGCAATTAATTGCGGAATCAATCAAGCTGTAACGCTATTGAAAGCATGTAAGTTATATAACAGCAAACATTGCCAGTGTTTGGGGATTAAAACTTTTTCACCTGAATGTAATGCTGTAAGGCCATAATATAATTATTGGGTTAACAGGAATGCTTGTGACTGTGAAACTAATGTATATTTCTACTTTGGTTCAGCCTTTGTAATAGTGTGCAACAACAACTTTTCGATTTAGCGCCAGAATAACTTGGCACACGTTGCGTCAAAACTGTCATGGTCAGGTGACCTCAAAAAGTGAGCAAAAATAACAACATTTCAGAGGTTGATAGTCTTATCTTAATAAATCATGTTGTGTGGGGAAATATCACAAGCTTTGTAGTCAAAATAACTAAAAGGATGTTATTTGTGCTAAATACAAGAAAATTAGAGATTCTGAAATTGGTTTTAGTACAACTTTAAATGTTTAGAGATTTTGTTCTTTTCATCGAGTCTCGATTATCTTAAGTTACATTTCGGTTATAACATACTGACACGCTTATCAAAACTAATCAATCCATCTCCCTACAGGCAGGAATATAGTCCCACCGATCCTTTTAAAAATTAACTTTACTTCCCAGAAAGGAGCTGTTGTCATTTAAATGACAAAAACAGTGATTCTTCGAAAATAATTCCTAAGAGCAATTTGTAACTGGTTCAGTATTTTGGTTTGGTAGTGTAGGCCATCGTCGGTTCCCACTACGTTCACTGGGTCCGAAGCTTGATGAAGCAAGATGAGTGTAGGCATGTTTAGCAATTTCAATTTATTTTTTTTAATTAGAATGGTCTGTATTGTAACCTGATATGTTTAATGATAAGTCAATGAAAATTGAAAGTTGAACACATTGTTGCAAGAAGAACCATGAAGCTTAATGATGTCATAATTTTGAAAGGTAGATGATTCTCAGGTCCTTAAAAATACAAAATATAAAATATAACATTTTAAATATTGCCACTTATTTGATTTGGAATGTTGCCTCCTGTGAATGTTAAAATTAAGAGCTTTAAAAAGAATTTGTAGGTATATTCTATCATTACCTTAAAATACAAACAAATGTTTTCAAAAGATTCCACTCGTAACTAATATGAATAACTTATGGATTCATTAGATTGGCATTTATAAAATACCATTTGAATTGTTGTGGAGGATTTCAAATGAGCCACCAATATGTTGACAAGAGAGAATGATATACATATGGACGGATGAACAGACAGACGGATGGTCCAACAAGGGGGTTACTACAATAGCTCACACCATTTGAGCTAAAAAGCACTATGATCCAAACTGCACAGGGACCAGCTAAAACTTTTTAGATTGGGAGATTGTGTTTTTAACAAGGATGTCTATGGCAGATTAAAAAGTGTGACAGAAAGAAATTTTGAACATTGAGAGGGGTTCAGATGAGAGACGAGTTCAGATATACAAGTTTTACTGAATATCATTCTATTGAAGTGAGAATCTGTTAACCCTCTAATGATTCTCTTGCTGAGGCCCAAAGAACTCCATGTTTTCAGAAAATAACACCACAAAAAGCAACCATGATAAATATCATCTTTTTTGCATGAAGGATTTTGATTTGATCTTGTGGAACTTTTTCCTGTAGAATACCACTAGAATATAAAATGCATTATTGTGTGATCAAATTGAATAAACTTGACACAGTGGGTAAATTAAATAACAGCACCAGTATTAAGCTGTAAATGGGAAACTTACTGCAGTAAACTGTACACATATGTTTCAAATGCACATCATGAAAGTCATTAATACTACAGGGTGATCCATAAGAAATTACAACTTTCTATTTTTGGATTCCCAGAGGCCCGGGGACTAGTAGTGATTAATAGCTTTCTTTCACTTTTTGAATAAGACAAAAAACCTATAATATTATGAAGATGGCAAAATTACCACATACAATACAGTATTTCTGGATTACTTTCTGCATATATATTTATGATTGAATTAAGAAATATAGACCAAAGAGCAGGATTACTAGTTTCGAATAACACCCCGCTGGTCTCGGCACAAACGTTTTCTGTACCCCGAACGACCGAAGGGTCGTTATGACGTCACATATTACACGTATTAACTGGGTTATTGGTCTCGAATATAACCCAGCTGAAGCATTGACTTTGTTTACAGTTTATAGAAGGCGCGAATACAGCCATGTAATCTGCCACGGTAATCTGCCACGTTCACAATTTCAAGTTTTACTTTGCACACGAGCAACCCTTGAGTGGCATTTCTGCTTTCAAGCCATATACAGGGTGTCAAATAAAAAACAGGACGGCAAGAAAGTTGAATAACTCAGTCAATTTTGCATATTTTGCCTGGAAATTTGTTGTGAAAGTTTGATAATAATTTGCCAGTTGTGTCAAAATCTACAGTTCCTTACAAAACAAGCCCAAAATGTGCACCTCTCCTCTCTATGCACAATTCAATGCGGCAAACAAAGCTGTTGATGATCTTCCTCCACATATGGACAAGTTTATTCCAAGAACAATTGAAACTAGGGCTTACATCCTCCTGATAAAATGTTACAGCATCCATTGCAGTCTGAACAATGCATTGCCTAGGTGGCAATGAGGAAACATGGAATCATCAAGTTCTCGCTAAGTTTTGGAGGTCACTAAGCACCAGAAGGGACATCTAAGGAGATAAGTAGTGGTTTCAACAAGACAATACCACCCTAACACTGCAAATGATATGCTGAAATGGTTTAGGCAATGCTTTGGTGGTCAGCTCATCAGTCACAGAACACAAACCATATGGGCAGCTCATTCGCCAGATCTAAATCCCCCAGATTTTTATCTTTGGGGATTTCTCAAAGACAATGTGTATACCGACAGGCCCCTGACAATCTTATGAGGGCAATAACTACCCCAATATGTACCATCCATATTGATATGTATAGGTTAGGGTCATTAACAACTTGGTTCACAGTATTCATTTGTGTATAGAGAGAAGTGCCCACACTGAGCTTGTTTTGTAAAGTACTGTAGTTTTTGACACAATTGACAGATTATCATCAAACTTCCAGAACAAAATTCACATTGAATGAACTAAATAATTCTAAAATATCAAGGCAAAATATGCGAAATCGACCGAATTATTCAGTTTTCTTACGGTCCTGTTTTTTGGACACCCTGTATGTAAAATGGGAATTTAAATAATGCTGCACTTTTGGGTCACCATGTAAAAACATAAATTCAAACCAATCATCCAGAAGATACTAAAACATCATCTGGATACCAAATATACATCAACAATAACTATTATTAAAATAATAAAAGCGCCAGTACATGTAAATCGGTTCTTTTTTAACTTCATATACATGTACCACATACAAGTACATGTATATCTCCAGAAAACAACAATTCTGTAGGAAGCAATGGTAAGTTTAGTAGTTTACTTTTACTATAATACAGTCTTTTTGACTTTTTTTCAAAATTGTCAGGAATGTATTCAACAGACATGAGTATAATGATTCCCATTGACATCAACATGAAATTTCAAATTTCCCATTCTAAACATGAAACTCTGAAGCTGAACAGATATCTGAAATGGACTAAAACACTTGAAGTGTGACTGAACTTTTTTTTACAAAAGTATGTGCACTGTACATATTCCT